GGCTGTGAGCAGGAGGCCTCGGCTCCTTGCCAGGTGGGCCTGGCCTTGGGGCTGTCTCTGCGCCCTTGCTCTGTGGGGGCCAACCTCTCCCAGGGTGAGTGGGCCGAGCCAGAGGAAAAAGAAAACCTCGAGTGCAATTGACAAGCCAATCTCGGAAGCTCGACCGTCACTCCTGCCATTGTCTGTTGGAAGCGCAACTCGAGGGGAGCAGAATCAGGCTCGCGTTTGGAAGGAGAAATATCAAAGAATCTGCAGACATACTTTTAAATCACCAGAGTGAGAGTGATCTGTATTATTTTCTGTTGCTATTGTTTGGCCAGAAAGGCCTTTCCCAGCAGCAGAGCTACCCAAGGGTGGAGCAGGGAGCTTCCGAGGGCGATGTGCCCCGATCCCTGGGGACGGGTAAGCGGAACAGAACAGTGTGGCAGCCGTGATGTGGGGGGAATTTTAACATCGACCAGGGTTTGGGACTCGAGTTGGACTCGAAAACTCCCAGGGCACCTCTCTGTGTTATTGTCAAGTGTTTCCAGTCATCCGTGTCTCTGGGTCACCGGGAAAAGGCGGTTGGCGCTATCAGATGTACAAAGTGAGCTTCTTTCTGGCCAGGCCGCCCCTGGCCAGAAAGGGGTCTCAGAGCCTCCAGCCACAGGTCGCAGCTCCATGCCACCCAAGTCGCTGGTTGGTTGTTTTGTTAAATAGGGAATCCGATCAACTCGCCATAAAGGTGTGAGGACCTGAGAGCTGTCACACACCACAGGAGGGCAGGTCAGCATTTGGATCCTTTTGAAAGACATTCACAATTTTAACTCAAAATACGCCCTCCTTATAACTGAGCAGTTCCTTACGTCCACCTCCACCCTAAAGACTACCACCCCCTGCAGAGCCCCCTGGGGCGTGGCTTGTCACAAGGAGGTGGGCAAGCAAAGCAGATAATTATCTGTGCAGCAGCTCAGAGGAATGGGCTCGTTTCCCCTGTGCTGGCTCGGACAGAGCTCCAGAAAATATTAAGTGGCAAAGGCAAGTGACAGAACAATAGGTATATTTTTGAATCCACATAAAGAAAAAAATAAAAAATAAAAAGCTATATATTTCTGTTACACACTTCACACATAGCGCGCATTGGCCGTGGTGGTAACTTGTGTGGGAGACGGGGGAGGGGGGCTGGGGCAAACGGTGAAGGGAGGCTCATTTTGGTCCATCTGCTTTATTATCGTGTGGACTTTTAATAAGGAGACTGCATTTGTTCACAAATGGTTTAATTCTTAAGCACATCTGAAAGGAGACAAGAGTTCTCCCCACTTCCCCAACTCCCTGGCTCTGCAGTCGGAGACCAGAGAGAGACAGATATTTCCAGTCCTGGCCAACCGGCGCTGGTCTCTCCCCAGGGGGCTTCCAGTTGCCTCGCACCCACTGCTGCTGAGGTCGTCTCCTGATTTTTTTGTGTCATCCAAGCGAGCTATTCAGAGACTCACAGAACGCAGGCCCCAGAACCCGGAAAGGTCACAGGGCCTAAGCTTTCCTCATTTGTGATGCCAGCTCAGACCCCCTTGCCACCCACAGCCTGCCCTTTATCTGCACACTTCCAGGGACCGGCAGCCTACTACCTCAGCAAGCGGTTGCTCCCCAGCGCAGACACTGCTGCTGGTTTGACCGCAGTCCCGCACGTGTAGCCAAATGCCATCTGCCTCCTCCCATCAGCTGCCCTCTGAGCTCCCTCAGAGGCCCCCGAGTGAGGTGGGAACTAGCTCAGACCCTGAAGCAGACTGCCCGTGTTCAAATCCCAGTCTGCACCCGACAAGCTCTGTGATTCAGGGGAAGTTTCTTAATCTCTCTGTTCTTCATGTTCTTCATCTGTATGATGAAAGGTGCAATAATAGTACACGTTCCCTAGGCTCATGGTGAGGGGAAGGTGAGTCAGTGTATGCAAGGTGCTGTGACACTGCCTGACATGCAATAATCGCTAAGTAATGAGTATTTGAAATCTAAGTAAGAGACCAGAGTTTCAGTCCGACCCTCGTCCTGCGGGCTCTTCTCCCACCTGTGTGATGAGCGAGGCCTCCTGGTCTCAGAGTCCCTGGGGGAAGGAGGGCCCGAGAACGCAGCAAGTGTGAGGCTCGTTAAGATGTCGGCACGTTTTCTGTTTCACTCCTTCCTGTAAAAGTCATGGTTTTGGTCCACTATTAACATGCGGGAAACCTTAGCCACACGTATCTAAAAGAATCCTGTACCCTCTCACACCCGCCCAGACATACCTGCGTGTGTCTCGGGGACAGTAGATGCTACTTTGAGAGTGTGGGCCTGTAGGATCCTCCCAAGTCTTTCCAGCCCCAGGCCTACGTCGGGCCTGGGCTCCGTCGTTAAGCAAAAGGAGCGCAGTCCAGCCTCCCTCTATACATGGGCTCAGTCTACTCATCTCTAAGACGGAGGTGCGAGTCCTGCCTGCCCGGCCCACCTCCCCATGATGTAGGGAGGTGGAGTGGGGGCAGTTTGCATCGGGGTGCTTTGCACTCTGGACTGAGCCCCGGCAGCCCCGGCAACAAATCCCCGCCCCACCCCAGTCAGGGAGGACCTACACTGTCTGAGACTGGCCCGTCCTGAGTTCCAGCAGAGCCAGTGACCTCAGTGACTAAGGGCAGAACTTAAAAGTCCTGATCACAACAAAAAAAATTTTTGTAACTGTGGATGGTGACAGATGTTAACTAGACTTAGTGTGGTAATCATTTCACAAGGTATACAAATATCAGATGGTTACATTGTACATTTAAAACTCATAAAGTGTTTTATGTCAATTATGTCTCAACTCGAAGAGCCGCATGTGGCTAATGGCTACTGTGCTGAACACCCCGGGCTCGTCGGAGATATGGAGGCTGGTGACCCACATAAGACAGATGGACCAGGCCGGGGGGAGAGAGGGACATTCGGTGCGCCACGTGGGCGTGGAGTGGGAAAAGGCCTATTCCAGGGATAAGGATCAGGAAAGGCCTCCCTGGACGCGGGCATTTGTGATGGGCAGGAAAGCACTAGGGGGGCACGTCAGCAGGCGGGCCTAAGCGGGTAAGGGCGTCCCGCGTGGAGGGAGGAGGCACACGTTTAGGAGTCGACCTCTGCCAGCACCAGGCACCATGAACCGGAGCCCCGGGGGTAAACAGGCTGAGTGAGCGCTGAGCCAGGGGGGAAGACGAGGACTAAACCAGGCAGGGCCTGGGTGCCGGGCTGGGGAGGCGCGGAGGCGTATCCTGTCGGGTTATTACAGGGAATGAACTGAGATCCTCCAAACTGGGCGCAAGGCTTTGGAAGCACAGTAAGCTCTCCACACAGAGCGGCAGTTACCGGCAGAGGGGAGACGTTGGAGGGGGTTATACTTCTCTTCGCTGCTTCCTTAGGTCAGACTGGGAATACTGCCATCTTAGCAGTAGTAAGTCTTCTGCTCCAGGAGTATGAACGTTTGTACATTTACTTACGTCTTCTTTAATGTTCTATGCTACTTGCAATTTTCAGCATACAAGCCTCTACTTCTTTTATTAAATATATCCCTAAGTATTTTTATATTATTATAAATGGAATTATTTTTGTAATTTCCTCTTTGGAGTGTTTATTACGAGTGTACAGAAACACAGCTGATTTTCGGACACTAGTCCTTTGTCCCCTGCAAGCTCGCTGATCTCGTTTCCCGGCTCCAGGGGTTTTTTGTGGATTCCTTAGGATTTTCTGTTTACAATATTGTGTCATCTGCGGATACAAATCATTTGCTTCCTCCTTTCCAACATGGATGCCTTTTATTTCTTCTTCTTGCTTCACTGCCCCGGTGAGGACCTCCCAACCAGGGAAAGGGAACATCGCTGTCTTGCTCCTGCTCTGATCAGGGAAGCTTTTAACCTTGAAGTCCGATGTTGCTTTCTCTGTCTTTTCAAACCTCTTCATGTTTATTTTTATCTTATTATACAGGGCTGGGCAAAAGTAGGTTTACAGTTGTGAATATGCAAAACAGTTTATTCTTGTATTATTATTTATTAATTATTGTATTGTTTACTTATATTACAACACTAAACCTACTTTCGCCACCCCCGCCCCCGTACGTGATAAAAGAAAAACACTACAATAACATATTAAGAAGAAAACAGAACTCTCCAAATCCCACCACCACTAATAACATACAGGCCTTGTCAATGTGTATGTATGTGTATGAAGAATAAAGATACTTCTCCCTCAATATGGCTTTTTTCCCTCTACTTAGTGTGGTTCACAGTCACCTTCCCAGGCCAGTGACGTGTTCTGTTGCAAAGCTGGACTGTCGTTTATTTGAGCGACTCCCTCTTGGTGGACAGTCAAGTGGCTTCCCTTCTCCCACTGTCACAAACTAGACCGGTGCCCACCCTCATATCCTTCCTGACCCTGTGCATTGCCAGGCTCTGCCCGTCTTGTTTTTAATCTTTGGCAGGTGATCACTACCAATCCTGGGGTAGGGACGTAACAGGCTGTAGGACGCCAACTCCAGCATCCCCAACTGCCTGTGCGACCCTGGGCGAATCCTCTTCCCTCGCTAGGCCTCCGTGTCTTCATTTGTAAGCTGCGGATGAGTCTGAGTGGCTGATCCGCAGACCCGGCTGTACCGTGAGACACCTGGGAGTTGTAAAAGCACAGACACCTGAGCCTGGCTCCCAGAGATGCTGATTTAATTAGCATAAGGGAAGAGCCCGGGGAGCAGGAGTTTTACTTTTCCTCTGACTAGGTGCTGTGAAGGCCTTCTCTGCTCAGACCTAGGAGGGCTGCGGTGGCCAGTGGAAAGGTCCGTCCTTGGTGTCCAGTGGCCCTGGGCCTGAACCCCAGCTCACTTCCTCCTGGCTGTGGGACCTTTCACCTTCTTGAGAGTTTCATTTCCGGCTCTTGGAGGGGGCGGGGTTAAAATCCCCCACCCCACCCCTCAGGTTCCTGCTGGGTAGGGAAGGTTTAGGTCCTGCACAGACCAATGGGTGGTGACCATCGTTCTTTCTTGACCACAGAGCCAGCCCCTGGGCAACAAGGTGGAAATGGAGATCGTGAGCATGCTGGAAAAAAACACGACACTTCTGAAATTCGGCTACCACTTCACCCAGCAGGGGCCCCGGCTGCGGGCGTCCAACGCCATGATGAACAACAACGACCTCGGTGAGTGGCACTGAGCCCCCTGCCCACCTGCCTGTCATCTTTCCGCCTGTCCTGGGGGGTGGCAGGGGCATTTTCACCGATACCGTCTCCAGGGAGTCCTGTTGGTGAGCCCGACTCCCAACTCCCACGTGGGTTACGTGTGTGCCCTGTGTTCGGTGGGGCCTGGCCCCCGCCCTCGGCGGTGAGCACCCGGCCTCCGGGAGCCAGGGCTGGGCCCTCTTCTCATGTCCGTTGCAAAGCTCAGCCCAGCCCAGCCAGGTGGGCCCAGAGGGCACCTCAGCACGTCCGCTGAGTGAGGCAGACACAAGGCTCGCCCGGAGTCTCCTCTTCCGAACACCCTTCTCTGAACTCAAGGATCCTGCCCAGGTCCAGTGCATCTGTAGTCCCGGCCCCAAAGCCCCCGCCTGGCACTATCACCCAAAGCCCACACCCAGGAGGCTTCCCCTTGCTTTTAAGGTAAAAGTTGAAAATGTTGACTCCATAGTAACCAGGTTACACTCCTTGGATCTCAGTTAAAGGCATAGTTTGTCTTTTCTAGAAAAGAAAATGAAAGAAAGGGTCAGTGTTTCTTGGGAGCACACACCCCGTCGGTCTCTGAGTCAGCGGCGGGAAAAGTGAGGTCAGCCGCCGACTTCCCCCGATGCGGGCCGCTCTCGCTCTGCGTGTGGTGAGTGAGTGTGTGCGCCTGCCGGCTGCTGAGAGGACGTGGCACAGCGTCCACAGAGGACGGTGTCTGGTGAGGCTGCAGGAAAATAAGAGGGAAAAAAACAAGGAAAGGAGTAAGTCCAATATGTTAACATATTTGATTATTATACTTAGCCATGGATTTGCTAGAGCCAAGGCAGGCGGAAGACAAACTGAGTTACATTATTCTAATTACAGATGAGAAGGAAGCGTAATGAGGGAGGAAGGGAGGGAGGGAGGGAGCTAGCTACCTTTTGGGATTGAATTATGAAACAACTTTGTTTTCTAAAGGATAATGTTTTAGTAAGTTTTTCATCAAATTCAAGCCTGCTCTACACATGGCTTTTGTTGTTTGTTTCGTTTCTAACACTCAGTAAAATACAAAGAGCTTAAAGCATGTGGTGACGAATCGGAGGCAAGATTAGTGCCTGGAAGGCAGGCCTGGGAGAAGGGAGGGGAGAGCATGGGTGTGCGTGGGTGTGCATGGGTGTGCGTGTGAGGCAGGTGCTCACAGAGCCTCTGCCTCAGTAACCTCAGAGCCACACTCACCTCAGACTGAGTCGGTTGAACGAACATCTGTCACAGCGCTGTTCGGCACTGGGTGTTTAAGACACAGGTTCTTGCTCTTGAGGATATCACAGCCCAGAGGCCATTTGGTCACGATTTACTCAGCTCTCAGGGCTCCCTTTGTCCAGGGCTGCAGGTGTGGGGATGTCCATAAAACGGACGCACAGAAAATGCGCCCAGGGTCCTGGTTTGTCTGCAGTGCTCTGATGTGAAGTAAATAAGAACTAACACTAATCCCTGGGAATCACGATTGTCCCGCCGCAGCAGCGGTGGTGGCTGCCCTGAACGGGTGAGGTGGCCCTCAGTCCAAACTCCGCTGGCCCGGCTCTGCCCTGGCGGCAGGACAAGTACTTAAAGGCCGTCAGTGCTGGTGGGCTGGGCAGCAGCCTCACATTTCCCCCCAGCCAAGGTCAAGTTTCCTGTGTGCCCCTGGGGGCCTATCAAGGCTCTTCAGCTTCGGTCTTCCAGTAGCAAGATGGTGTGGAGGGCTTTTTTTCTGGGGACAGAAGGTTCCCAATGACTGGAGATGGGGAGGAGGTTGGGGGTGGGGGGGGACACCAAAATCCACTGGCGGTTTAGTGAGATGGACCTGGAGAACTCGCCCAGTCCTGAGAGTCTGTGACTCCAAAATCCAGGCCCAACTCCTGTGCCCTCGGCCCCTCCCTCCGGTTCCCTCGCAGAGAATGTGGAGCCTGGGAGGGCTGCCCTTCTGGGCGGTGGCCAGTGCGTCCCACCGGTGGTTGGTTACAGCGAGTCCTCTGGCACATCTTTTGTGTGCCCAGGAGTGCGCTCAGTGACAAATAGGGTAACAGAAAGGCCAGTTCCCTGAGGCAAGAACCTTTACACCTTTTAGGGGAGAAAAGACAAAGATGTGCCTACAATGTCAAGAAGGCCTGGCAACAGTATCCAAATAAAGGGAGGGAATGATTTACGAGAACAAAGTCCACTTAAACAGAGCATCCTGGTTGGTGCAGGTCTTCAGGTCATTCTGAAAAAAGACCTAAGCTGTGGGGAGACCCAGAGGCATTCCCCATGGGGGACCAGCACGGGCGGAAGCAGGGTGCTGGGACCCAGGGTGCAGTACAGGAGACACAGGAAGATCTGAAAGGACTGAGGCACCGTTATGGGGAGTTAAGACCTAGAACGAAAAGTAGGAACTCAGAAAGGGGAGAAAGGACATTTCAAGCAGAGGGAACAGCATTTTAAGCAGAGGGAACAGCACAGGCAAAGGCAGGATGATTGACAGGTTTACGAGGTATTCCCAAGGGACTCGGTAGATGTGGGAAGGCTGTGAGCCCAAGGCCTTTCGTGCCCACCTGAGGAGCTGATGACGAAAGCAGGTGGGAAGTGCGATGGTGGCAGTGTCCTGGACGGGAGTGACAAGTGATGAAAGTGGGGGCTCTGAGGCACCCCCAGGGAACTGTGCAGAAGGAATTGGAGCAGAATCAGTTCAGTGATTACACACAACATTCAGCGCTAGTTGGTGGCGTAGGATTTCTGGCTTTAAAAGCAAATTGGTGGCCATCTGCTAATTTTTGTAAAAGAAACGCTCTGATTCTGATGGTGCATTGGCTTCCTTCTGTAAATGAGAAATCCTTTCTTCCAAGCACAGTGGTTTCATCTCACTCTCGACGCTGTAATGGAGCAGGCAGGCTTCTGGGTTTTCCAGCTGAGTATTTTTTATCGTAAGATCCTCCCGTGGGTGCCGCCAGCCGCTATGGCAGTTAGCAGTGTCTGGGCCTCTCCGCTTTCCCTCGAGTTCTGCCCTGCCCCCGTGCTGGCTCCCAGCTGACCACCGGGCCTCTGTGGGGCTTGGGCTGTGCCTGCCTGTGAGGCAGGTGGGCTCGTCCTTGGGGGACCTTCAGTCCCCAAGGCTATGGGGTCACCCAGTGCCTCTGCAGACAGGCAGCCTGCCTGGGACCCATCCTGGCTGGTGTGTCTTTGATCCTTCCCACCCTGTGCACAAGCGCTCACCAGTGTCTGTGGGAGAGAGCAGGGTGCTGGGGCACACTGGGGTGGTGTCTGGGAGGAGCCGAGGATCCCCACCTACGTGTTCCCATGGTGGTCTCAGATGACTCCTACCTGCTCACTGTTTACACCTCAGACCTAAGCTAAGCCTGGCTCTCAGGTCCTGTACCTCTGCCACCGGAGTTCTCTCCACTTAATGGAGTCTGAATTGCAGCCTCCACGTTAAGGCAGTTTTTTTTTGGGGGGGGCAGGGGAAGAATAACGAGCTTAGTTAGAAGCAGAAAACATCCTGGGAAAGTTGCTTTTTTACTGTATTCTCAAGCAAAACCCTTCTAACCAGCGCCCCGGGCACAGCATACCCCAAGGCACAGTTCTGTAGTCTTCTCCCAAAAGCACCTCGGGAAAGGGCACTATTCTCCCCACGGCCACTCAGACCAGAAACCTGGGCCTATCTGTCTGCAGCGGCCAGTTGCCTCCTTGCCATCCCCTTCACCCTGGCCCAGGTCAAGCCCCCATCATGGTCACCAGGCACCCTGCAATGTCCTCAGTCCTGCAGCTGCCCCTGGGCTGGCCCCCCTGGCTTGGTGCCCAGCCAGGCTTCTCCTACCCCTTCCTCTGCCGGGCTCCCACTCTGGGCTCCCACGGCTCTCAGCCCAAACTCGTTGACGTGGCTCACGAGTCCCCCAACAATTGTAGCTGGTACGTACGTGGTGCCCACTGTGTGCAGGCACTGCTGTGGACACTTGCTGTCTTACTAACTCCTGTGGTGCTGCCAGCGCCCGGCTGAGGGAGGAGCTGTGCTCATCCCCATTCTGTGCTGAGGCAACAAGGCCCAGAGCTGTACGTAGGTGAGGTTGCCCGTGGTCGCTGGGCAGAGGCGGGCTTGGAACCGGCCACCCAGCCTTGGCGCCTGCGCTCCCGCCTCCTCTCTGTGTGAGGCCCTGCCAGCGTCATCTCTCGTCACCTCTGATGAGCCACCTTCTTGCCACCTTCATGCCAGCCGGTCCAGGCAGCCGGAGTGCCTCCGAGTGGCCCAGGCAAAAGCATCCCCATCGAGGGCCATTAGTCCTAACACTCCCACTCCCGTCCCACCACCTACCTACCCCTCTATCGTGTGAGATTCAGCCAGGTGTTACCTGCCCGTGCTCAGATGCTCCGACCACCTTGTTCATTGTGCTACATACTCAACAGATCCGCCAGCATGCCTGCAAGTTTCCTCAAGCTTATTGTTGGTGTGTGCTGGTCTCCTGTTTAGCAACATCTTTATTTCTGATTCTTGTGCTTGGTACATAATAGCACTCAGTAAAGGCTGTTGCACCTAAAAAGGAACATAAAATGCTTCCCAAAGACATGATGGAGGTGCTCAAGTTTGGCGGGAAGTGGTGGTGAGAGCGCAAGCCACCATGGAGTCGGTCCAGATGACTCAGGGTCCCCTTGGGCCCTGACAGTGGCGCGTCTCTGGCTGTTGCAATGAGCAGCAGCACGGAGGGGTTGGCTTTCGTGGGAGTAAAACGCAGATTGAATTGAAGGGGGATACTGGGTGATCTGGCTTCTACTCCCAGTTCGGTCACTTACTCACTGTGATGTGGGGCAACTTATTTCCCTCTCTTGGCCTCAATTTTCTTCATCATTAAAATGGGAGAAAAGAATACCTGAGTAAGTGGGCGCCTCTCCCCACCCTCATCCCATCCCTGTGACATCAGCGCAGGGGACTTGGCACAGATCCAGCCCCGGGAAAGGCAAGGGAGGGCACGCAGCAGGGGAAGAAACACGGGATCCCTTTCTGTACCCTGGGCCTTGGGCTGGGGACCCAGGTTCTAGTCCCTGCTGCCCTTCCCAGGGCAAAGGAGCTGATCCTCCCGTGAGAACCAGATGAGAGGTGGTCATGCAACACTCACAGAGAGGGGCCCGCACCGGGCTGAGGGAGGCGCTGGGCTGAGGCACAAGCCTTGGTTCTCTCTGCCACCAGCTGTGTGGCTTCGAGGGGGACGTGTGCCCCCCCTCTCTGCCCTCCTTCCCTCACCCACGACATGGGAATGAATGGTGGCAACGTGGACACTCCGGAACTGCGGGAGGGGCTGCAGTGAGGTGCTGCGTGCAGAGGAGGTGTGCCGCGGGCTGGCCCGCTGGGCGCGCTTGCAGGGCTAAGGTGCACATGCCTAAACGCCTGGTTCACGTAAGCCCTCCGACCACCTTGCCGGAAACCCTCTCGCTCCCCGGGCGTCTTGTTTCTCCACAGCTACCCCCAAGCTGTTGGACATCCTGATAGTTCCCGGAATCTGGTCACAGTGTTTTCTCACCAGGAGACCGCCCACTGATTTGCATTTATTCTTCTTCTGATGGGGGTGAAGGGGTGTGTGGGAGCTCAGGCCCCATATGGGGTGACCTGTGTGTCCCTCTGCCCCTCCCCACAGCTCCCAGCCACAACCCGAGTCCTGCACCTTCCTGGGTGGTTCTGGTCTGTACACTGTTTGCACAAGCTGACTCAGTTCTCGTTGCAGCTCGTATGCATTGATCTGGGGGCTGCAGGCCAACCGGCTCGGCTCGGGAACTGGAAGGCGTCTAAGCATAGACAGACTTCTCCCCTCTGCTTCCCATCTGCCACACCAGCAGCCCCTGACTGCCACCTCCCAGCCCTGCAGACTGCCTGCTCTTGTGGCTGATCTCGCTTGCTGCTTGGTCTTCTTCTGTAGACACTCAATCCATTTGAAAACACTCTCCCTGGTTACAGCAAAGGGAACCCCTCCTTCCCTGTCCCCAGTCATCCTACATGCTAATGCCTCCAGCCTGCAACCTCCTGGCTAGGCTAGTGCTTTCTTCTTTATGGCATTTAACCACCTTGGTATGCAGTCAGCACACCTGAGCTGACTGCATACCAAGCTTGCAGTATCCTGCCCCTGGGAAAATGTCAGGGTTGACTATAAGGGGGCAGATGGGGCAGGGGAACTTTAGGGTAGAAAAACGGCTGTTCACTCAGGCAGGAGGCAGGCCAGGAGCTCGGGGAAAGGGCTGAGGGAGAAGTCTGCAGCAGGGTAAGACCCCAGTCTCGTTAGGATCAACCGAATTTAACTCTCATCTGAACGGGAGAAAGGGTCTTCAACGGCAGGGCCTCCGTACGCAAAGGAAAAACGTCGGAGCTGGAGAGAGGGGCTTTACACCTGTGAGGTCAGTGATGGAGAAGTCGTGTGTGAATGAGTTTACACCACCACAGACCCTCATCGGCGAACGCCGACCAACTGGAGGGCCGTCACACAGCTCACAGGGGACTGTCCTTTAGAAACAGCTGACTTCAGACTTGCTAACTACAGAGTTAGCAGAGGAAGCTCCACGGTGCTTTCTGAGCCACAGTGGCGGCTCCTGGCGCACGGGGACGAGTGGCTTACGTCTCATCTCCATTCCTTTCCAGTGAGGAAGAGGAGGCTGGCGGACTTGACCGGGCCCATCATTCCCAAGTGCCGGAGTGGAGTCTAGGGCGTGCCGGTGACGGGCCTGCCTTCGAACTGGACGTGCTCTGCTGATACTCTGCGCTCCGCCGCGGGAATCGGAGGGCAGAGTGCCGGCACGAAACCCTTCTGTGGTTCAGTTCTTTATGCACTAAGGTTTTAGGTTAACTAGTGGTTATAGTTGAACATTTTATAAACTATGGTTAATGTGAAGTTTCCCTTTAGTCACAGTTCAATCTATTATTTAAAACCTAAGAAGCCCCTGAACCGGCAGGTCCTCCTGAAGGTGACATGAGAGCAGCAGTGACTTGGCCCCACGAGCCCCCGGGTCCGGCGGCCTTGCCGTGCGGTGTTGCCAGCGTCCTTAAAACGCACTAACTCGGGAACGAGCAGCACACGCCTCTGCGTGGTCTGGAAGCATTATGAAATACGTGGTTACAAATCTGATCTTAGTTACTATAGCAAACGGAACAGGTTCTTTATTAACCCTCCTTTAAAATTTAAGAATCTCAAGATTAAAGTTGCCAAATTGATTCTGGGATCAAGAACACAATTTTGCCCCTGAAGACAGACAGCCCAAAGCCGCAGAGCTCTGCCAGGACTCAAAGGACACGAGACTCCTTTTGCTGGCTACACGGAGACGACAGAAAGGCCAACAGTGAAATCCCAAGCTGCAGAACCCTCCTTCCTTTACCAGGCAACAGACAGCACCTTGAGTGTAGTTATCTGTGGTATCTGGGGTTTATTTTCCATGTCATACCGAGTCAGAATTTTTTCCTTAACAAATGCCAACCTTATGATGCATGGGAAGACCTATGGCCATGGCCTTGCAAACACCTTTCCACACTGCACGTGGGCTAACGGCTCACGTGAGGTCACATGTCAGACGGACACACTTCTAGTCCCCGCGCCATGCTGACAGGCCCCACTACCTGTGGCAGCGATCTCACGCTAAGTCACCGCTGGTCTCATGCCTGCAAACGTTAAGCCCCTGAGGGCCAGTGGTGAAGACCCAGACATTAAAGAATTAGGCACCCTGGCCAAACCATCCCAAGATTATTTTGAAAATGTAATTCTGGCGTCTCTGCCCTCACCGAGGGCACATGTACTTCTTGGGATCCGGTGAAGATGTGAAACCACAACGCCCTTGTGCCTTTTATCACACACGCCACAGTGCCAGTCAGGCGGGCATCCCCGATGCCGGGGGGGGGGGGGGTGGGACTGGGCACACCCTCCGATCGAGTAGAGGCCAGAGAGCTGACGAGCGCAGACTAGCTGCAGAGCACCGAGCAGAGAGGCTTCTGACGACGAAGGGGAGTCTGGCACACTGAGCTGCAGCGACGAGGACAGTGCAGGGTCACCAGAGGCGGGGCCAGGGCCTCACCGAGTTGGACGAGTGTCGCTGAGGCTGCACGGGGGCCCAGCAGTGGCACCGTGCTGCAGGGACAGCCATCCCCACCGGCTTCTTGAAACACAGCTGCAGCTGTGCTCTGCACCACTGGAAACTGCAATGTAGCATTAAATCTGTTGGTCTATGCATGGCTGCGTGCGTGCGTGTCTCTCGGGATCTGCGTCATGGAGACGCACACTCGACACAGCCGGGGACCCGGGCAAAGCTGAGGGGCCTCACTCAGAACACATCTCACGTCCTAAGGCACTCACAAACACCGCCCAAATGTCAGTGTTGTCAAGGTCATCCGAATCTCTCTAAGAAAATACTTAAAAGCCAAGTGTGGGGAAAGCAGAGATTATTGGGGAGCATCTCTGTTTGAAACCACACCAACAGGAAACGAGGGTGGGCCACATCTTTAAGACCATCAGACGAGCTACTGATCTAGACCAAGAGCTGGGAATTTTTCCTGTGAAGGACCAGGTAGTAAATACTGTAAGTTTTGCAGGCCGTAATTTTTCTGTTGAGTTGAAAACACCTGATTCTTCCATAAATCACATGTAAACAAATGGATGTGGCCACTCCCACAAAGCTTTATTCACAAAAGCAGGAGATGGGCAGATGCTGGACTCAGCAGGTCCTGGTCCAGTGCTCTCAGGCTGAGAGACGGGGGAGGGGAGGGGTGGGTGGCAGGTGGCCTACAGGGACGAGTTCCAAAGAGTCCACTTCCAGGGCCACAGCGTTTGCACTGCTGCCATCAGAGCAGACAGGTTTAGTGGCAAGGAAAATAACTACCACGAGTGCGCTGCACAGTGCAGAAAGGGCAGGGCCTGGTCACTGGGCCCGGGTTCTACCCCTCAGCGGCTCCGGGACCCCCACGGCTCACCTGCTTCTATGTTGTCCAGATTTCCGAGTCAGAGTGTCTCAGGCAAGAGGTCAGCACCGACTCCCTGCTCCCTCCTCTTAAGTCCAGGTGGCCACGACGGCACTGGCCAGCACCAAGTCCCCCAGTTCTCTGTTGCAGCGGCCTTGACATTCTCCAGTACAGGGTCACTTCAAACCTAGCTCTGTGGAGGCTCAGGGAAATGATGATGGTGCCGCCCACATGAGCGTGGCCCGTCCTCGGCGACACTGGGTCTCACCTCTGGGCTCTCGGGGAGCTGCACCGGCCGTGGAAGGTCGCTGGGCACGCGCGGCCGCCGGGCAGTGCACTCGCATTCCTCTCTGAAGCCGCTCCAGGTGGGGACTGCAGCAGGCCGGCTCCCCTTGTCCTGACAGGTGACGCAGCAGGCCGTGAACCCTTGTCCTCGGCAGGCGGGGCAGCTCAAGACCAGCTGGCGGCACTGGGGCGTGGAGCAGAGCTGGTAGCGGTCCCAGGGCACTCCACAGTAGGAACACTCTGAGAAGGAAGAGCAGTCTTTGTCAGGAACACGCGTACACACACGCACGCACATGCGTGTTGAGGCGCCTGTCCAGCTCCTAAATACACCTCTCAGCTCATCAGAATCGAAGATGTCCTGTTGCACCTGGGGAATGTTGCTAAATAGTAAGCCTCCTAACTTCTCATGAAAAATGATCCCCATCCCCCCATTTTTTGAGGGGGAGGTTGCTTCTGGGAATGGTCTTCCTGATTCCAGCATTCACTGACCCACTTTCTCTTTTCCCTTTTAGAAAACAGGTGGTAACTTCCCCCGCCCCGCCCCCCCCGCCCCGAAGCTAGCCAACCACCCCTTGTTCCGTGGTCTTTTCCCTTTAGATCGCCGCCCCCCTATCCCGGGGAGCAACACACCCGAATGCAGACGATCACGCAACTAATTCAACTCCTACAGCCCACATGCCACCTCCACAGGCCTGGTTCTCCTGCTGGTGCTGGCGGACACTTTGCACTGGGCTCCCTAAAACCTGAATTACAGACTTTCTCAGCGGGTTTTTCCCTGCTGACTTCTCTTACCACTGATCCTTCTTCAAGTCTTTCTACCAAGTTTATCTAAGCCATCTTTGAGCCTTTCTCTCCGCTTTATACTACATCTAACTCCAAAACAGATGCAAAGTAGCTTTCAATAAGTTACACAAATACAGCATGATCCAACTTAAGCAGAAGATCAAGAAGGGGAGAGGACCACCAAACTCAGACCCTCTTTTTCATCTGAGTGGTAATGCGATCTCGGTCTCTGACCCCTGTTCTAGACCTGCAGTAGCCACTAGGGCTGTCTGCCTGCGACCTTCCTCCTCTCGCCATCCGGGGTAAGAGCCATCTTTCTAGAGGATTATTTTCATCCTGCGTCACTGCCGGCCCTTGTCTGGTACCACGGGTTAGTGTGGACTCAAAGCCAGCCAGACCATTCGCTTCCTGTGGCCACCCCTGCCTCCGGCCTCGGCCCAGGCCCGGCTCCCGCCTCGGAGTGCCCCGCCCACCGTTGAGAAGTGCGCACCACGCGTGTGCGCAGACCGTCTGAACTGGGGGTTCTCTTGCTTTGTGCCGTGGGATTTGCTTGGCAGTCTAGTGAAGGCTGTGAGCTCTTAGAAAAATATTTGTTAAATGCATAAAGTAAACTACATAGGCTTACAAAGAAAACCAATTATACAGAAACACAAAATATTAAAATATTTCTAAGAATCTGGAATATAGTAAGATATTAGCACCTTAAATGATAAGAGTGGTAGGACTAAGAGCCATATCCATTTGGAAACAATGAACATAAATGCGATTTTGAGGTATCGGTACCAAATATAACCTATGAAAACACTGTGATTTCTACTGACAAAGTCATAGATACACCTAATACCTGTGATGTGTTGCTTACATTCATTCATAATGGACAGGAGTGTTACATTTAGTGAGGGGTTATGAAAATGAAGATAAAACTATCGTAATTATTTTCCCACCGAAATGCATAGAATCCCTGAATTCGATCTACTGACCCCAGGGGAAGTCCCTGAGTTGGCCTTTCAGTTCGACTCTCAGCAGGAAGGCAGAGCAGGGACCTTGTCCCTGTTCTGAGCACTTGCTTAACTGGTACGCAGGGAAGCCCGGGTCCCGACACAGGCCCATCTCCAACTCTGAGGGCGGTGGTGGCAGCGCTGCGCACTCCTTCCCGGTTGTTTCCGAGGGATCGGTACCGGCCTGCCGTCCAGTGGCTGCCACGGAGAGCGGGCCTGGCTGCGAGTTCAGGTCCTGGCCCCAGCCGACCCACCTGACACTGTGTCGCTGTTGTAGGACAGGGCGAAACGCTCATCGAAGACAAACAGCTTCCCTCTGTAAAAGCCATCGGGAAACTCCTCCAGGTACTTGTGGATGCCGCCCTTGAGCTGGAACACCTCCCTGCACACGCCCTGTGTGTGGGAAACAACAGGAGGTTGGAGGGGACAGGCAGAGACGAGTCAGAAGCTCCACAGAGGAAGGGCGCACGGTGAGGGACGCCAAGGCACGGCTCCTGGCTCCTGCGGTGGGGCCGAGAAACTGCTGACTGAGGGCTCAAGGGACCAACTGGCCAGGTCTTGCCGACCGGGGGATGGGCAATGACAGCAGTCAGGGCCTTCCCCGTCCAGATCCCACGAAGCTCAGCTATTTTTGTTGCCCCCTAAATATAGGAAGACACCTGTTGGGACTTGCGATGTTACCAAATTTGCTCATCTCAGGATCAAGCAAGAGCATGAGGCAAAGGGAGATGTTAACTAATTTCTCCCGTTTGTACCTGACGAGTCTGTAAGGCTGTTAAGCATTTCTCACACTTGAGGAGTTCAGAACGTCCGATTTTGTACGCATAAACTCTCGCTGACACCGGACAAGAGGAGAATAACCCCCCGGCGGGCTGGAGGAGGGAGTGTGAACGAAGGGGGGCTCCACACATGCTGCGGAGCACGGCGGAGCCCCAGAGAGGGTGACGCACCTTGGCTTTGAGGTAGGCCGAACCCCGCTCGCAACGGATGCCCCCAGTGCAGTACATCAGCACCCTCTTGTCTCTGAAGAGTTCTAGGTTTTTGTCAACGTAGCTAGGGAAGTAACTGAATTTCCTGATGTCTGGGGCTAAGCAGCCCTGGAAGTGTCCCTAGAATGTGAGAGAAGGAAAATGGTCAGAAAAGTGTGCCTGGTGTGCCTTTCCTGTGCCAGACACCCCTTCCCCACCCCCAGCCTTGGCAAGGACACGCCTGCTAGCTGCTGCTCTCATCCCACCCACACTCGGACCTTTCGACGTCACGACCTGCCACTCAGGGACAAGGCTGGTGGGCGGTGGGTGCCCTTCCCAGAGTCTGGGGGAACTGGAGGGGCTGCCCAAGGCCAACTGCACATCATGTGCCAGGATGTCTTTAATTCCTGTTTTCTCGGACTTTCTCACCAGACCCTGAGCTCATGGCTTGGGCTTCCTCTGAAGCCGAGAGCGGTGGGGAGAGACCCACGTGGCCCGACCACAGGCGGGAACACAGTGTCCGCTTCAGAGGAACACGCCATGTTCAGAGGAACACGCCACGCTGTGCTGAGTTCACTTGGGTTCTCACTTACTATTTTGCTTTCATAGAAGTTTCTGCAGTCCAGCAGGATGGTATCACTTTGTTCTTGATTTGCCTGAGACAAAAACTTCTCTACTTCTTTATGAAATTCACCTGGTGATAAATGGATTCCTAAAACCAAACCAAAAAATCAGTTAAAACAAAACACGAACAAAGAAACAAAGCTAAAGCACAAGTGGCCAGGCCAGTGACTTTTACACACCGTTTTGTCTCCTTCCACCTAAAGGTTTTTTTCTTCATAACAACAATTATGTCTCAAATAGCACTGATGACCATGATGAAATAATTTAGTAATTCCAGGTGTCCTAACTGTCCTTCCTCCTAAGGTAAGCACTATGGAGACCTGGCAGTTTATTTATTTTTAAAGATTTTATTTATTTATTTCTAGAGAGAGGAGAAGGGAGGGAGAAAGAGAAGAGGAGAAACATCAATGTGCAAGAAATACATTGATCGGTCACCTCTTGCACACCCCCGCCAGGGACCTGGCCTGCAACCCAGGCATGTACCCGGACCAGGAATCAAACTGGTGATATTTTGGTTTGCAGATTGGTGCTCAATCCACTGAGCCACACCAGCCAGGGTGGGAGCCAGCAGTTTAGTGATAATCAGTCAAAGAAGTTTACACCCTCACACTGGGCACAATCCATTGATAAAAGCCGGGCAGCTGGGATCTAAGCTACCACGTGGCTTGCTGGCCCATTTTCCGGCCAGTCTTCCATCGTCGCTACATGCGGAGGAGGTGACGCATTTCTATGTGATGACACCTTCTTCTCACACATGTGTATTTTTAAAAAAACTTTCTAACTTCCTCCCACGACGTTATGCTCACACCTGTGCCTGAGAGAAAGCGCAAGGGGTGCGAGGGCTGATGGTGGGAACGGTACAGGAGGACGAAGGGTGAGAGAGAGAAAGGGAGGGAAGGCTGGGCGGAGGAGGGGACAGAGAAACAGAATATAAGGAAACTAAAGAGAGAACCTGTCAGCAGTGGGGGGTGGGGGGGCCCTTTGCTTTCCCAACTCTCCAGGACAGAATTATCCCTGTGTCTTTCGGGGTTCAGACACCTCAGCTGGCTGGAAGGAACTTTTGGTGCATCTCGCAGTGCGGGGCAACCGCACCTCGTGGGCAGAGGCTCCGGTGACTTCGGCCACCACTCGTGATAAGCCCTGACAGCAACACAGGAGCCTCACTCCACTCAGAAATGAATCCCAACCACCACCTGGAACTGCTGGGTTCCCAGGCGGGGCAAGAGGCCCCAGAGCATGGCCAAAGGACCCAGGTTCCAACCCGCCCAACCCAAGACTGTGGGAAGAATGTAACAAGGCCAGATTTTATGTTACTGTCACGTAATTACACGGTCACTGAAACAGTGGGGTGAAGAGGGAGGTCCAGAACTGTGATGAGAAGCATGGACAACTGCTAAGATTTCTCCTTACGAGGGATGACCCTAAAAACCCAGAATTTCCTTCTGGAGGGCAGGCCCCTTGTAGTACAGGCTTCTCTTGCTAGGAGAGTGTTCTAGAAACCCATCTGTATCAGTGCACCAGTTGGTGTTGTTGTGAGAGGCTGCGTTCAGCTTTGGTGAATTTTTTTGAAGACTCTTTCAAGGCCTTTGCCCATTTCATGATGGGAGGTTTATGAGTGCACCTGCCCACACTATGCTGTGTTCAGTTTTTGACCCCCAACAGCATGGCCCCTCTGCCCTACCCTTCCTATTCACCCGATCTTGTCCTGAGTGACTTTTTTTTTTTGTTTCCCTGGATGAAAAAAGTCCTCAAAGGGAAATGTTTTGCCGATGGGGAAGAGGTGAAACAAAAAACAGCAGAAGCAGAAAAAGGCATCAAAATCGACGAGTTCAAAAACTGTTTTGAGCAGCAGAAAAAACATCTCAATAGGGGTACTGTGTCAAATGGAGTGTACTCTGAGGGTGACTGTAGTTTAAACATGTAAGAATGTACAATGCTATAAATAAATTCCAGGGGGTTTTAACCCCCCCCCCCACCTTTGTACAAGGAGCCACAGGGAACCAGATCCATTCCCTCGGCTGCTCTCCTGGCCCTGGGACGGCCTGACTGCACAGTGACTCACGTGGACACATTTAAAAGAAACGCCTGCACACTTGGCTCAAACAGAAGCAGCACAGTAGTGGCTGGAGCCCACTCTCGCCTGACTTCCTGAGCCGTGTCCTGCAGAACCAAGGAAAGCTGTCTCTGCTCACCTGCCCCTGCCCGGGTAGGGACACTGCGCAGGCATGGCCCTCTCCGGCCCTTCTCTCCTCATCATGAGTCCCTTCCTAGATGCTTGTATCTTATTCCCTCTGGCTTAACTCCTAGCCTTCTTTTAACATTTACATGTTAAAAAACGAATATAGACCTTTGTGCTTCCTGATGAAAGGAGACAATACTATCTATTAAGTAGTGTTGGGGAAAAAGAAAATGAAAAAGAAAATCAAATCTGAATCTGATCAAGTCTACAGACTGCAGTTGTCTAACATGGTAGCCAATAGCCACGTGTGGCTGATGGGCTCCTGAAATGCGGCCATAGACGCAGGACTTCAAAGACTCTGCATGCACAAACACGGTGAAATACCCCAGCAATTTTCCACATTGGATACATGTTGAAATAATATTTTGGTTATAATGCATTAAATAAAAGATATTTTATAAATCAATTTCACTTATTTCCTTTTACTTTTTAAAATGTGGCCATCACTAGAAAACGTAAACGTCCCCATGTGGCTCACACTGTATTTCCATGAGGCAGCACTCCCAAACACAGGAAGTACAGGGGACAGGAGAATACCCCTCGGGGATGCAGTCAGCTGTGTCCTGACTGTGGAAAATTCCATGGGCAAATGACCCAGTTCCCTCAGAAAATAGACAAGGGGACAAAAATGGAGGCAAATCTTTAGGTTAAGAGAGACTTTGATAGTGATCAACAGCAACGAGTGGACATTACCTGAATCCAAATAGAAACAAAAATTTTAAATTATGAAATAAGTGGGAACATTTGGTAAACAATATGGTATTATTTGATAATAATAAATATAAAAATATTTGATAATAGTAAAGAATAACTTAAAAATGTTTCAGATCTGATAATGGTTTTGTAGTTTTTTCAAAATCTTTATCCTTAGAGATAGCTACTAAAATATTTATGAATGAAAAGACATGATACCAGAATTCCCTTCCAAATAATCACAAGTGGGAGAAGGGTGTATATGTAGATGAAATGGCCATGAACTTGTAATTCCTGAAGGTGTGAGACAGGTACATGAGAGTTCACCATACTGGTGTCTATTTTTTCAATGCCTGCCTATTTTCATAGTAAACGGTATAACAAAAACAAAAAAAAACTCCACCAAACTTCTTTCAACCATCAATGGTAACCAGAAAAAGAGGGGAGAGAGAACATTCTGGAGCACTTGCAAACAAACTGCTTTGATGTTGTCAGTGACTTGCTTCCTGTAGCAATACGCCTGTGTATCTCCTACTCGGTCGATGAACTATTCACAAGCAATAATCACACTGGTCCCCCAAATTGCTATCTTTGAAAAGAGAAAATGACTCCTTGCCAAATGGTCATCAAGGAGAAGAACTAAGTCCTGGCTGGGGTAGCTCAGTTGGTTGGAGCGTTGCCCAATAAACCGAAAGGTCACAGGTTCAATCCTGGTCAGGACACATACCTGGGCCGCAGGTTCAGTCCAGGTCTGGGTGCACATGAGAAGCAACTGCTGTTTCTTGCAGCAATATTTCTCCCCTTCTCTCTCTGCCTCCCTCCCCCTCTCTAAAATCAAGCATATCCTAGGGTGAGGATTAAAAATAGTAGTAATAATAATAAATAAAAAGAATAACTAAGGTCATTCTGGGGGGCGAGTCTTCAGTTCCCACAGCACCAAACAGAAGACGAATCTAAGCACAAATAAACCCCAGTGTTTGGCGCCCCCAGCTGTTGTAACGAGAGGGTTCATCAAAACTCGAGTTGACCTGCACCCAGCTTCCACATCTGTCTCTACACTGTCCTACCTTTTTGAAGAAAAGCAAAGTGCTTCTTCTAAGAGCAAGCATACCAGGCTTCTTGTAGGAGATCTCACTGGGACTGATCCCCAAGGGCACAATTTCTTCAAACACACCGACACGCAGTTCCGGAAAACAGCAAGCTCCTCCCTTGCTGGTCTGGCCAACGAGAAACGAAGCAGAACACGGTCTTTCTCTCCACGTCCAGGTATGAGACATCTAATAATGCTGAGTTATCTGGAACATTCTAGGCCGTAATTCCCTTGTCCCATGAAAACAGGTTTCCTGACTTGAGGCTCCTTAATACTTCAGCTACCGTATCATTATAAAACACACGTAAATCTTATACTTGGCACTTAATTACTGCATGCCTACCACGTGCAGGAATGCCACACTGAAAAGGTGTTTCTACGGCAGTATGTATCTAAAACGGAAACATCCTGAGCAACTCCAACACGCAAAACCACATCCCAGCTCCTGCTCTGAGGCGATGACCTCTCTCTGCCTGTCACCCCCAGCACTAACAGCAGCAAGGTTGTTTCCCACCACCTTTCTCACCTATCACAATAGAGCAGAAAGCCACTCACATGCAGCAGCTAGCTGTAGGAGCGACCTTGTTCCCCTGCGGTGTGAGGTGCCGATCTGATCCCGGCAGGTTTGCGGAAACAGCCAGGCAGTCTCCCAAGTGAGCACACGCCTCTAAGTGTTAGGGCTTAGGCGGTGTGAACTGTGCCATCCTCACTCTGTACAGAGGGGGGCTGAGGTCCAGAGAGGGCGCTAACTTGACCGGGACCACGTGGCGACGTGGTGGCAGAACGGGAACGCGCACGCCCGGCCAATGCACTGCCTTCAAACCTTGTAAAGGGGAGGGGTGTTTAGCTGGTTCTGCACGGACCTCCTCTTCAGGACCTACAACAGGAGGAGGCACCAAGGCAGGAGCAAATGGCTCTAGAGCCACCTTCTTTTCAGTTTCTCTTACCTTAAAATCGTCCTCACTCAGGTAACCCTTGAACAGTGGGCAGGAAAGCATGGCTTCCACATAGAGCCTGGTGGCCAGTCTGCTCCCACCAACCGTCCCGTTGACTCCTTCTGTAGCAATTCGCACCTGGACACGAGACAGTGCGAGAAAGGGAATGCTGTTTGTTCCCGCTTAGTTTAATCTTCCCAGGATGGAACAGGCTCGGGTATGTCAATGAGGTGAAGAGGAAATGCAGAGACACTGCTGTGGACACTTTATTAATTAGGCTTTATTTTAAAATTGAGATGGCTATAGGTATTAGTAATACAAATAGTATACTTTTGCTACTTGTTATTTTAATAAACTTATGTAAAATGTAGCGACATCAAAAATGAATGTGCACTTCTGCCCGGGCCGGTGCGGCTCAGGTGGCTGGAGCCCTATCTTGTAACCAGAAAGATCACGAGTTCCATTCCCAGTCAGGGACATGCCCAGGCTGTGGGTCTGGTCCCCAGTCGGGGCGCATATGAGAGGAAACCGACCGATGGTTCTCCCTCGCTTCGGTGTTCCTCTCCCTCTCTCTGTCCCCCACTTCTCCTCTTTCTAAAATCAATAAGCATGTGTGCAGGGGAGGATTTAAAAAAAAAAAGAATGCCCACTTCTGTGTAAGTCTTGACAATATTGATGGGTCAATGTTTCAAGTTTGTTTTTACTCTGAGTAATATCAACTATCTGCTCTCCTACTAGACCTGAAACTTCCCTCTAAACCATATTCAGAGAGGATTTTTTGGTTAGGTATTTCAACTTATATATTTTTAAGGGATTACATAGAAAAACAGAGCTAACCAGTAAAAGGGTCAGGAAACCTACCCTAAAACTTTCTGACTGTGACAGATACGATGAAGAAGTACACACGTCCACGTTACTGTCTTTTGGGTAGATCAGTAGATGCTTTTCTTGGTTATTTTATCTCAGAATCCAAATAAAAACAAGCACATCCACTCCCTGTAGAGCTGGGGCAGCGTAATCTCTAAACTCACACACTAGACCTTCAATTTCTAGGATCCTTCCACAGAAATTTCAAAGCAGCTCCTTGGTGAAGGAGGCCACAAACTCGGAGACGAAGAGCTACAGTCAGCGTTCCTAAGCACCCACTAAGAGACAGGAGCTCTGCGTCAGAACCCTGAGGGGTAGGTGTCACAATCCCCACTCGGCGGAACAGGAACCGAGCTCAGGAAAAGCAAGCATCCGTGCCCAAGGGCACAAGTTGGTGTGCTAAATATGGGATTCAGAACCCGATCTTACTGGCTCTAAACCTTCTAATTTTTCCTTTCCAAAGCCTCCAATGCACTCCCTTAAGTATCTTTAGGCAATAGGGAATGCACAGCAATAGGGACAAGATGCTTCCTTCCATAATTCCAGAACTTTCAAGTATTCCTCTTTCTCTAACTAAACACCAATATTCTGACAAGTTTCCTATGAGCAGAAAATGATCTCAGTAAGCTGCACAGGTATCATGGAAACCTAAGAATTTAGACCTAAGTTCAAGGCAGGTGCTGCCACCTTGTGGTACGAGACCCTCACCTTGGGCTGGGCCAAAAATAAAAATCAGCCCCTAAACCAAGGAAAGAAATTGGTTTCATATGTTGTACATGCAGGTTGAGTGTGAGAATATTCATCTTTTAAGATGATCTCTAAACAGAGATGATAATAAATGTATTCATTCCACAAATGTTTACTAAGTATTTTACTGTGCACTAGGAACTGTGCTGGGAATGAGGGTTGAGTCATTTTTTGTGCAAAGCCTAAAATATTTACTATTTGCCTCTTTAAATTGATTGACCCCTGGTCTGTGCCATTAAATATTCTCATAAAACACCATGTTAATAGCTATTTAGTATTCTGTTTTAATGCCTAGCACGAGTTCGCTAATTTCTAAGAACCCAACAGTGAACCCTCTTGTAAGGAGCGCAGCCTGTGCAATCCGAGTGCAAGGCCAGAGGAGCCCAGTGCAGGGCGGAGTGTGGGAAAAGGCGTTACCTTGCCCGTGAGGTGCAGGCGCTGACACAGAGCTGTCTGCCAGGCGCAGATCCAGTGGGGATCCTCCAGGTCGCAGTAGCAGTAGTAAAGCAGCACCTCTCCTTCCTCACCGCCCTGGCCACTGTATGAAGAAAACCGCAGGGAGAGAGCATGTGAGCCGCTGGCATACAAGCCACAATTCATAAAGTAACCCAGGCAGCGCCAGAGGGAAGGCTTAGACGAAGCAATTCATGCCTGCCTTCGTACCTGCTACCGTTCTCCTGAAATGAGAAGCAACCCCTGTCCGCATCTGCTCTAAAGAAGGGCAGTACCCGCACTTTAGAGCCGAGTACACTGAGGCCAATTCCTTCCAGGTGAGACAGCTACAAGTCACAGCAGGACTTGGACACCAGATTTCTGGCACTAGAACACATACCCTTGCTACTGCCCTGTGCCGTGGGGTCTGCACAGGTCTCTCAGCACCTCTGGCCCTATTTCCTCATCTGTAAAACTGCAGAACTAAAGTAAGATGCATTTCCCAAAAGTGCACTCTGAAGCTGTTCTATGAAATCATGATGGAGAAATCCTGCAGACAGTGTTTCTCCCTTTGAATCACAGTAAAAGCCCCTTATCTATTAAGGGCTCTGAGGGTGCTGCAATAAAGAACATTTTAAACTAGTGCTTCCCAGACTTATTTGTCTTAAACACCTCTTTTCTTTTTTAAAAAAAGATTTTATTTATTCATTTTAGAGAGACGGGAAGAGGAAGTGAAGGTGAGAAAAATCACTGTGTGGCTGCCTCTTAAGTGCCCTGTACTGTGGACCTGGCCCGCAGCCCAGGCACATGCCCTGACTGGGAATCAAACTACCAACCCTTTGGTTTGCAGCCCGTGCTCAATCCACTGAGCTACACCAGGCAGGGCTTAAATACCTCTCTTTTCAATACCTGATAGCATCCTCCACAATAATGCTACACAGATGTATTTTAGATGATGGTGAAGGTCCCATCTGGCTCTGGGATCCGGTTTCAGGGCCTAGCTTCCTCCAAAGCCTTCCTCTCTGTTTTAGAGCATATCTATTTTCCTTCCTCCAAACTCCTGTAACAAACTATCTGAACCATACAATTTAACTGATAATTACATAGTCTGTCTCAAGTCATCTGCTAATTGCTTTGTGCCATTTTCTTTGTTTCTTTAACTAGAAAGCAAATTCCTTGAAGTGCGAGCCCACATTTACAAAATACTATGTGGTTCGCAGGTGCTGTTACCGCCATTTGTATGTAACGCCGAGAAGCAGGCAGGGCAGACACTATAATGCCTATTTTAGAGGTGAGGAAATGAAGGCACACAAAATTTTAGCGACTAGCTCAGGTCAGACTCCAGGTTCAATTTTCCTTGTCCTTTTCTTGCTGATAAACAAGGTATATTTGACACTAAAGACTAGTGATTAAAGTATATCAAATTTGGACATTTTCTATTTACCAAGTAGTTTGGGAATTGCTTGATATCAGAAACCTGTCCTCTAGAATTCACAGCATAATTTGGTAAAAGTTTTTCTAAACCTCCAGTCCTGTGCCTCAGTTCTAATGTTAACAACCTTTCTAAAACACATTCAGCTCAGAACGCAACATTTTTTAAGGTCTGACATTGTTCAGGGTAGAAGGATCATCTACCTTGCTGGGCCTTCTGATTTCTCTTTGAAAACAATACAATGTCCTATTCTTTTCTTCTCCCTAAAGGTAAGATACAGGATGGCTCTCAAGAAACCTGGCGACACTACCAGCTGTGTGGTATATGGTACTGTACAGGCTGTAAACTTCTGCAGTACCTAATGCATGTGTATCAGCCTAGCGCAGGCCCATACAGAAACTCTGTGCCTTTGGGATCTTGCTATTTTAGTGGATAGGTAGTGATCCCTTACTGAGGCTCAAAAACCATTTTTAAAATTAAACCAAAGGCACAGAATGAAAATCTTACCTTACCAGCTCATCCGGGCTAAAGCAACTAACATCAGGGAGCCAAGCAGATACATCATGGTTTGGAGTTAGGTCCTCTTTCGGAGGGTTCCCGTTGCCTGCAGACAGAGGGCCCTTCGAGGTGCCCAGTGTCGCAGCCAGCTGCTTTAAAACAGAGGCGGTCTGGCGGCAAACCTCATCAGCGTGCTGTGTCGCCACGTGTCTGTGGATGCCGGTCTGGTCCGGGAAGAGTTGCTGACAGCATTTCCACCGCCTTTCTTTACATTTATAAGAAGGTGCCAGAACTTCTTTGGTTTTGACAAAAAGGGCAAATGCCTGTAATTACATTGCAAATTGTCACTGTTAAATAACTGTAGGTTTAAGGCTAATGGAAGTCTCAGTGAAATTCCGTCTATTGTCTTTCCTCAGGGGTTTCCAGTTTCATGTCCCACTATTCACCAGAAGAACTTCCTGGGCGAGTAATGGTTTTCTTAGTAAGCTCTATGCCAGCTGCACCAGATCAGACGTCTTAACCAGCAGCTGCCCTACTGCCACCTATTCACCCCATGACTAGGTCTCCTGGGTTCCCGGGATTCCTCCCAAAACCCCAGGTGGGGAAAGGAATCCAGCCTGTCTGTCTGGAATCTGTTTTCCAGTATTCCACCACACGTGTCCCAGGACCACACCTTGCCTGTGAGTCCCTTGTGCCTGGCACTGAACTAAGATCACTGGTATTGGACCTGACCAGACCCTCCCTTGAACACGGCAGCAGCCTCCTGCCCCATTCCCCCTGTACTCCCTGGAGGACAGGCTTGATGAGCTGCTTCTAGGTCTGTCTGCATTAACGAGACACACGTGATCCTGAAACACCAACAACAGTTTTACCTTTTTCTTTGCAAATGAGTATTTCTTCTTTGTATTGACATCTAGCTCAGCTTTGAGACTGCTACTGGAGTTGGTAAGATGCGTGTCTTTCAAATCCCAGTCTGAAAATCTTAAAATACAAGCCTCCAGGTCATCTCCTCGGTCTGGTGAAGTGGAAGAAGGCATCTGGTTTGGTTGCAGCAGGGGGGCGGGTCCCTTTCAGTTAACCCTCTCCTAGGAAGTAAGTAAGGCAGAAACAGTAATGTCCAAGTCTTTCATTACTAGTTGAAGTAAACTTGATGCTAATTAATTGTGCAAACAGCATGGGACCAGTAGCCCAAGCTATCCACTCATTCATTCAATACATATTTATTTAGCAGGCACTATTCTAGATAGTGGGGACATAGCAGTAATGAAATAGAAAAAAAAAACAACTCAACTTTATTAGAGCTTACATTCCAATGGGGAGAGACAGAATATAAGCAAATAATTTGATTTTTTTAAAAAAGTAGGGCTGAGGCTGTGTTGCTTAGTTGGTTGGAGCATCATCCTGTACATAAAAAGCATGCAAATTCGATTCCTGGTCAGGGCACATACTTGGGCTGCAGGTTCAATCTGTAGTCAAGTCACGTATGAGAGACTACTAATTGATGTTTCCCTCTCATATGGATGTTTCTCTTTCTCTCTGTTGCTCCCTCCCTCACTCTCTCTCTAAAAATAATAAAGACATATCCTTGGGTGAAGGTTTTAAAAAGTCAGATGGTAAAAGAGGCTATGTAGACAAACAGCAGGGTAAGGAGCAGAGTAACGGAGGGCGTCTTTAAAACACAGAGGGTGGGTGAAGTCTGAGGCAGTAGCATTGAAAACTGGAATGGGGCAAGCCATGTAAACGATGAGGGGAAAGCAATACCAAAAAGCACTAGGCACACAGGCTGTGTGCTAGTAACTTCAGTTCTAAACAGTTGGTTCTTTTTTCTTCCCTAAATTTTTGAGCAGTGTGAATTCCCAGTCTTAGAAGAAATAACTACCAAGAGAGTCCCATTTTAATGAGTCAGAAGAAATATGCAAATTGCTACTGTGGCCAAATCTTGTCAAAATGGACACATGACAACCAACATACTGCTACAGGTGACAAAGAGGCAACATGAAACATGTAGCACCGGGAAAGGCACTGGCTTTGGATCGTGGTGTATCTGAGTGCACGTGTGTGACCTCTCCTCACTCTAAATCCTTTTCAGTTCTCGCTTTAATTTAGGTATTCTTAACTATTCCATGCGGAGACTGCTATGTGCTCGGCACACAGAATAGTGCTGCGGATGATGGTCTTAATAAAACAGTGACAGTACCTGCTCTTTGAGGCTTATATTCTAGAAAGAGAAGAGACTCTAAATACGGTAAGTAAATCAATTTTAAAACATGAAGTATCAGTGATAAAAGCTGCTGCTTCTCAATTTCCTTTGCTGAGGATCCTCATTACCAGCTGTCCTAACCTTTAAATGTTGAATTACTTTATCTATATATCTAATATCTAAGTGATTGGATCTCATCTGGCCCCAAGGACTTAAAAACTAAGTTTCCTCATAATTGTGCAAAGGGGGGATAATATAGGTGAAACTAGACTGGCTGGGAGTTGGGAATTGCTGAAACTGGTTGACAGAGTATATTGAGGTTCATTACATAATCTTCTCAACTTGTGTAAATATTTAAACTTCCATTAAAAAAAGAAAAAGGATAAGCAATCATAAGTAAAGGGAAATTTATGTTTAGAATACTATACACTAACTGACTCCAAATTTGTACTCCGAGTCATCAGCACCATAAAAGCAGAGATTTTTCCTCTAGATGCTAAGGCCTCTGCAGTCTCAGCATCTAGAACAACGCCTGGCACAAAGGAGGTGCTAAATGTTAATAAACACAGCATCTGCTGAATGAAATAAAACAGTGACTGGGTAGCCAGGGAAGGCTTCACTACGGACCGGATGTTTGAGTTGAGACCTACATGACAAGCAGCCCTCCATGCAGATTTAGCAGCAGAGATCTACGGGCAAAGGAAATAGTGAATATCAGTTCCCAAAGTGGAAACAAGCTGGTGCAGGAAGACAGAGTGATGGGAGTGCAGTGATGACAGACGAGAACCCTGTACCCACATAAGAGTATGGAGTTTGCAATGGCAAGTCGTTGCACAGTTGTAAACAAAGGAGTGACGTGCTCTAATTCTAGATTTATTTTGAAAGTGGAGCCGGCAGGCCTTATATACCCACTGTTCTGTAGGAAGTGAAGGAAAAGGAGAACCCAAGAACGATCCCTACCTACACTTTTGGATTAAGCAATAGGATGAATGGTGCTATTTACCGAAATGGCGTGCCGGGCCGGGCCCAGTCTCCACCCAGCTTTCCCAAGGAGGCAGAGGCCCGGAAGTAGAAGTATCATCAGCACGTACCTGCCACTCCTAATACTTTCTTAGATCTTTCTTCGTTGAACGGTGCCCTTCTAGAAATTAACAAGGTTCACCACCCTGGGACCTCCGGGCCACGCCTGGAGATTACGTAGTAAGGAACGCTTGAAACGTCACCTCGCTCCGGAAGTCTTCGAGATTATTAGCGAAAGGGACTCTGGGAGAACCAGAAAGCCCCCGAGCCGGGGACAGGGGAGGGTCTGAGGTTGGGACTAGGACTGAAGCTTCCTTCCTAGACCGCGGGCCTCCCGGCTTGGCTAGCGCCTCCGGGCTTTGGCTGACCGAAGAGGCGGTGCTATCTACGTGGCCCCGGAAGTACTTAGAGCGCACGGCGGGAGAGGGAAGCAGCTGAGAGGCAAAGGAAAGCGGAGGGAGCGGTTGCTTGAGGAGCCGAAGCCCGCGGCCTGGGGAGCTCCTAGACACCGCTGAGCCCGCCCGGCAGCCTCTCCTTGCGCTTCCGGGAGCCGTCGCGAGGGAGTGCGCCTGCGCGCCAGCCACTCCGCACACCTCGCCGCTGTCCTCCCGTTCGCCAGCGTGCGACGGTTCCTTCCGTGCTTTCCGCCCAGCAGCTTGGCTAAGCAGCGCAGGGGCGTGCAGCATGTCGCGGCGGCGGCACAGCGACGAGAATGATGGTGAGTGCCCTGGGCCGGGCCGCCGAGGCCGCGCCTTGATGGGGGCCAAGCTTTGGCTTCTTTGATCTCTGGGTCTGGAGGGAAGGGGGTGGGAAGCTATTCCCACCCGGGAGCGTTCGGAAAGCCTCGGAATGGTGGAGGGTGGCACGGCTGGAGCGTGGCCTGGCTACTTCTGTAAAGCTCCTGCTTCCCCGCTCCCCAGCTCCTTTAGTAGTTGGTGATTGGAGGCCTTGGCTTGGGGGTGGGGGGTGGGGGCTTGTCTGTGTAACGACTTTTCAGGATTTGGTCTTTATCACCGCCGAGCAAGTAAGTACACCTGTGCTGTGCGGCCGCCTCTTAGGGGCAGTGACAGGGACCCTTTAGTTCCAGCGTCTCGTTTTGACCCTGGGACTAGGGTCAGAACTGCACCAGAAAGGGCTCTCGGCAGAGTACTAAGGGAAAGGAACAAAGCCTTGACTGAGAGATCTAAAGAATCGCAATGTAGTTCCGTCCCCTACCGGTCACCATTGATTCGCCTTTTAAGCTGCAGGGAAAGAGAACTCTTCTTTACACCCAAGAGGTCAATATTAAACAGATGCATGTTGTGATGTTAGATTTTGAACTGGCAGTGATGGTATTTTCTTCGTGTAAAAGAGTGCTGGAAAACGAACTGGAAGGCCCAAAGAGATTTAGATCAGGGGTTGCTATCGCCACTTGGATAGTGGTGCGCGTGGGAATCATGGTGCATCTTAAAAAGCAAGACTAATTTTGCTAGTTAAAAACAGAAAAAGATGCTTACATTACATAATCAGCCAAGAACACACAGCCCCAAAGAAAGACTAAAAGTAAATTCTATTAATATTTTAGTTTATTGTTCTTCGAAAAGAATGTAGTGTAGTGGTTAACTGGCCAGACTTTGGAATCAGAGTGTTTAAGTTTAAAGACAGACCCTACCATTTACTTTGTGATCTTGCCCAGGTTATATCACCTTTTTAAAACCTTAGCCAGTGATGTAGTGGACGATACATACATCTGACCGGTTTTTTGATGGTTAAATGAAATAATACATGTGAGGAGTGGCTGATTATGTTTTCTGTGTGATCACCTGTTAGTGCTGAAGAGGTGAGGAACATTGGCAGATGTCAGTGACGTAAAAAAAATACAGAACACAACACTTAATTGTATTAATTTTCTCTACTAACATACTTCTCTCTTTGAACTTTGGTGCAGCCAGGGGGAGGTAAAACTAAATCATATGTATTTATTTTTAACAGTGAAACATCAGGTTTCTTCCAGGGCATGGCTTGAAAGGACATTCTAGTCCAGCCTTCACATCTGATACCTAAGGGTCTAGGTAGGGGTGTCCAACCCTTTGGTGTCTCTGCGCCACTCTGGAAGAAGAAAAGTTGTCTTGGGCCACACATTAAAAACTTGTTGAGACGTAATCACTGCTTTACGTAAAACACTGACATCAATGTTTTAAGCAAATTCACGATTTTGTGTTGGGCCGCATTCACAGACCCTGAGGTTTTGTGTTACTGACATGTGGTCACAGCTAGTGGTGCCCGGGTACCCGTGAGAGTACATCCAGGGTTCTCTTAACTGTGGAGGTATTATGCTTCGTGCTTTTTATTTATTTTTTATTTTATTATTTTTTTATGTAGGAGGCTTCTTGTAAAACATTTGGGGCACAGAAAGTACACACTTCATATGCTTTGAATTGATTCATCAAAAGCTAATGTGCTTAAAGTCATCACTTGGGGGTTAGAGAATGTGAACCTTTAAAAGATTTTCAATTTTCTTTGCTTTTCTCACACTTTCTTTTCTCCATTCCTTCTTCTCTCTTCTGGAATAAGCCTAAAGGGAGAGAAAATGTTTCCAGAGGGCAGACTGGAGAATTGGATTTGAATACGTAGACATACAGCTTTTGCTTTGGTTATTGGGATCCTGGCATGCTTTTGTTGGGAGTTAGTTTCTTTTAATACCAGCTGGCAGCTAAATCACTGCCCATTTGGGTCTTGCTACAGGCACCTCAGAATAAATATGTAAAGACAAAGTAAAATGAGGAGTTAATCAATCCAAGTTTACTGTTGCAAATAATGTAGTATTGACAGTGCAGTTTATACTGCCTCTTGGACATTACAACAAATCTGGAACTTTTGTAATTTGCCACAATTTCAGTAATGATTAGGGCTTACCCTAAACAGTGATCTGGATCAAATATCTTATATACTTTACTTTTAGTTGAGCATCTATTAATATTTTAAAATTAGAATTATTAGTAGCTTAAATATTATTGAAAGTTATGTTCTTATAGTCACAGGCTGAGTTATAATTATAGTTTAATAAATAGATAAGAGCCCTTCTAGATTATTGTCAGCTCTCATGAGTTGGTCATGGACTGCCATGACTTTCCACATGCTCAACGAGATATAATCACTTGTTCAGCAAATGCTCAACAGTGCCAGTCATTGTCCTGACTGCTGTACATCAGTGGACAATGTAAAGATGAAAAACAGAAAACAACCAAGCACAATGTAGCATATTGCACGGTGATAGAGGAAAATGAAGTTGGGTAAAGAGGGTGGAGACTGCTGTGCAGGAGGAGTTGCTGTGCTCTCCGTGGGCTGCTCAGGGAAGGCCTCACTGAGAATAGCAACTGCCAGGAGGCCAGGGAGCAAACGTGACAGCTCTCTGGGGGAAGCTAGTGGTCTGTACGCACAGGGAACAACAAATGCAAAGGCCTTACTTAAGGCGAGACCGTTGCTGTCTCATTCACCAAACTGCAGGGAGGCCAGTGTTGCTGAAGCAGAGTTAGTGTGAGGGGGAAAGTTGTAGGAAATAAGATCAGAGAAGTAGCAGGGGATTGGCTCATAGAAGATTATTTTAAAATTGTATCTCTGTGCTGAGACTGGAGTAACCAGGATCCAGGGAGACAATTTCACGTAGAGGTCAATTTATAGACAAAAGAAGGGAAGTCCTAAGTGGAAATGAATGTGTTGTGGATACTGTTCCAGTGCTGAATCTAACTTATTTCTTAGACTCTTTTAAAGAATATTTCTTAAGTTTTTCAGTTATTATAGGATATGCATAGGATAATAACTGTTCAATACATAGTTTTGTTCCTTTTTATTTCATTATTTTTAAAGTCTTTTATTGATCATGCTATTACAACTGTCCCATTTTTTTCTCCCCTTTATTCCACTCTGCACTGAACCTTCCTCCCACCAGTGTTCTGCCTCCTTCATGTCTTTTAAGAAAGTAGATTGTCCATAATCTTAGCCAAAAACCCACAGTAGCCCCATTTAAGCTATTTAGAATTAGATCCTTATCCTTTAGACTGTAGCTGGTTTTTTACTTACTATAGAAAGAATGAATGGAAGTGAAGGGGTTTGTTACTTTCAGCGAGAGGATAGTTTGTTTCAGAAGCAATGGTTCCTTCTACTTTACTTTTCCCTTGTTAGGTTGTTGGTGGTGGTTACTTTCTCCTTTACCTTGTTGGTTTCTGTTTTTGATTTTGTGGGTCTAGATGTTCTTACAGTATGTCTAATTCTAAATGAGTGTGTATGATGCAGGACAACATACCCATATAAAATTAGTTTTACCTTACAGGGGGAAATATTATTAAGATGTTTTTAGATGGATTTAATAGAAACTTGCTTCTCTGTTCTATACTAGCCAATGGTGTCTGAGTAAAGTGGCAGTCTGTAACTTTAATTTACATTGTGAAACTTCTGCATAGTTACATTTTAATATAAGATCTGTTCTTGCTTTGGGAGATACCTTGAATACCTTTTCTTGAGGGTACACGAAAACATTCAGCTAATTCCCCAGATTTTATTATTAATTGAAGTGTTTTATTCAGTTTCCCTGGGCTCTGGCCCAGGTTCTCGTCCGTGAGTTCAAATTGGGTCTGCAGTTGCCCCTCCCTTCATGCTCTCTCCAGTACAGGGAAGCTCTTACTTCTTGGTACTTTCTGCTGCTTTCCATTCTCCAAAACAAATTTGTTTGTCAATATAGAGAAAATGGGAAAAAGCAAAAAGAGGTGCTGTAGTTCAGACACAGGACTGTGAGCTTGTATTATCTAGCTTTTCTTCAGAAATCCTTCTTTTTCGTCCCACAGTTTCATTTCCCCCTTTTCAAGCTCACAAGAGGGTCTAGGAGGGTTGCTTTAATAGGGTGTAATTCCAAACTGCTGTGGGAGCAAGCCAGCTGGATTTAGGGAGGTTGTGGGATAAAAAGGGGTTGGCAGAGTAGATGGTCCAGAGAGAAAGGAGCAGTGGTCGAGGTTTAAAACAACAACAAAACACTGTTCTCATCCAGCCACCTTTTCAGAGTGGATATTCCCGCAGCCTTAGTAGAGTCTGGTTTTGAAGAGCACTCCTAGTATTCTCTGCCTTGTAGAACAGAGTTTCTCAACTTTAGCACTGTTAACACCTTGGGCGGGCTCATTCCGCGTGGCTGGGAGTTGTCCTCTGCTATATGATGTATTTAGCAGAGTCCATGGCCTCTACCTGGATGTCAGCAAGACTCCCCGAGCCATCATGACAGAAAACTGTCTCCAGAGAATGCCAAGTGGCCCTTAGGGAGCAAAACCTCACCCAGTTGAGAACCATTGTTCTAGGAGAAGGATGTTTTTAATGTCCTAGCTAACAACTTATATAAACATTGCACCAAATATGCAATTTTTTTTCAATGAATGAATCCTGGAAATAGAACACCTTTGTGTGAAGGTTCACCTTTCAGGTGGTTGAACCTTTATAGACCCCGTGACTTTATAGACGTATACTTAAGAATCAAGGTGACTGATCCCATAGTGCCACACATGTCCACAGCTTTACACAGGAAGATGTCTCAGCTGTCACACTACATGTATGTTGTATTTTTTTTTTGTCATTATCCTTTCCCCAAACCACGTTCAGTGGTTATCTGAGCCATATCATTATGATAACCGAGGGGTGGGGAGTCAGAGCATGAAGCGCCTTCCCCTGTGGCCTTTCAATGTGCTTCCATCTGGTCCTGCCTGCACAGTAATGGGTCGGTTCCATTCTGCATGCATTCAGGGGGTGTGCAAAGATCATTGCCATCACAGGAGTGACTTTACTCCAGGCTTTGCATAGTCAAGTGGCGTGTTTATGGCAGTCATCATATATTTCAAGCCACATGTTCCAGTGACAAGACAGTGGTTATGAACCCTGTAAAAATGGCTTAGTTCTTTTGGCCACATGAGTCAGAAATTACATATAACTTGCTCCTGGGTGACCCTATACTCATCCACAAGTTTTCATTATCAATACAGACCCCCCCCACAGTTACAGGTCCCTGCTTCCTTGTCCACATGCAGCCCCAAGAATCTAGTTGTTGACGTCAAAAAGTGAATTACACTAGAAACCTAGCCAGTGTCACAGTTAGCAACAGCAGCATGTTCCGTACTTAACATTAAAGTTTTTTAAGCTTTAGGTTATTCCACATAAGGATGTGAAGTCAGTATGTTACAGTTTTAAACAAAATGGTAAGAGACCATTAACAGCAGGAGTCTGAACAGTAGACAGTCCAGTGTCTAAGGTTGATTTGTAGCACAGCGTCATTCAACTTGAATTCTTCAGCGACCAAAAGGACAAATAGGTGATTGGTAATGATTTCAGAATGGTAGGTATTTTTTAAGGTTCTTTAAATGATATGGTTTTTGAATATAGTAGCATCAGTAGTTAAAGTAGGGAATCAAGAGCCAGTTAAAGCAGGGAATTGTAGAACATATTTTGTTCCCACCAACTATTTGCTCTACAGCTAAGGACTTTTTTTCAGTTTGTCTGCTGATTGTAATCCATCAGTTTACATAATAATTTTCATTATCACAGTGAGTACTGCTGGTACCAATAGGTTTTAGGAAGAGGAACTGAGGAACAGTCAACGACTCGGATGGAAAGAACGGAAGTAGCAGTACAGATGTTACAGAGTGTCGTGCTTGTCAGGGGTTAGCGCCATCCTCAGACATGGAGAGGGCCGCCGCACTTGGAGCTCCATGGGGCGCCTTTCACACAAAATTTAACATAAATAATGTCTCCTCTTAATAATAATGCCTTATGTTAACAATATTATGTATTAACATAAATATAGCGGCCTGGATATGGAGACCGTTGTTAATCCAGCCTCAGCTGAGAAGCAGAGGGCCAGTTAAGACTAGCGCTGTGTGTAAACAAACAGCAGGGCTTCTAGTAAAAAAGAGACTGTAACGTTTAAAAAGTTAAATAAGTTTTGCGACAGTGAATTTATCATGAAATGTTATTTTTTACATGGTTGAAACAGGGGGACAGCCTCACAAAAGGAGAAAGACCTCTGATGCAAATGAAACAGAAGACCATTTGGAATCTTTAATATGCAAAGTAGGAGAAAAGGTATGCACCAAACAGGCACAGACCTCGGGGCTGGGGCTGGTGTGGGCTGTGCTTGGGTTAATTGCATCAGCTGAAAACCCCGTGGTGGCAGTCTGGGCAGAGCTTATTTAGCCATGCATCTATATCCCAAAATGTGCCTGTGTAAAAGCCTTGGAATGCAGATAATTGAGAACTAAATGTTTTTTGTACTTTTTATAGAATATGAGTCTTGGAAGAAATTTTAGGGAATAGTCTAAGTTTATCAATGAAGAGCCAAACAAGTCCCAAATACTTAATTTGCCCAGAGTCATATAGCGAGTGAATTGGAGATAGAATAGAGCCCAGGATGTCTTCATTTCTAATGCTTAGTCTACTGTCTTAGACTGCTTGCTTTTTAAATTTCATTCATCCTCTTTCCTTGGATTTGTAAAAAACTATACTGCCTAATTGATCTATATTAAGCCTATCTTAGTGCCTTGTGTGTGTAAGACTAACTTTTTTATGGTCACCTAGAAGATTTTAATTTACCACTTGCTGATGAATACCTAACTGGTGTTTTCTGTGCTGTCCTCCGCAGAGTGCCTGCTCTTTGGAGAGCAACCTAGAAGGCTTGGCTGGCGTTTTGGAAGCTGACCTTCCTAACTACAAGAGCAAGATCTTAAGGCTTCTTTGTACAGTGTATGTATGCAAAAGATTTGTGAATCCAGGTGATAATGTATTATCTACTCTTCAATGCTTTGAGAAATGTTCAAAAGATGTGTTTATGTTCCATATGTGGTCAGCTTTCCTTCTGCTGGGAAGTTGGTACAGATGAAACGACCTTTTGGTTAACTCTCTTTCTTTGAGATAAATAGAGCTAAAATTGAGCACTTGCCTTATGTTTTGTTTCTTGGAACCTGAGAATTATTTGGGTTGGCTATTTTTAAGTGAGAAAGTAGACACTTTCACATTCAGAGATTTTAAGCACATACATTTGAATATATATAATAGAATTTACCTTGTATTTTTAACCAGTACCAAACAAATTTGAAAACCAATCACTCAAGTAATAACCGTTCTTGGAAAGCTAAAGAAGCTTTTGAAGCTATTAATAGGCAGAGTCTTCATGAGTTACATTAGCTAGAACAAGTATCAGTATTTAAGTCGTGAGGAAATTAAAGTGGGAAAAGTCTAACATGGAACATGAGACAGTCTCCCCTAGGGGTGGAATCTGCGCTGTAGACTCTCACCTGCCAGCCTCTGAATTGTACGCCTCACAAGAAGTAGCTCTCACTTCTGGGCTAATGGGTCTTTGTACTTCCAATGAAATTATAAATTATCTAGTATGTGTTTTTACATTGTGATGATGACTTTTATTTAAGTTGTCATTTCAATTATTTTAAAATAATATTCTTAATACCTACAGCTCATTTTTTGAAATTTAAAAATGTACATACACATTCAGTGAATCCCTTTTTTTTTTTAGTGGATTTCATTTTAACCACTCACAATTTAAGTTACAATTTTTAAAGGGAATCCAATTACTATTCAGGAACACATTTCTTAGACTAAGAAGCTACTAAAAAAGGTCATTTGCTATAGTTACCCATCACCATCATACGTCTTCTGTTTTAAAAGCATTTATTAGAATGAAATGGATTCACACTTAAACTCTAAAGGAAGTGAGTCATTACTTTTTTAGGCATGCAGTAGTTACTGTCAAAGGAGGGGTTTTTGTTTTAAACCTAAATCACCCCTAACACTCTGCCAGGTACCTGGGAAAACCTGAAAAGTGTATGAGAATCTGAGTGAGCATGAGTTCCTGTTTGCTTTTCTTGTTTAGCTAATTTCTAAAGGCTGCCAAGATTGGGGAGTAACACTTGCTTCTCCCAAAGGCTTACTGCTGTAATCCTCTTCCCTTCATTTCAAATAACTGTAATGAAAATTAACACACTTAGAGGAAGCAAACTGGGATGTAAAGAAACCTTACTGCGTCAGAGTACCGTTTTAAAATTTCAGTAATTTAACTGATAGAAGCTTAGGTGAAACTAGTTTTAGTTCTGAATTTTCTCTGAGCAACCAGAATTGTTTTCTCAGAGTGGAATCTCATGTCAGCATTCAGTTCCCAAGTTCGGAGAGGCTGCATCTCGCCCTGTAATGCTTCTGCATAGAAGACGCTCGTTCCCCCCAGTATTTCTGAGATATTTCACCATGAAAACCATTTTCTGTAGAAGTATTCAGTTCCACTAAACATGGAATAAAAGCTGGCCTATCATTAGTTATATTTTTTTTTCAGTATGATAACGACAGTGTTTTACTTTTTAAACTCTTGGATTAACTAATTAGAATTAAAATGAGAATTGTGAAATACCTGTAACTCTTCTCAATATTTATGCCTTCTCTGAAGTAGTTTTAAAAGCAGAAAAAAGTAATCCTGTTCCAAAGTTAATAAAATGCTAACAGGCTTATGTAATGGTACAAATTCAGCAACTTAACATAATGCTGTTGTTTTGGGGTTTTCTTGTTGGACTGGGTTTTCAAATCAGTGCACGTCTGTTACCCGAGAAGTTGACAATTTATACAACGTTAGTCGGACTGCTGAATGCCAGGAATTACAACTTCGGTGGAGAATTCGTAGAAGCCATGATTCGTCAACTTAAAGAATCTTTGAAAGCAAATAATTATAATGAAGCTGTATATTTGGTAAGGTTTTGTGTTTGGTTGGTTGGTTGGTTTTGGTATCAAGACATGGACAGAGGGAAGTGAACTACAACCAAATGATCTGTCTTGTCTCTATTTATTTTTATTTCTTATTATTTTGAGAGTACGCTTGTTAATGCTGGGGAAAGTGAAGCAAGGAAGAGCTCAGGACAGAAGCAGCAACAAGAGAAAGCCTGTGCAGGGTGCTTCGGCCCCCTGAGAAATGAAAGGCAGTTACAAAAGTCAGCCGCCGCAGGGCTGGCGTTCGCTCACTGAGAAGGGGTCTTGGAGAGAGGGTCAGGGGCTCGGCCCAATGAGCTGCCACTGCTCGTTGTTCCCCTGGTTGCAGGTCTCATAGAGACTCTTAGAGTTTAGGAGATGCACACCTGTCGGGGGAGAAAAAAGTGGGTGTGTTCCTGGGAGGGAGAGCGCGCCTGTCCTTTTCTGATACATGGTTCCCCGCTCACCACATCAGCTGCTCTTTTGAAACTGTTCTCATTAAGAATAGTTCCAGTTAAAGGTACCACAGAGTCCATTACCAAGTCCAGTGGTTTCCCTTGTTCATCTCCCTGTAGTACATGCTTCTTTACACATATGCCTTGGTTTTTGCAGCAATAGCCAAATAGAAAAAAAGATTGTAGGTTGAAGTAGCCAGACTATTACGGTCCCGGCTCTTAGCGCTGTGTGGGGTGGGACCCTGTAAAGCCCAGATTCCTGTGCTCCATCAGGTCTCGGTGAGAGCTGCTCAGCTCTGCTGCGGCAGCCCAGAGACAGCTACAGACAACATGTAAACAAATGGTCGTGGCTGCAGTTCAATTTGATGTACCTTATATAAGTCATAAAGCATTCTTTGGGGGTTTTTCCAAGCATATATGGAAAAATTATTCTTAGTTCGCCGGCTATGCAAAAGAAACACAGGCAGCCGGCTAGATTTGGCCCTTGGGCTCTAGTTTTTCCACACCTGTGGTTTCACCCTTACAAGATTATTTGTTTGGTTATTATTTTAGGGGACATTTCAGCTTAACAGAATTGTTTTCCCCCACAGGTTCGTTTTTTATCTGATCTTGTGAATTGTCACGTCATTGCAGCCCCGTCAATGGTTGCTATGTTTGAAAATTTTGTAAGTGTAACTCAGGAAGAGGATGTACCTCAGGTAAGAAAGCTCCATATGCTGAATTTTGTCCACATAGTACCAGGAACTTTTCACTGGTTACCCTTATTATTAAAAAACAAAAGATAGCCCTAGCTGGTGTGGCTTAGTGGATTGAGCACCGGCCTGCAAATTGAAAGGTTGCCAGGTCAATTGCCTGTCAGGGTACGTGCCTGGGTTGTAGGCCAGGTCCCCAGGTCAGGGCGTGCAAGAGGGAACCAGTTGATGTATCTCTTGCACACCGATGTTTCTCTCTCTCTCTTTCTTTCTCCCTTCCCCTCTCCCTAAGAGTAAATAAAACCTTTAAAAAAAAAGATAATAGCAGATTATCATGCTATAAATTTTTAATATCTAAAAGTTAAGTCAGTTGGTATACTGGTGGGTTCTCATGACATCTGAATGTTAAATGATTCTGTCTAGTAAGATTAAAATTAAAATACCTAGAAATGCTCTGAATGAACTAGATGTTTTAAGTCATTAAATAGCTTCAACAGAATTTTATTCAAGAATAAATATGCATACAATATGAAAGAAAATGAACTAGCACATATTAAACTCACCTTCTAAAAAATCCTTTAGGTGCGACGGGATTGGTACGTGTACGCGTTTTTGTCATCTTTGCCCTGGGTTGGAAAGGAGTTGTATGAGAAGAAGGATGCGGAGATGGACCGCATCTTTGCCAACACGGAAAGCTATCTTAAGTAAGGGCACAGCTCCTAGTTCTGTTTGTTGTTAGGTTAAGGATGGCTTCCTGATACCATAAATGTTACGTTTTGTCTGTTTCAGTAATACCATTTGAATTGCATTTCTCAAAAACAAGCTGTAGAGTTCCCTGAGGCTTTCTCTAGGTAATCTCATTCCCCACTGTTGTAACCTACTGAGACCTCAGAGCAATCAAGTGTGTCGATCACTTGGTTCAAACACCAAGAGGGGTTAGTTACATAGCTGCTGCTGAGCTGCTTTTGTGCACATTGCAAAGGCATAAAACATCTTAATGCAGTGGCTCTGAATACCAGTGTGCGTAAGAGTCCTCTGTGGTACTTACTGTGCTCTAATCCCACCCCCAGACCTACTGAGTCACAGTACTGTAGAGATTTGGACATCTGTGTTACTAATTTATGCCGCAAGCAGAGAACATAGAACATACTTATTTCACACAGGTTAATCGTAAACCAAGTCCTTTAAACCAGTGTTCTTTAATCTTTAATGCTAACAATAGGCCTTCCTAGTAAACTTTCGCTTAATTACCCAGTAACTAGGTAATGGCTTTGTGTCCCTTAATTTTTCAGAATAATTCTGTTATGTTTTATTTTCTATCTATTCATAGATACCTCTTTGGATATTGTTAATATCTACTTTGTTACAAATAAAGCTAAAAGAAGTCTAAAGATAGAAATCTGCTTTTTTAATATGTTAAATGACCTTTAAATGTTCTTATAGTTTTGACAAGTTGTGCTGGTTCTCTTTAAAAATGTATATTTTGCCAAGGAATAAAAATAAAAGTGTATGAATGCCCTAGCATTCGAGTGCTGGCATGTGTCCTTCCCCGTTTTATACGCACAGTAGTTCACTGTGCGCACTGCTCTTAACTTGCTTTCCCCGCTTAATATAACTCGGATCTGTTGTGTAAACACATAAGCTCCACCTTACTCCTTTTAGCAGTGGTACAGTATTCCACTCTTTTAATGTGCCATCGTTGCTTTAACTAATTTCTTTAAATATTTCTTTCCAGTTGGAAATATTTATTTCTCTTGCTATTATAAACTATGTCTCAGTGAATATTCTTGTACAGATGTCTTTGTGTACATGTGGAAATATATTCATGGGGGATATGAATTCTTTGAAATGGCATTTCTGGTTGAAGTATCTTAATTTTAACTGAGATTTAGTGGAGTTACTTTGCAAAGACATCCTCTCCCAGATCTTCTTGAGAGATTATAGTAGCGTTTGAAACTGCACGTTTGCCTACGTTTTGGTAAAACAGTACATTGTCAGATATTTGATATCTGCCAAATTGATAGATAAAAATGTTTCACTGCTTTAATTTGTACTTTATTAAGAAAGCAACTGAACATCTTTCATGTTTTTAAAAACCTAAATTGGAGATTTTTATTTTTGTCTTCAGGAGACGTCAAAAGACTCATGTGCCCATGTTACAAGTGTGGACTGCTGAGAAACCACATCCACAAGAAGAGGTAAATTGATTCCAGTCTCTTGGGATATAGGCACAGTTAGTTCTTGAGTACATCCTCGTCTCTGTGATGTATTCAGGTCACTCCACTTATGTACCTTAGCTAGGTGTCCGCTTTTTGTTCGGGGGCTGGCCTCCGCATAGCCCTGGGCATATAGTGGATCTTCAATAAACGTTAGAATGTAACGAAACATTCCCTGTTCTGGGGGATTTCGGATGTCACAGAGTTGACATATTTTTTTACTTAAATGCGCAGTTTGAAATATGTAACGGGTAATAGCCTCAGACACACAGACTTTATAAAGGCATTAGCACCATGCCTTTGTACTGTATTTAATTACAAGTTAGCTTACTTTTGTACCGTCTTTCAGAAGTAGTGATTATGGGTTTTGTCTACTCAACGTGTTATTTCTTCTAGCCTCCAAATATATATTAATTATTAAAACTTGATGTCTTTAGTATTTAGATTGCCTGTGGGCCCAGATTCAGAAATTGAAAAAGGATCGCTGGCAGGAGCGGCACATCCTAAGACCTTATCTTGCCTTTGACAGCATCCTGTGTGAAGCACTCCAGCACAATTTGCCTCCTTTTACACCTCCTCCTCACACCGAGGACTCAGTGTACCCAATGCCAAGGGTCATCTTCAGAATGTTTGATTACACAGACGACCCCGAGGTACGTGACCAGCAAAGGTTCCTGTCAGAGGGCCTGGGTTACCTTGTACTTGGAGTTTGATCTGGTTTGGATTATGCCCCCGATGCATTGTAATTTTAAGTTGCTTATTACCTAAGAGGGTCAGTGGCAATAAAGTTAACAGTTTAATTGAATGGCATTACCTCATTATGCAAGAAATTATATTCAGCACGTGTATATAGACTAAGAGACAGCACAGTGTGCAGTTGAAGAGAGTGGGTTCAAGAGCCAGATTGGTTTGGTTTTAACCCTGGTTTAGTCAGATCTTAGCTTTGTGATTGAGGGTAATATACCTCTCTACCTCAGCTTCCTGATGGAATAATAATAGTGTCTCATAAAGTTGTAAGAGGATTAAGTTATATATTAATAAACAAAATGCATAGAAGAGAATACATAATGATTGCTCAATACCTTTAGCTATTCTTAATAGTGCTATTTTTCAAGAAAAATACCCAGTGTTAGAGATTCTCTCTCTCTCTAACCCTTACAGCTTGTCCTATTCATATTATGTAATTATTTTTATTTTCTATTTTATTTTTTAATTATATTTTATTGATTATACTGTTACAGTTGTCCTGATTTTTCCCCTTTTTCTCCGCTCCACCCACATCCCCACCCACCATTGTTCATGTCCATGGGTCATACGCGTAAGTTCTTTGGCGACTCCATTTCCAATACTGTAATAATTTTTTTAAAAGAAAGTATTTTTAATTTAAAAACCCTAAAGATGAGTATAAGCTGAATTTATAGTTTTAAAATGTCTCTATTCTTACTATGATGTCAAGTTGTTGGCAGCCATGATACTTTAACGATTAAGAAAGTGTATAATTTTGATGCTGACATTTTATTAACAAATAAAAACTTACATTGTGCCATGACCAGTGTCGCTCAGTTCGTTGGGCATTGTCCTGCAAAGTGAAAGGTCGCCAGTCGATTCCCAGTCAGGGCACGTACTTGGGTTGTGGGTTCCGTCCCCAGTTGAGGTGAGTGAGAGAGACAGCCAATCGATGTTTCTCTCTCACATCAGTGTTTCTCTCCCTCTCTTTCTCCCTCCTTTCCCCTCTCTCTGAAAAATAAATAAATATTTTTTAAAATGTACACTGCAACTATGCTTCAATTACTTTATACCTCTGCATTTGAATGGCTGACTTAACTTGAATAGCCAAGCAGCAGGCCCAGTGGTGACTGGGTTTCTTCAGACTGGAAACTCACAAGGCAGCGTGCCTACTGCTTAGTGTGCAATTTTCAACTGGTGCGCGCTGGTGTGTCTCAAAAGTTGTTACACATGCAGTACCTGGCTGTTTAGTCAGGAGCACTGACCTGGTTCCCCTTGCATTGTCAAGTTCAAAAATGGCAGCAAAACCCAATAATGGCCATCTGGCATGACTGAATCTGAATTATACCTATTTTTTTGGTCAGATTGGCAAAAATATAATTTTTTGGTGTGCCGCAGATTTTTAGTTATTAGTTTGTGTGCCATGAGGTGAGAAAGTTTGGAAATCTCTGGCTTAGTGCATCCTAGTCAGTGTAGATCAGAGTTTCTAGCTTCAGCTAGATTGACATTTTGGGCTGTATAATTCTTTGTTGTAGGGAGCTGTCCTGGGAATTGTAGGATGCTTAGCAGCATCTCTGGCCTCTGCCCTCTAATTGTCGGTAGCATTTAGAAGCTAAATGTCAGTTGTACAACCAAAAATGTCTCCAGCCTTTGCCTGATGTTCTCTCATGGGCAAAATTGTCCCCAGTCCAGAACTGTTGGCTTAAGAACCAGTATTACCATCTGAGGTCAAATTTGAGTTTTCCTTCTCTTCTCTTTTTCTGTCCTGCCATAAATTGCTAATGACCAGTGAAAATTTGGTATATGTGTAATCTATCTCAGTAAAAAACCATCAAGGTAATTAGTTATGTATATGGAATTATCATCTTGTAATCCACTTTGCTATGTATGTGTAATATATGTATATATATGTAATAAATACTTAGCCAACATTATATAATGGTTTAAGTAGGTTTCTCTAATTGAAAGTCTAATTTACATTTAAGACTTTTAGACTCTTTGTGATTAGGTATTAGTCTGTGCAGGGAGCTGGAATGGGACCTCAAACCTTATCCCACCTGTACTGTTCACAGTTAATGGTGCTGCCTCTGTAATGTGCCCACCATGCTTTGCCAGAAGAGTGTAAAATACAGAATATTTATTCCCTCCAAACTGAAGAGGATTGGGGATTTTTTGCTCTGGTCTCTGAAAAAAAAAAAATGTTTGTTTTGAAGAATTAGATACTATGGAGAAGATTAAAGTAAAAGTCACCATTAAGAGTCTATAATAGTAAATAATAAGTAAATAAAGATAAACTCTTTCAGTCTGTTTGCTTTGCATATACTTTTTTAAAAAATTAGAAATATATAGGTAATATTTTTTAACCTTTTTTAAACAATATGATGTGGGTATCTTACAATTCATACATGATTTTTTATGCCTATATTTGATTTAAATTTTCCCTCCATTTTATTGTGGAAATAATTCATCCTTAAAGTTTATCAAAGCAAATCAAACTGTGTAGGGCTCATGATACACAAAAATGACTTTGTTTCTAACGAGAATCGAGGTGGGCTGTGGCAGTGTGGTGTCAGAGGTCGAGGAGAGACAGCGGCTGCCGCTCTAGCTCTGCTGCAGGTACAAGTGCACACGACAGCGAAGCCTGCCGACAGCACAGAGCGTTCACACTTCCACACTTTCATCCCCCGCACCCATCGTAGCATGGAATATGATAAACTCTCAGATATTTGTTGAGTAAATGAAAGAAAATCTTTTTCTAGGTCTGTAATATATACAATTGGTTTTCTTTCCAGGGTCCTGTAATGCCAGGGAGTCATTCAGTGGAGAGATTTGTAATAGAAGAGAATCTTCACTGCATCATTAAGTCTCACTGGAAAGAAAGAAAGACTTGGTAGGATTCTTTTGTTACTTTTAGAGTGGAGAAAAGGTAGCAGTTTTGATAAGAACAAGTTGTACGTTAAGAGTGTAAGAATATCTCACCTCCTGACACCCTGTCTTGCAAAGACCAGTCTGCTTTGCTTTCTCAAAATAGTACTTTTCTGGGAGCTATGTAGTACTTAATAATAATGCATATGATTGTAGCTCTTTTTGTGTGGACATTTGTGATATGCTGTGGACAAATAATATTGTCTTCAGCCTTGGAAATTTTCTTAACATTTTAAGGTGGAAAGGAATAGTGTCTTTTGGAAGTGGTCTACCCTATTAAAACTTCTTAAGTTAGTAAATTTAATTTGCCTCCTTAATTGTTATTAAACTCCTTCTGATCTTTCAAAGAGTTTTGAATGCATTAAAGAGTTTCCTTATGGTAGACAAAATAATTTATGCTGTAGTGAAGTAACTGAAATCTAAAACATTTCAGAAAAGATTCCCTCTCCTTGTATATAAACACACTGCTTTTGAAACTGCTTGTTTGATTGCTCATGTATCTTTGTATACTTACTGAACTTAAGTTATACTTTTACAGTGCTGCACAGCTGGTGAGCTACCCAGGGAAGAATAAGATCCCCTTGAACTACCACATAGTTGAGGTATGCATTCCACATGGAGCTTTTTCTAAGTTTCAGAACCTTTCTGTTGACTTAAAGTGCAGTCTACTCTCGGCTTACTGTTTTTTCTTGCTGCTTGTCAGGTACTGAAAGTTAACAGAGGAGCGAGGCAAGTGCTGTCTGTTTTGGTGCTCTGTTAGCCATGTTAGGACAGGAGAGAGGAGGTTGAAACCATTAGCCAAATGGAGTTTTGAGTTTCCTATAAATTATTTATATAGTGTGTCTTCATTCATGGATAGTTATCATGGATAATGTAAGTTACCTCTAGCACTGTCGATACATTGTCCACCTAACAGATGTATAAGTGACTTAAATACTTTAAAACACTGTATTAATTTAGGTAGATAATCTATTTTTAACTGTGTTTATCTGGCTTCTTCTTAGTAGTTACACCTGACTAGTACATTATTTCCTGTATCACAAGGTAGGATTAAGTGTGAATCTTTATTCTCAGAAATCAAAAAAGCCCATTGCTTTGGAAGTAGGAAGAATGAATAAGGCTTCTGACTCCATATGAAGTCATACAGAAGGATGATATTAGCAGTACATTTGAACACCTTGTGAGATTTATGTCCTGAAAAAGTGTCTCAGGGCTGTATGTACCCCTGTATATGTATACACAGTTTGCCCGTGGGTCAGACTGTTGATTACATATTCCTTTAAGTTAAAATACTCATGAGCATTGTCATGACGTGTTATTTAAGATTCACTTGTTTATTTATACTGCACTTGTGTGCTTTCTTAAAGTGTACTGCATCTGTCCAGGTTTTACAAAATTTGAGAGTAAGCTTAGGCCCTGAATTTGACTCACTGACATGTCAATTGAAGTGCAAAATGTAAGTCATATCTTTAAATGTGCAAAATGTGTAGGAAGTCATCAGAATGAAGCACGGAAGTGGGGGAGGTGGGATTCAGAGGAAGGAGTGCAGATCAGGCTTTAGAATTTTAGGTGGGCGATCCACATATTACCAAGGGAGGGAGGAAACTAGTTTCTGAACAAGAGGCATGGCAGAGAAGTCCTAGATTATCAAAACAGTTTCTGGGCACCAGTTTTACGTAGCAGAGTGGAATGACTTGACTCAGATCTTCTGTTTGCATCCTCAGAGTCCCATAAGTGTGCATACTGCTTAACTGGTGAGAATGAGATGGACGGATCTGTGAGTGCCTCAGTAAATCCACTCCAGAGTTGCGACTTCATTGCATGGTTCTCTGGGAGTATCAGATAGACATTAATATTTGCATATCCTTATTTGATGGAGTTACAGGAAGGAGAAATTTGTATTACAGTATTAAAGTTTAGATCTTCATGTTTTAAACAGCATAATTTTAAAGATTAAAAAGTAGTTATTCTTCTGTTGTGAACGTCATGGAGTTAGAAGCTACGTTTAGAACGCTGAGGTCTTTCTGTAGTTGGCGTGTGTAGATCGGACTGGGTTCTGACTGCCGGTTCTTTGTAGGTGATCTTTGCAGAGCTGTTTCAGCTTCCAGCACCACCTCACATCGAAGTGATGTACACGACGCTGCTCATCGAGCTGTGCAAGCTGCAGCCTGGCTCTCTACCCCAAGTCGTATCCTTTCCTTTGTTTTTTCAACTACTCTTGTCGACCTGGCTTTAAAGGATTATTAAATATTTCCACTTGTGGGTTTAAATCACTTCATGAAAGTAGTTTGACATTTATTTATTTTTTTATTTAGTTATTTTATTGTTGTTCAAGTACAGTTGTCTGCATTTACCCCCCACTACTTGCCCCCACCCCAGCCTTCCCCACCTCCCTCCCCTGATTCCACCCCCCCTTGGTTTTGTCCATGTGTCCTTTATATTAGTTCCTGAAAACCCTTCCCCCCTTCTCCCCTCATTATCTCCTCCCACCTCCCCTCTGGTTACTGTCAGATTGTTCTTAATTTCAATGTCTCCGGTTATATTTTGCTTGCTTGTTTGTTTTGTTGATTAGGTTCTACTTAAAGGTGAGATCATATGGTATTTGTCTTTCACTGCCTGGCTTATTTCACTTAGCATAATGCTCTCCAGTTCCATCCATGTTGTCGCAGAGGGTAGGAGCTCCTTCTTTCTTTCTGCTGCGTAGTATTCCATTTTGTAAATGTACCATAGTTTTTTGATCCACTGATTTACTGATGGGCATTTAGGTTGCTCCCAGCACTTGGCTATTGTAATTGTGCTGCTATGAACATTGGGGTGCATAGGTTCTTTTGAATTGGTGTTTCAGGGTTCTTAGGATATAATCCCAGCAGTGGAATTGCCAGGTCAAAAGGCAGTTCCATTTTTAGTTTTCTGAGAAAATTCCATACTGTTTTCCACAGTGGCTGCACCAATCTGCATTCCCACCAACAGTGCACTAGGGTTCCCTTTTTTCCACCTCCTCACCAACACTTGTTTGTTGATTTGTTTATGATGGCCATTCTGACCTGTGTGAAGTGGTATCTCATTGTGGTTTTAATTTGCATCTCTCTGATGGTTAGTGATGCTGAGCATCCTTTCATATGTCTCTGGACCCTCTGTGTGTCCTCCTTGGAGACATGCCTGTTCAGGTCCTTTGCCCATTTTTTAATTGGGTTGTTTGTCCTCCTGGAATGGAGTTGTGTGAGTTTTTTGTATATTTTGGAGATCAGACCCTTGTCCAAGATATCATTGGCAAATATGTTAAAATAGCCACTTCAACAAATGGTGTTGGGAGAGCTGGACAGCTACATGCAAAAAGTAAAACTTGATCACCAACTTACACCATACACAAAAATAAATTCAAGGTGAATAAAAAACTTACTATAAGTCGTGACACCATAAAACTCCTACAGGAAAACATAGGCAGAAAATCTCAGATATTCTATGCAGCAATATTTTCACTGATACATTTTCTAGAGCAAGGGACATTCCTTTTAAAGTTAAACGTGTGTCATACAATCCTGCCACTCAACTCTTAGGTATTAAGAGAAATGGAAGCACATATCCCTATAAAGACTTAGGAATTAATATTCATAGAAAATTTTATTTGTAATAACCCTAAGCTGTAAAAACCAAAATCAATACATGAGTGGACTAACAAATTTTCTTATACCTATACAATGTATTACTACTCTGTAATAAAAAGGAATGAGTTTTTCATGTCAGCAATAACATGAATGAATTTCAAAATAATTATGCTGACTAAAAATGCCAAACAATTCTTACTGTATGATTCTATTTATACACAAAATTCTAGAAAATGCGAAGTACTCTAGTGGCAGCAAACCAATATTTGCTCGGGCACACAGGTTGGGGGCAGGGAGAGGGGATTACAGAGGAGCATGGGGAACTTTGGAGGCCATGCAAATGTTCATTATTTTGATTTCATGGGTGTACACAAGTCAGGTTCATCATACGTTGGTATCTCGAAGCTATTTTTTTAAAGGTCAATTACACGAAAAGACGTTCAGCATTATTAGTCATTTTACAGACTTGTAGGAAATGTTATTTATTTTTTTCTGTCACAACTTACTTTGAAGGAGGGTGGAGAGCAGTTTTCCTTAGCCTCGAATTCACAGCTTGCACAGGCGACCGAAATGCTGTACATGCGTTTGGACACGATGAGCACCACATGTGTAGACAGGTACCATGATGCCTTATTTCTGTGCCAGCTTTCCACCGCTTCTGCTCCCCGTGCTGGGGAAAGAACTAGGCTTGCCTTTTTAAGAATGTCCAAGTTGAGTTTTCTTTCTTGCTTGTCCAAAATAATTATTTGTATAAAGATAAAACTCATGTAAATGAGAAAAATTTTTAAATAAAACTCATACTTGTAATGTCACATTACACTTTCTAGTCTGATTTTCAGCATGAAATGATGCCTGTGCTGAGGTTTTCATTTCATTCACTGTTTACTTGTTTGGTGCTTTGGTATAACTATACTTTTCCCACTGTAATTGGGTATGTAAGCTTTTAAAATAGGCTTTATGCTAATCTCTATGTAGAAGTAGAGGCTAATACTATATATTTATTATATGTAAACATATTTTTGTTTGTTTAGACATCGTATCTGCTTCTAAAATAATTAAACTTCTACATAATTCCAGCTTCAAGGTTGTTTATACGAAAGACCGTACTGGATTGTTAGACCTGTGGTGATCACAGCCCACAGTCTTTCGGGTGAAACCTGTGTATCACCTTTATTAACTGGTACTTATTCCTTACCTCTTGTCAGGACAGGTATTGAATATTTCTCCAATTTTCATGGTTTTTTATGTTCATTATTCAAATTCCATATCTGAAAATTATCAGTAAGGGCTATTTTTTATCATTACCTTGATTAATTTCAGTGACTGAAATTAGGATACATGAGGGGTGTGCTTTAAGAATGTGATTGATCTTCCCAGTCTGATTAATAAAACGACCCGTTGTGTTGGCACCCCAGCTATGCCATTCATTCAGCAATATTTACTGGGCCCTTACAAATTCCACAGCATTGTACAGTTTGCTGTGGTGATCCTTGTTAGATGTATTTTTAGGGGAGACGGGGCTTCAGTGGTGTGTTTTGTTGTTTGTGGTGTAAAAAACATGGTATGATGATAAGCAATACTTTGTTTCTGCCATTTATAAAATGTTTTATCTGCCGTTTAATCTTATTTCGCCTCTGTTTCATTGTCAATAGGAAAAGTAATACATTCCTCAGAAGTTACTAAATTATATAAACACATATAAGGCTCCTGGCACAAAACCAGCACTCAAATCTATTACTCACTTAAAAAGATAGCACTGTTAGAAGCAGTAAGGTAGGGAGCATTATTTACTGGAGCAGAGATGGGTCACAGGATTTGCAGAGGAAAGGACACGTGGCAAAAGGAACAGCTGTAGGCAGGGGTATAGGCTGTCATTTAACTTTGTGAAGTAGGATTTTATTTGTCTGGAGGATTACATGAGTTCCTGGTAGAAACTGTAACCATTCATTTCTCTATGTTCCTTCCTCCCACTTCCCGTATAGGTTTATTAATTGGTTTTCCCATCATCTAAGTAACTTCCAGTTCCGTTGGAGCTGGGAAGATTGGTAAGTGGTATTATGTTTTAGCTTTCCTTTCTTTAGTCTGCCATAATTTTTAAAATACTATTAATATTTAAACCTATAACAAAAACAATCTTCACGGTCTAAACATTTATTTTTAATATTTATATACATAAATGAAATAATTTAGGTAGAAGGAAACTTTGTGGCTAAGTACAAGTTAGGTGTAAGTGCAGAGTCTGTGGAAGAATTTAATAAAACTATGTTTCCTCGTTAGGTCAGATTGTCTTACTCAAGATCCTGAAAGTCCCAAACCAAAGTTTGTACGAGAAGTTCTAGAAAAATGCATGCGGTAAGTTCTTTGTGTTTTCTCTTTAGCTTAAGGTCTCCTAATTTCTGTGGGAGGATTTTCTCTTCTCTGAATTTGTGCTATATGTCCAGAATATTTTTAAAATCCAAGTAGCTGCCTCCCTTCCTTGTTAGTTTTTTCCTTGTTAGTTTTTAATCAAGATTTAAGCTGAAAAAAATTTTAGGCAACTGTGACATCTGGATTGTGTGTGAATTAAACCAAGAAACTTTTTTGTCAGATATACTTGGAAATAATTTCAGACTTCGGGAAAGTTGACAAAATAGTACAGAGAACTTGGTCCTGATCATCCAGGTTCCCTCATTAACATTTTACCATCTTTGTTCTCTTTCTCATTCCTTTCCCTTCTCTGTGTGTATACGCTCATTTTGTTGGTCTTTTTCTGAACCCCTTGGAACTAAGTGGCAGGTGACATCATCTCGTCAGCTCTGTTAAGTCCATCGCATATTCCCCCATGCTGTCTTACAACCAGCACACAGCCCTCCAAATTGGGACGTCGGCTCTGGTACCGTAATACCACCCTGTGACCCACGGAGGCGGCTGACGTTTGCCCGCCAGCCTTGACTGTGCCTCGTTTCTTCCCGGTTCAGAACCCTGCTGGGGACACGGGTAGTGTTTAGTTGTCTTCATCTCCAGATTCCTCGGTCTTAAACAGTTACTCTATTTTTCATGTCCTTAACAATTTAAAAGAACTTAGGCCTGGCTTTCTTGGGTCACCTTGCTGTGTCCTCATGGCCAGATTCAAGTCCTACGTTATTGGTGCTCCTCTCAGCGCATCATGTCAGGGGTCACAAGAGTCCCACTGCTGGAGAGGGTAACCTGGACTACCTGGTCACGTCAGTGTCTGCCGGGCTGCTCCACCTGAATCCGCCATTTTTCCCTTTGTAGTTAATTACTTTGTAGGAGATGTTCAGAGGTTACACTCATCTTGTTCATCGTTCCACTGACAGCTCCTTTTACCTGCCACCATTATGATGATTTCTAAGTGATGTTTCTCTCTTTCCATTATTCCTTCTTTTGTGAGTTGCCTTTACACTATGAGGGTGTTGGAGATTGTGACTTTTTGGGTAAGTTGGATGTTACCAAGGAATGGAACTGATGAACAATCTTTTCTGAGGCTCTCATTTGTATTGTAGGTTGTCTTACCATCAGCGGATATTAGATATTGTTCCTCCCACCTTCTCAGCTCTGTGTCCTGCAAACCCCACCTGCATTTACAAGTATGGAGATGAAAGTAGCAGTAAGTAACAAAACAAATCCCTCTGTCTTTACGAAGTATCGATGCTAGTATTCTCTGCCATCAGTTATTCAAGGAGGAAAAAGTGAGCTCTTTCCTGGGTTCATCTTCTCTCTGTTTCAAAGGTGGTTTGTTACTGGCCATGATTGTTTCATGTGCCCTGTCGTCATTTTGGAGATTAATTGTGATATACGTAGTTACTACTGACCTATAGTTTTTTCTTTTAATATTGGTTACTATGGTATATTCATGACATTATACTAAATACGCTCCTGAACATAGCAAGATGAGCTTATAGCCAGAATTTACTAAAATAGAAATGTGTATTTGTCGTGGTGATGGAGATTGTCATCTGATACCAGTGCAGGTGTGGGACACAGGTGTACACAGACTAAATTTTGACCGGTGAAGTGGGTACCATGTATCATCCAGGGGCACTGCGCTAATGATACGCCCTTTTGTGCCCTACACTTACTGAAGGTAAGGCATACATTAGTGGTCACTGGTAGAGAGTCTGGTGTGCAGTTTTTCCAAGTTGGTCTTTCAGATGGCACTACACGTGGCTCCTCTGCGAGCCGTCTGTTTCATGTCATGTAGGTTCTTCGTGTTTCAAAACTCGCTCTTCTTCTCATACCACACTCCTGGTCCTCCATTTACACCTCACACTTTGCCAGTTTTCCTTGGAATAAACTCAGTCGATCTCATTGCTAAGTGTATTTCATACGGTATTATGTCACTAAACCCGTAAAGCAACTCTTGAGAAATCAGTATGTTTATTATACCAGTTTTACAGTAAGGACATGGCTTCAGAAAGGTAAAGCCAGAGTGAGGGTGTGTCTGAGTGGTGGAGGCCAGGTTCAAATCCAGGCTTACTGTCTGTGCTGCCGTGCTTTTAGCCACTGTGCTTTCCCGAAAGAGCACAGCTTGAGGCGGTACCTCTAAGGGCGAGTTCCGAGTTCTGCCTCGTATTGGCTCAGAATCTTCAGATATAGTCCTTGATACCAAGAAGCTCAGACTTTTGTTAAACATTGACCTTCCTGATTTCCCCATGGCAACAACTCAGCCTAACACTCAAGGTCCTCCTAACAGTGGCTCCTGCTTCTTCCTTCTTTTTTGTTCTTTTCCTTCCTCCCGTTCTCGGTTTTGCCTTTGTGCCATCACCCCAAGCTGGAAAGCCTTTTCTGTCTCCAGTCCTTATTCTCTTTCTAGGCCTAGCCCAGCCTCCATGATGGAGTATTTTTTAACCTTTGGCAAACCAGTTGTGTGTTGCCCTCTGGTTTCCCCAGCTTGAATTTAGACTCCTTGGTGGCAGGGATTTTTGTTTGTTTGTGTTTTGTTTTTTGTTTTTTGTTTTTTGTTTTTTTGTCCCTTATTTTCTCTCCCACTTTCAAAAAGAAGCACAAAGGACTGTTGTAACTGACTATTCATTCCACGTGCTTAGTAACTGATGTTCTATGTCAGAATTGCCTTTTTAATTGTTACCTTTGTCTACCGTACATTAAAAGTCAATTGTTCTGGTGATGCCTTACAGTGTGTATTAGCACAAATGTTATCCAGTGAGGACTCAGCAGACTAACAGCAGACACCTGGTGTCACAGCACATGAGCATCTGTCTTGTTGTGTATGAAGTCAGAAAAGAGGAAAGCAAAAACACTGTCTTCAGTTGGCAGCCTTCACTGTGTTCAAACTCAGACTTGGTTTCCACTGTCTCAGAAAAGGAGAAGGGAAATTAGCAAAAATGAAAGAGAAATGACATTGATTCTTAGCTTTTCAGCTTACAAAACCTAGGGATTTGAGGACTGTCAGAGGACGATTTAACTATATACACACTTCCCTTCACCATCGCTGAGGAAGGTCAACACCCCTTGTTCTGTAAATTCCAATTAGCTAAATGTTCTTAAGAAAGTGATGAAGTAAGAATTATGTCTTATTTTAGATGAAAAGCCATTGACCTATGCAATGAAACTTTAACGTGATGATCTTTGTACAGATTAAATATTGATCTTGGGATAGAGTATTCTATTTTGAAAGAAAAGAATTTTTTGAAATCTCTCAGTTACTTATTTGCAAGAGTAGTCTTAAAACCTGATCTACCCTCCCTCCCCCTCCCCCATTCTGTGCTTAGATTCTCTTCCTGGACATTCAGTCGCCCTCTGTTTAGCTGTTGCCTTTAAAAGCAAAGCCACCAATGATGAGATCTTCAGCATCCTGAAAGACGTCCCCAACCCCAACCAGGATGACGATGACGGTAAGGGAATGAAACAGCTCTTGAGTGAAGCTTTGTAGAGACCGGGTTAGAGCATGAACACACCTCTGGCAGCGTGAGCTCCTCTTAGATCTCAGTGGACGCCCGTAAGGCGGTGCGTTCTTTTGGCCTGCTCAGCCTGTCACCTGTTCTTAGAATCCAGGTGTCTTCTCCCTTGTAATAAAAAGAGATCCTAACATCCTTATGAAAGAACTTGCATTAGGTACTAAAATAAATACTAAGTAAAATGTACTGTTACAATTCAAAGATTTTTAAGTGTTCCCGCTTTCACTTGAAAGAGATGTGCGAACAGAAATTCATTTAACATGGACTGAGTATGTACTGTGTAATTTCAACAAAAATTCTTGTTTTTGGTGGGGGTGAGAGTGGGAAAATTGGCAAAATGATTTATAAGTGTACTTGAGTCAGTAAATGGGTAAGACAAGCGATGAGAAGTACTTGTTTTATCACCTGTGAAGCACGGTGGAAACTGCAGTAACTAAATGTGGTGCGGGCACAGAGGGATGGATCAGCAACACGGGTGAGAGTCTGCTGGGACGGCTGGGTGACCGTTTCAGGGGGAGTCTTTGTTTTCTTAGATCTATACCTAAGGACGTGTGGCCAGAAAAAGGGCTTAGTCAAAACAAAACATTAATCATCTGGGTTTTTTATTACTGGGACTTTGTTTATTTTGGTTTTTCTAAGACACATGATTTTACAGAAGATGTAATTAGAAAGCCTAAGTCAAAACGATGGTATGAAGTTTAGACATTGTCAGACATCTTAGGACATATAAGTGTTTGGGGTTTACGGTATTTTTCATATTATATATTTATTTTGCCATAAGAGAGATACGAACAAGGAAGCCTATGTGGTATTCGTGAAAGAAATGGGACATGTAGAAAAATTAGAGAGAAACACCCAAAAAGATGAAGAACTAAGATTGTGCTTGGTTTTGTATATCAAGTATTTGAAATCCGTGGTCCCTTCGTGCCTGTTAGTATCCAGAGATGTTGCATGAATGTCTAACTTAGTATTTGTGAGCATGCCATCTGCTTAGCATTCCAGGTGAGGGACCAGATGATTGCTGTATTTATATCTTCCTAACTGCCTTCCTGTGGAATGTTTTTCAGATGAAGGGTTCAGTTTCAATCCACTGAAAATAGAGGTCTTCATGCAGACTCTGCTGCACTTGGCAGCCAAATCGTTCAGCCACTCCTTCAGCGCCCTCGCAAAGTAAGTGTGACAAGGACACGCACCCTTTGGGTTTTAGAACTCTGCTCGATACCAACAGTATAGTCGTTTTTACCAGAAGTTACTGAGTATGAAGGAAGATCTTAATACCAGCATTGTGATGTAATTGGGATACCGTGGGCTTTGGCTCGTGGTCGCTAAAATCCTGGTCCTGCGGCTTCTGTCCATCTTCACGTGCAGTTTGCGTATACACATGGGATGTGTATTTCTTCATGTAGACCTTTAGAGGGACTCAGTGAAACACGGGTCCACAGGATAGTCACACGTAGGGTGAAGAAGCTCCCACCTGTCTAGGCATCTTTCTAAAGGAAGTTGAGCAGAAAGGAGAGCCGACTATATTTTGGGGATCCACCCAAAGGTTGGCATCTAAAGACAGATCTTTCTAATTCGTCAGTCCAAAAGAGGCAAGAATGTACAGATACTCCTCCAGCCAAGCAGAGACCTGGGCTCCTCCCGCCATCTCAGCTTCTAAGTCTGTTTCACTGCAGGGTTCCCACAGAAGGTGAGTCACATGGGAGACATCACCTGTGTTTGAAGATGGTTCCTTAGCCCTCACCTGTCCTTAGTAGATACACATACACAGTAACCTGGAGTCCCGGGCTAAGATTGTGTGACAGATTCCATACAAACTGAATTCCTAGGCATGCCTCTTATATCCTTAGTGGTTAACATTTGGTTATTTTGCATTTACATATTGCACTGTAAATTGAGTAATACTGAAAAGGCTTTGAAAAATTAAAATGAATAATGAATCAGTTTTTATGTGGTGTTTTTCCCTCCCACTATCAAAGGTTTCATGAAGTCTTCAAAACCCTGGCTGAAAGTGATGAAGGAAAGTTGCATGTTCTGAGGGTCATGTTCGAGGTCTGGAGGAACCACCCACAGGTAGAGACTGTTCAGTGAGACGTGTGGGGCTCTGACTGTGTGGGTATACAAATAAGGCTGTTATTACCAGTGTTTTCGTTTGCAAAACGTCCACAGAATGGCTTTAAAATCTGTGCTTTTTTTTTTTAAAGATTTTATTTATTTATTTTTAGAGAGGGAAAGGAGGGAGAAAGAGAGAGAGAAACATCAATGTGCGGTTACTGGGGACCATGGCCTGCAACCCAGGCATGTGCCCTGACTGGGAATCGAACCTGCGATGCTTTGGTTCGCAGCCCACGCTCAATCCACTGAGCTCCACCAGCCAGGGCTAAAAATCTGTGCTTTTTTTAATGCTGTGGAATTAAGAGAAAGTATTGTTATTTGGTTTGGGGCTATAATATCTTAATACATTTTAAATAGTAAGAGTGCTTGTTGCTTGAAGATTCTACCATTTGGGTAGGGAATAGTTATGTAGCCTGTCCAGTTTCTGCAGACACGCCCCAGATTTCTGTCTCAATATATTGTTTTCATACCATGCGTTGTAAGAGGCATTTAAATAAATTACAGAACATGTTTTAAGACTTTTTATGATAAAACGTATATTTTTAAATTTTAGGATTCAGTGGAAATTATGTATTTTTTAGGTATTATGTAAATTTTTTAATATATTTTATTGATTATGCTATTACAGTTGTCCCATTTCCCCCCTTCACCCCCCTCCACCCTATACACCCTCTCCCACCCACATTCCCCCCCTTTAGTTCATGTCCATGTGTCATACTTATAAGTTCTTTAGCTTCTACATTTTCCATACTATTCTTGTCCTCCCCCTATCTATTTTCAACCTACATTCTATGCTACTTATTCTCTGTACCTTTTCCCCCTCTCTTCTCCTCCCACCCCCCTGTTGCTAACCCTCCATGTGACCTCCATTTCTGTGGTTCTCTTCCTGTTCTAGTTGTTTGCTTAGTTTCTTTTGATTTTGCTTTAGGTGTGGTTGTTAATAATTGTGAGTTTGCTGTCCTTTTACTATACGTGTTTTTTCTTTATCTTCTTTTCTTAGATAAGTCCCTTTAGCATTTCATAAAATAAGGGCTTGGTGATGATGAACTCCTTTAACTTGACCTTATCTGAGAAGCACTTTGCCCTTCCATTCTAAATGAAAGCTTTGCTGGATAGAGCAATCTGGGATGTAGGTCCTTGTCTTTCATGACTTGGAATATTTCTTTCCAGCCCCTTCTTGCCTGTAAGGTCTCTTTGGAGAAATCAGCTGACAGTCTGATGGGAACTCCTTTGTAGGTGACTGTCCCCTTATCTCTTGCTGCTTCTAGGATTCTCTCCTTCATTTTTACCTTGGCTAATGTAATTATGATGTGCCTTGGTGTGTTTCTTCTTGGGTCCAACTTCTTTGGGGCTCTCTGAGCTTCCTGGATTTCTTGGAAGACTATTTCCTTTGCCAGATTGGGGAAGTTCTCCTTTATTATTTGTTCAAATATGTGCTCAATCTGTTGCTTTTCTCCTTCCCATTCTGGTACCCCTATAATTCGGATATTGGATCGTTTAAAGATGTCCTGGATGCTCTTAAGCTTCTCCTCATTTTTTTGAATTCTTATTTCTTCATGCTTTCCTGCTTGGTTGATTCTATCTTCCTTCTGGTCCACTGTATTGTTTTGAGACCCAGTTTCCTTCCCTTCACTATTGGCTCTCCTCCGTGTATCTTCCTTCATCTCTTTTATAGTAACCTGCATCTTTTCATCTAATTTGCTCCCAAAATCAACCAATTCCGTGAGCTTTCTGATCACCAGTGTTTTGAACTGTGCATCTGATAGATTGGCTATTTCTTGGTCGCTCAAAAGGATGAGTCCTGGGGGACTGATCTGTTCTTCTGTTGGAAACATGTCTCTCCCTGTCTCTCCTTTTTTTTTTTTTCCGGTCTGGTCACTCTTGTCACGGTGGGAGGCAGAGCCTTAGGTGTTCACCAGGGCTGGGCACCCCAGTCACTAGATTGTGACATTGTATGTGGGGGCGGGAGTGGGGATGGGAGGGAACAATGGTGGTAGTTCGTTCTCCTGGGATCTCAGTCCCTTCTCTGGGATCCTGGGCTGCTAGCTCTGCCCTGGTCCACAATCGCCGCCTCACTGGGTCCGCCAGCCACAGCCTGCGCACCCAGGGTCCACCTCTGCATTCTTGCACACCCCAGATGGCTTACGCGCCGAGTTCTCACCACGTTTTCCCCCGACCTCCGCGCGCCCCGACCTGCGCCCGCCGGGCTCATCCTCCGCCCCTCCTACCAGTCTAGATGTACGGGTCTACTTCATCTTCTTGGCTGTCCGACTTCCATTCAGATAAATCCTCTGTCAGTTCTGGGTGTTATTCTGGCTCTAAATTGTTGTTGTTCTAATCTTGGTTGTGTGAGGAAGTACGGTGCGTCCACCTATTCCTCCATCTTGCCGGAAGTCCGTATTATGTAAATTTCTTTAACGATTGTGTTACCATTCAGAGTATTGTTGTTCAGTGTTTATTGGTGTTACAGCATTCTTACAGTAAGTACCAGAGCCAAGCGGAGGGCAGAGTAAGTCGTCAGGCCTAATGGTCAAGTCGACTGTCCCATGGCCACTGGAAATGCATTTCACAGCCCCCATGTTTTAGCTTCGTAGCAGTAGGGTTGTTATGGCTACAGGTGTAGCCTGTACAGGTGTGATTTATCCTCGAAATTCTTCCCTCGTTGCAGATGATTGCTGTACTGGTAGATAAGATGATTCGTACTCAGATTGTCGACTGTGCGGCAGTAGCAAATTGGATCTTCTCTTCAGAACTGTCTCGTGACTTTACTAGGTAATGTGAATTATTTTACGAAGTCCGTATTCTCTGAGGATTGGTTTTCATGTGGTGTCTTATACATGAGCCCCAAGTTTTGATCCCAACCAGACTGATATTAATATATACTGGTGGTCCAATGTGGTGGGGTTGGACTTGACAGAGATACCCGGACAGTGGAAATGCAGTCAGTCAGTCAGGTCGCAGCATCCCTTGGGGGCACACATGTGAGTTGAATAGGACTCCACCAGTCAAGTGGAAATGCTGACGAGGATCCAGACCATTAGCAGAGGAGGTCAGGCTGTGTGGCAGGGGACATGGAGAAGAGTCCCAGCTCCACTAGGGACCTGGAGTGCACACCAGGAACTGGGAGAAACCAGACTCAAGGGGGAGTAAGTACACATCCTTGGAGGGACTGAGGGAAGCCTGGTAAGCACCCAGACGTCCATGAGGGAGGGAGGTCTCATCTCAGTCATAAAAATCCCAGATTTAATGCAGAAGATTCATTCTAGATCCATCCCTCCTACAGGAAAGAGACTTTTCATTAGGCTCTGTTCTTATTCATGAACTTGAGTCCCCAGTCTTTATAAATGAACAAGACTGGGGCAGCAGGAGTTGACACAAAACAGAAAACACAGGAAAATTACTTGAGAAGACATAAAAATCCATCACAGCCTTTATTATCTTCTTTGTGTCTGTTATTGGCAGAGGGCACTAGTCTGAAAGAAACTGAGTTCTTAGGGTGAAAGGATGTGCTCTAAGGTTATCATGCCATCTAGGTTGGCATTCACAAATGAAGCAACAGAAAGACATTCTCAGATTTGCAAACTCTCAGAAAACTGGCCACCCAAGCATGTGTTAACTGTTATCCTGAGTGATTGACATTTGCAGCTCATGTGCTCACACCACCACTGCAGAGGGGGTTGCATTGTCCTCTGTATTTTACAAAGTAGAAAGATGTGGCAGAGTGATCAAGTAGCTTGTCCAGAGTCACACAACTAAGGACAGAATTCTAGCACATGCATCTCATATGGATGCATCGCTCAGGAGCTCCCTGTGTTCTTCAGTGCCAAGCTCCGCCGTGTGAAACTGCGGAGTCTTCGCTGACCACCCCTTCCAGAGTTAAAGCACTCTGCTCTCTTACCCTGCCAGCCAACGCTCGGAACTTGGAGTGTTACACTCAGGGTGTTTTACTGTCTTCCACTTAAACTGTCATCCAAGTCAAAGTCTGTAGGACACACTCTTTTATGCAATGTCTTGGTGTTAAGAGATCTACTTTATAGACAGAAAAGCAGTTAAGTCATTTAAAAATATAGACCACTTAAGCAGAAAATATTTTAAAGCCTACGAGGTGATCCTGGTACTTTAGTAATTTGCTGATAACTGACATATAAATGTTTATCTCATTCTTAAAAGCCCAATTAGTTTATAGCTATTGTCAGCGACTGGTTTCTTAAATGTTCCAAGAGAATTGACTGACTGTATGCTAGTTAAAAGTAAAGTGAGCCTCAAATTAGGTTTCCATTTTGAGAAAATTCCAATACTTAGTGTTTAGAAAGAATATGTGATTTTGTTCTTAATGTTTTTTTCTGGTTTGCCATTTCATTTCAGTGAATACACATCCCTTCAGTGTGTGTCTAGGAGGAAATGACAGGGACCTATATTGCCTTCAGGAAGCTCACCTGAGTCTTAACGGGTAGAGCTAGATGCCCAAGTGTTGATGGAGCTGTGTGACTAATTCTGCCTAAAGAATGGGAAGCTGTTAGACCTTAAGAATGAATAGCTTAGAAAAGTTGAGAGATCTTTATTTTCTTTTTCTTTTTCTTTATTTTTTTAAAGATTTTATTTATTTATTTTTAGAGAGAAGGGAAGGGAAGGAAAAAGAGAGGGAAACATCAGTGTGCAGTTGCCTCTCGTGTGCCCCCCACCAGGGACCTGGCCCACAACCCAGGCATGTGCCCTGACTGGGAATCGAACTGGCCACCCCTTGGTTCACAGCCCACTCTCAATTCACTGAGCTATACCAGCCAGGGCAAGAAGTCTTTATTTTCTGTAAGCATAGTTTAACATACAGTAACCAAATACCATTTTTCTTGAAGGTTGTTTGTTTGGGAAATTTTGCACTCCACAATTCGTAAGATGAACAAACACGTTCTGAAGATCCAGAAAGAGCTGGAAGAAGCTAAAGAAAAACTCGCAAGGCAACACAAACGGGTGAGTCTTGTTTAGATTAATGGAAGGTCAAAAAAGGTATACCAAAAACTCGTGAGTATTCAGTTTATTACCTTGATGGGAACTTACTTTCTGCTGAGGCCAGATTATGTGGATGGAGCTGCTCAAGGAAGTGGAGGGAGAGGAAGAACGTGGGGGTCGTTGCTCTCTGCTCCACATCCTGAACCTGCTCCATCACAACCCTTCCTTTCCCAAAGTTCACCATCTCTGGGTCCGCTTCACGTTTGTCATTCCCAGCTGGGAAGAGTGGAGAGAACACTTGTGCTTCTCTGAGTTTCTTCTTTTCTTTTTTTTTTTTTTAAGATCTTACTTATTTTTTTAATGAGAGCGTGGGAGAGAAACATCAATGTGTGGTTACGTCTTGGGGGTCCTTCACCAGGGACCTGGCCTGCAACCCAGGCATGTGCTCTGAATGGGAATCGAACCAACAATGCTTTGGTTCACAGGCCCACGCTCAGTCCACTGAGCCAGACCAGCCAGGTTTATTTCTCCAAGTTTCTGCTGCAGCAGGGGAAGAGGGAGAAGACTGTTGGTGTTATCACTTCCCCGGAACTGTGAGAGGAGGGAGACAGTTGTTCCCAGGTTTACAGACTACTTCTCATATTGATGAGAAGATTAGCACTTTGCCATTTGCGGGGGAAGCAGTGAGCTGGCTGTGTTCTGTGACTTAGCATAATAGTCCTGGTTCTCTCTGTGACAGTATTTTCCAGTGTTACACATCCTTACCAGAGTAGATGGTGAAGACAAGTTCAATGACTTACGTGAACCTGTAGCAGGTTCAGGTGCTTCTTGTCTCTATGTAGACGTACACATATGTGTGTCTATATGTAAACACACGCTCAGAGACCTAAATTACTGCAAGGTGAATGGTGTCGTCCCCACTGGATAATGTATAAACAGGCGCAGAGAACGTTAAGTAACTTGCTCAAGATGACATGGCTTGTAAGTGACCGACCCAGGTCTATGAAGCTCCAGAAACTTTCCCTCATGCCCCTCCAGTCTCTGTGGCCATGTGGTATCCAGTGTGGTAACCGCTAACCACATGTAACTTTAATTAAAATTAAACACAATGTAAAATGTAGTTCCTTAGTCCCACTAACCACATTTCAAGTGCTCAATAATCACGTGTGTCTGGTGTCTGGTGTGATCGGCAGCGCGGATTTCTGTGACCTCCCTCACTGCAGAACGGTGTGTTGGTCGGTGGTACTCTCGGACTTGGCCGTAGTCTGGGGTCAGGAAAGACGAACATGGACCTGGCTTCCTAGAGTGTAGTAAGGCAGATGCCGTAACAGGTGGAGTGTTAGAGACAGAAACAGGACTCCATAAAAACAGAGTAAGCGGGTTCTGATCATTTCGTTTGAGGATTGGGCGCTGTCAGAAATGGGGCTGTGCCAGTAGGCTGTCTTCTAGAAAGAATGGGCTTTCTAGGTTTGGCGATGCCTGCCTTCTTGCTGAAAGGACTTTGGTATGTAACACACCTGGAGTCAGGTTCTGGCTCTGCCCCTTGCTGTGTGACACTGGGAAAGTCGTGTCACCTCTGGGCCTATTCCCTGATCTGTAAAATCATGACTTTTCTTCTGCCTTTAACAAAAACAACCCTAAACAAATGGTCTCAGTTCTTCCGGGTGAGCTGGGGGGCACTGGTAAAGCTTCACAGAGGTGTGTGGAGCCCTCAGCCCGTCACTGGCAACAGTCTTACACAGTCTGCCGGGGGTTATTCCATGTCACCTGCAGCCGTTTCTACCATTTCTAAACCATTACAAGGATGGGCAGCCCGTGGCTCTTGAGTGGCATAAAGCTTTTTTGTGTGGCCCATTAGAGAATGAAAGATGAGCAAGCTGCCTCTCCGTTACTGCTCAAATAATGATGAATGATTGGAAAGCACTGTTGGTTTTTTCATTGGTGATCTACTTTGTTGAACAGGGAATAGCAGTTACAGGAATACACAGTCTGTCCTCATTGTTTGCAGGTTCTATTTCTACAAACTCACCTACTCACTAAAATGTATTTGTAACCTCAAAATCAAGAGTCACAGTGCCTTCCTGGTCGTTGGCAGACATACTCGGAGCACCGGGAGTTCTGAGTTGCCCAGGCGGCTTGTTCCAGCTGAGGGCGAACAGGCGCTCTGCCTTTCTTGTTGCAGTTCTGCTATTTAAGAAACTGTTCTTTCCATGATGTTTAGTGCCACGTTATTTGTGCTTTTTGTTTTCACATGTTGCATTTTGTTTTTTTGTGTGTGATTTCACTGTTTAAGATGGCCCCCACACACAGGACCTAGGCTGGCTAGTGTCCCTGAGCACAGCAAGGCCTGGGTGTGCCTGGCTGGAAGATACATGTGCTAGACACGCCTCGTCCAGGTGTGAATCCCAGTGCTGTTGCTTGTGAGTTCAGTGTTGAAGAAGCGACAGTGTCCACCCAGAAAGAGGAAGAGGAAACTCACCAATCTGCAGATGGACACATCAAGCACTAAAGTAGCGTGTGACAAAGCTCTGGAAAAGTAGCTACAGTTACGGATTTATGAGATGATGGCTGATTTATTAAAAAAACTGTAGTGGATAGCATTCTTGTGAGGCTGAAAGCCAGCAAAATTTAGTCACGTTACTAGGGGTCAGGAAATGTTAAATCCTTCTCGGCTAGTTTTAGTATGAAGAAATACTGTATATAATTATTTGTAAGACATTAAACAAGAGATCTTTAAACAGAAACACATAAAACAAGGATTTATCTTGATCAGTTGGTGAAAATGTGACAGGAGGCTCCCCAGGAACCTAACCCTCTACTTCCCCAAGGAGCAGTGCTCCGGCACTGACCGACCCGGGGCGCACAGCTGCTTGAGAAGATACAGCCGTGGTGAACAGGAATCCACTGCATCTTCCACGGGGCTCAGAGCTGTTCTCACTTGGACTGGAGGGGAGAATAGGACGCAAATAACTTCCCTGATTGGGCCGTTTTGTAAAAGGCATAACTCACTTCTGCTTCATAGCAAACACTCCTGCCATTACCCAAGACAAGTGCCACTAAATTTCTCTGGCCCTAGGACAAGTGTGTGTGCGTGTATGTGTTTGGGGGGTGCAGTGCCTTCCCTGTAGCATACAAATCTTCGAATAGTACTTGAACAGACAAAATACAGTATTTCCCCTTACTTGATGGGATTTAATCCACTAACATTTCAAATGGCGTTTCCCTTTCGTTCCTCTGCATTCTGAAGAGAAGTGACGACGACGACAGAAGCAGTGACAGGAAAGACGGGGCTCTGGAGGAGCAAATAGAAAGACTGCAGGAAAAAGTGGAGTCTGCCCAGAGTGAACAAAAGAACCTCTTCCTCGTCATATTTCAGGTATCTTGGCTGGGGACAATGACAATTGATATGTAAAAGGAAATAATACATTTACTTTTAAAAATGTTTTTAGTCATAAAAAGTTCTACGTTCAAATTTATAGAGGTTAAAAAATACAAAAACTTACTAAGGAAATAAAAGCCCAGTACCGGGAGGGAACGTGTGTACCTCCAAATTGTGCGTTGTTTGTGGAGCTTTCTGTGCGAGCATTTCTCCACGCTCTTAACAACAGGGGACGTGTACATGAAATCCCTCTCTCATTGAACTTTTCCCAGTTGTTGGTCATTTAGGGGGTGGTTTTCCTTCCTGGTGAACATTTTTGTGCATAGATTCCTATTAACATTTCTAATTAAGTCCTAGCTAAGTAACCTAGACACTAAAGGTCTTCACATAGTGCCAAAAAGGACGCACTCACTATCAACTAGTGCACCTTTCTGGACAGTGTGCACTGAATTATGGACGTTGCCCACCATAAAGACAGAGTGGAACAGACAATACCTGTGGTCAAAAGTGTGACTGTTTCTGAAGAATTCACTCCCTAACACTTTTTCAACTCTGCACCCCCTTTCCAGCGGTTCATCATGATCCTGACCGAGCACTTAGTACGTTGTGAGACTGACGGGACCAGCGTGTTAACTCCGTGGTACAAGAACTGTATAGAGAGGCTTCAGCAGATCTTCTTACAGGTTTGTGGGGAACTCTGATTAGCTAATAAACATCACTGTTCTCAGCCACAAAGACATTCCATTTTTTGAAATCATCAAATTTGTCAGGAGGTTATGTGATACCCATGAGCCCTTTAGTTCATGTACATTTGTTCCTGCTGTTGCTCATCAGAATAGTTAGGCTTAAATTGGTATCACCCAGACTCCTAATGGCCATTGTCTTTGCTAGAAAGCCTAGTGATGATACACAATGTAGAGAAAAATGCTCAGAGAACAGTAATGACATTAACGATGTAAAGTAACACTGTAACGGTAAACAGTGCCCTCAGCCGCAAGGCTATGTTAAAGATTAGTAGGAGAGTGGAACGAATTCTTTAACAGCCCAAATCCTCATTTATTCTGGAAAAGTTATTAAATTAGAAGTCATAAAAGGAAGTAGGTTCTATAAGCCTCCAAATAAAAATTATCTCTAGATTTATTGCCAGTTGAAACAGGCCCTAATCCTTTAGGGAGCTCTGACTATATCCCAGGTGCACACAGAAGAGATGATTTCATGTTCTGACACTTTTTCCATGTAAGCTTAACACATCACTGATTTCCAGTAGGACAGACGAGCTATTTTTAAAAGATAAAAAATGAGGTTTGGGGTTCTTATTTTGTGGACTGCTTAATAGATCACTGGCTAATTCTTTTTTTTTTCCTTTGCAAAGAGATTCTTTTAATGCTCTGTCCAAATTTTTTTTTCTTACATTTCAGGGACCATGTTTAACTGTAACAGTAGCAATTCTGCTATTCCTATTTGTAGCATACACCACCTTCCCTTTAAAAAAAAAAAAAAAAAGTCTTCCTAGTTCTGTCTGGGCTATTTTTAAAGTCATGCTTGTGTTGGTCCTCATCAGGGGAGAGACCCAGCCTAGCCTTGTCCACAGCAGTGGTAGTAGCAGGCACTGCCTTGAAGCATGAATTGCATACTCATAGCTGCTGCTCAGAATTGGATTTTTTAAGAAGTTTTTGAACATCCATTTTTTCCTCATTTCCCTACATTTTCTTAATACTGGGGCTTTTCAGGGGCCTGTTACTCATAACCATTTTTTTCCCTACAATTCCCTCCCATCATCGCACAACAGGGGTGGGCGGCTACCAAGGGGAATGTTCTGCAAGATTGCTTGTGTGCTCTTTTCCTTGACCCAAACCCCCCTTTTGCATCCGCAGCACCACCAAATCATCCAGCAGTACATGGTGACCCTGGAGAACCTGCTCTTCACTGCTGAACTAGACCCTCACATCCTGGCCGTGTTCCAGCAGTTCTGTGCCCTGCAGGCCTAAGGGTGACTTTTTTCTCCTCATGTCAAGACTTTTTAGAAATTTTATTTGTCTTATTTTTGATGGCTTGAATGCTTGCTTTCTTGTAGCATCCTTTTACTGTCTAAAGGAAACAGAAAGAGGACGACAGTGAAGAATATGGCATTGATTACCTGTAATTGCTCCTAAAAAGCAAATACTCCTAATGACAATGTGACGATAACCTTAGGATGTATTATATACATGACATACAACTTTTCTGACTTTCTCCCTCTTTAAGGCACAAAAGATAACTGGTCTGAGGTATGTGAACACTAGAGGTCAAGCTAACACAGTAGTATACAGAACCAGTGGGTTTCTTACCAAGTAGCATAGCTTTTCACAGGTCGTGGATAACCTAACGTGGCTAAAATAAAACTAAAAATATGTTTTTTAAACTTTGGTCTTTCATGTTTTATCATCTCAGTTTACTTTAAAACTAGTAATTTCTTACTGAAGGTATATGTCATTTGAAATTTTCCTTTCAAAATAATTTTCTTAAGCGTTCTATTTTGATACTGGTGGTGATTATAAAAAAAATTAGAGTAGTAGTTCCCAAGTTTGTCTGAACATTTAAAAAAAAAAAAAACTTTAAAGAATCCCAGGCGGTTTATGGTACTTTTTTTTTTAATTAAATCACAGTCTCTGGGGGTAGAGCACACATCATCTGTGTAGTTCTTAAGGCTCCCCAGGTGACTACAGTGTGCAGGCCAGCTTGGGGACCGTTACCATAGAGGCCCCGCCCCCTTCCACCAGTGTGAGTGCTGAGTTGGCTGAAACTATGCTTGGAATTAAATGTAAGTCTGCAGTTTGTTTCTGTGGAACCAGGTCCAATACTAATTCTCGAGCCTATTTCCTAAACGGTGTTGAGGCTTAACTAAGATAATAAATAAGAGTGCGCTGCAAAATAACATACAAGTTTACGGACTATCTGACATTTTAAATTTCTAGCACTTTAGATTTTTTCATTAAGTCTTAGAAAAATTTTACCAATGAAACACCACAACTGGTAGTATTTTTGAGCATTTGTACAACATAGGTATCTTTTTTATTCTTGTTACATTAATAGCGTTTTCCTTATTAACATGTGATCTCTGGCATACCACACATTTGGTGGCCCTAGAATACATTGTACTCAACAGATGGGGATTCCTAGGATTTTTAAATGCCACACCACTTAAGACAAGAAATGTGTTACTCACAAGATTCAAGTTGCATGGTAAATCACTAGCAGCACCAGGTTCTCGGCTTAAAATATTCTTTTATTTATACTGTTCCTCCTCATATTGCAAAGTTTGGCTAATTATACTTACTTGATCCAAATTCTAGAGGAATTTCTAGGTTTTCACGTCCTTTCTCTCTTTATATGTAATGGTTACTTCTAGCAACTGTTCACTGATACGACCCTGCTCCATCCCAGTCTGGCAGCTAAGTATACGAAAAAACTGAACTAGAGACTGAATTTCAAATAAGAGTGCAAGAGCAAACATTCAGCAATTGATTTTCCCACTAATGAAGTGTTCACTCTCTCTCTCTCTCTCTCTCTCACTCACTCACACACACGAATGGCATGTCACTGTATATTACCTTGGTGGTGGTGGAGGGTCGATCTTCTATTAAACTGTACCAATGCCATTTACCACCCTTCTGTCAAAAAGTGAACATATACTTTGTTTCCCCTGATTCTAAATCTCCCTTTCAGGAGTTACTCAGGAGTCAGTTCATGTGAAGATAAGTCTGCTTTTCCTAGAAAAGTATTTAGTAGTGACTTGTGTACCGTAAAGAACTCGCCAGCCTGGCTGTAGCAGACCTGCTGTCCCTGGTGTCTGGATTCCAGGGCTGTCTTACACTGGTGGCGGCAAAGAGTGGACAGAACCGTGTCTCACTAGACAGGTCTGTAACTGTACTGGCCTCAGTGACAGCACGTGCTCCTTAACGAGTGGCTGTTACCTGCCAAGTTCTGTGCATTCTTAGAATGTAAGTTTTTAGAGAGAGGAATTATTATACCCATCTGACAGATAAAAACAGGCCTGTGGAGAACCTTACCCAAGGTCCACAGCTACCAAGTGGAATCTGAACCTAAGCCCGTGTGCTCACAGGCCCCTCACCTCCCAGTGCAGCCGTGCTGTTGTCGGCGGCCTGGTGCCTGCCTCTGGCGTCATCAAGCTAGAAGCTGTGTGTGTGTGTCCGTCCCAAGAAGATCTTACTGCCCATTCAGAATCAATTTTTACTGACCTCTGATATTTAGCATAGCATATCAAAAATCAATGCAAAAACACATTAAACTTTTCTATATTGACTACTTATACAGAGGAGAGTTAGGAATCACAGTCTCAAGCCTCTTTGGTTTGACTAGTTTTGACTCGTGCCTTTCTCTAAGCACAATCTCCAAGAGCTGATCTAGAAAGAAAAATGAAAACGTGTCAATTTCCTGTGTCTTCTATTTATAGTAGTAGGATAAAAAAGTTATATCAAAAAATAGCATGAAACTATCCAGTTTATCTTAACTTCAATTTGTTTTTGTCAAAAAAAAATTGCATGAACTGTGTAATCACACATACTGGATGAAATCCTCTCGCCAGCTGTAACTGTCTTGGAATCCTCCTGAGACAGCAGGGGAGTTCTGACCAGTTAGATGTGATCCAGGTGTCTGGGCTGACACCAGGCTGCAGGTGGTCTTCCCTCCCAGGACAAAGTTAGAACACCTGTAAGGCACTTAGTATAGTGCTTACCTGGCACCTGATAAGTGCCCAGTCAGTGTTAGAGAGTTGCGATAAACTTACTGTAATTACTTTTTTCCCTTTTAATCCAGATCTGAAATGGGCTATCTAGCGCCTAATAGCAGGGCCTGTGAGTAAGCCCTGCAGATAGAGAAGACACGATCAGACTCCGGCAGCTCATCACTGTTCATTCCTCTCGTCAGCCAGGACTTGTCCGGTGGTAGCACCCTGACCTAGAGACAAGTGGTCTAGAAGTCCTAACACAGCCTGGGGGGGCGGGGAGAGGTCAGCCACCATCCCTATTGGGGTAAGAATCCACCTGCTGCCTTTTCTAAGAGCTTGTCCTCCTACCCGAATCTGAGGTTGGCCTGGGTTTCTCATTTCTCAACTCCAGTGTCCACCTAACACTTCCGAACCACTGTGCCGCTCAGCCCCCGTCCCTGTCCCAGTAAACACGGCCACAGACCCGGTGTTTTGTCCACAGCTCGACATGCCACGCTTAGGTGAGACTTTCTCTCGAGCCACAGCATACATCCTTAGCACTGAAACATTATTTACACAAGCGTTTATTCATCTACAAAGACTTTTTTGGTGAATTCTGAACAACACCAATCTAAATTTTCTTTATCTGAATGTAAAATTCTAAAACCAACCACTAAACTAAAAATCACATTTTCTCATACGTCAGTTCATGGCCACACACGGTGCATATCTTCCGGTACATGTCGTCTTCCAGGTTTTCTTCTGGTCCGTACTCGTGCTGGTGAGTAGCCATCTCCCTTTTCCATAAACTGCTTCTTACTGCTCGCCGTAATTCTAAAGAAAAACAAAAAAAAACAAAACAGTTTTTCAGTGGTGCTGTTCAGCTGAAATTCATCAGGTATGCACATGTGCATTTAAAAAAAGTTTACCTTAACTGCAACAGATCAAGCCTGACTACACAGACTTACGAAATGGGAGACTCAGAAACAGAGTGTGTGGGTTAGAGAGAGAGCAAAAAAGAAACTGAGTCAAGAACAGAATTTGTTCAAGCAACTGATTATGGAAGGCACGACACCACAGCAAGGAAGCGGGGGCAGCTGGGATGACCGAGGACAAGGAGCATTTTAGGTTCCGTGTCAGTCAGCAGCTGCTTCGTTAAGGGACATGTCAAGCTTTGCAAGAAAATGAGAAATCCAAGAAGTCCGTCACTAAGCTAATGTTCCATCTTAGAAAAACTGGTCATGCAACTAGTCTATTAAATTCTTTATCCTGTAAAACTAGTCTAAAAAATTCTTTATCCTTAGGAGAGGGACTGCTAATAATTATTGCAAAGTATAATCTAAACATAAGAATCAAACTATTAAAAGCTAGAAAGAACCAGAGTTTTTATTTCATTTTATTTTGCATGTATAAAAACTGAGCAAAGATAGCATGTAAATCCAGGTCATTTGTTCCAATGTTTACAATTTTTTTCCACTTTCGAGTTCAGCTACTAAGTTCTCAGTTCCTAGTTTAATGAAGAAAAAGCAAGAGTAATTGTTTACAAATGCTTCTACTCTGACCAATGATCCATCAAGCCCAGAACTACGTTTAACAGCAGCACAACTTAAGGGAGAGCATGTCAGTTACCTCTTAACTATGAGAATCAACATACACCAAGGAATCACATTATTTTACTCCATCTTAGATCTGTGATACGCAGTATCAAAATACTACCTGAATCTCTATGTTTTCAGCTTTTGTCATTATCACGAGGATAAGCAAGCATACAGAGCTGTGTACCAGGCACTGCTCTAAGCACTTGATAAACTACATTTAACCCTCACGACCCTCGGAACAAGTACAACTAGCATCCCAGCTGTCCAGGCGAGCACACGAAGGCACAGAGGTCAGATGACTGCCCTTGGTCAAACCGCCGGCGGGCAGCAGAGGCTCAGTTGAGCTCCAGCCCACGTCCTCAGCCTCTGAGCTATGCTGCCTGCCCGTCGTCCCTCCAGCAGGAAAGCGCTCTGTCTGAGGAGAGGATTTGCAGGCTTCAACGTGCACACCTCAGTTTACCCATTAGAGAAAACGATGTTCACCCAGATTCCAATCTTCATTCCTGTATCTTCTGAAGAATGCTGATTTTCCTAGACAGCCGAAATGCCCTCTGTCCTTTCATTACTTCCTTTTACCTTAGGACAGTTTCTAAATGAATGAATGAGTTAGTTGATAGACTGACCGGAACCACACAGGTGCCTCGTGGTTTCAGGTGACAGGCAGAGGTCTCCTGTGGGAGCCCCGGTACCTACTTCTCCGGCTTTGTTCCGAAGCGCCCCGGCCACTCTTCCTTTACTGCCCCGCGGAGGGAGCTGCTCCACGTCTGACTGCGTCCCAGTCCCTGAGCTAATAACTTCTGCCCAGGCTGAGCACTGTGTGAACTCAGGAGGAGAAAAGTATTAACACTAAAAGAATACTCAAAAATCTAGCTCACTAGCCATTATTGGTCATATCCTTAGTATTTACTAGAAATTTCTGGAAGAACGTACTAGAAAGCAAGAAAATACTAAAAACTGCTGTTTGTGATTATCTTGCCCTTGTTTTCCTCCTTGAACAATCCAGTCCTACGGCCATGGTTAAGTGGAATGAGTAAAGCAGGCATCTGGGGGAAAGCAGGGCAGCCCAAGGAAGGTAAGGAGAGGACGTAGCCACAGCAATGGGAAGTGAGTTCCCTAAAGGGGCCTCAGTCAGCTGGCTAGATTAAGGATAACGGGAGTTCAGGTTCTCCCTATCAGAGAGGCAAGCTACAAATACGGGAGAGATTCAGGATGAACCCAAAGTTTTGGGTTGAATGTGGTTCACCAGTGTGAACTCAAGGTTTCTATCCATACATATGGGCAAACAACATGTGTTTTGTGTAGAGAACAGAAAGGAGTGCTCAGTGAATGGTGAAGACACGTTGAAAGGACAGGAGCCAGTCCAAAGATACTCCTGTTGGCCCAAATCTGAGACAACCAGCACCAAAATAATTAAGGATGCAAATGAATCAGTAATGTTGAGAAGAATGGGAATTAGCGAATCCATGCCAACAATAAACAGACGGGGAAGGATGCTGTAGCATGCGGGCTGCTAGCTGGTTAGATGCAGAGGGAGTGCTTGAAGTGAGAATTTTTACGACCATCGTACTTCAGACTGGTTCCAGCAAGAACCAGCCACAGACGGATTCCAAATTCTCGAGAAGTGTTCAGGAGAAGCATGATGTTTGCGAGGTCTTAACATTTTTCCTCCTTATCAAATAAAAAAACTAAAGATTAATATCACCACTGAGGACAGATGGACCTCATGCCTCCCCATGTGATGCCCTGAGAAAGACATGTCATTCGTGCGCTGTCCCTGAAATGCATAATCCAGATGTAACCATCAGACGAATCAGAAAAGCCCCACTGGAAAACATTATTTCTAAAAAGTTAGAGCAGGGGAAGGGGAGAGACTTTTTAAAATGTCACTGTCATAAAAGACAAAGGCTGTGGAAATAGTCAAGAATAAAGAAACTTAGACGCAGTGCCTAAAGCCAATACTGACGCCCGGCCAGATCCTGTTCCAGAATGAAAAGTCACACAGGACACAGCTGGGTAGCTAACAACGAGCGTGCGGACGACAGATTAGATAACAGTACCCTCATTACACTTGGATTCTGTAAGAGAACGCTGCGGTTCTTAGGAAAGGCTGCAGGTGCAGGGGTAGAGGGTGATGTACCGACCTGCTCTTCGAGGGTCCAGGGGAGAAAGGGTGTGTGTGGGAGGAGGATGCAAATGCTGGCATAACGGGCATCAAGTGTGAACAGTGGGTAAACCTGGGTAAAAGGGAGGGTATGGGTGTCCCTTGTGCTAGTCTTGCAATTTCATGCGAGTTTGAAATTATTTACAAGTGAAAACAAACTGAAAAGGTAGGAGCTAGCTTGAAGGGGCTTCCACTGGCCAAACTGGGGACAATGAGCATCAAATAAATGCTAGGAGTGTATAGTAACACAGATTTGAGAAGAACAATCTATGAATCCAAATGGTACTAAAAATGCTCTTCTTTCCAAAAAAAGCCAAATACTAAAGTTACAGAAAGAATAACAAATAGAAAATTGCCATTTATACCCACCCTAGTAGTATGCAATCACTGACTCAGGCCAGAAGCACCCCTGTGCACTGAAACCACCGAGTACAACTTGAGGAATGAGGTGTTCACATAGTGTCCAGAGTCCGGCAGGCGCTGCCCTCACCGAGCCATCGAACAGCCCCACTCCCCCAGCGGAGAACTGGTGTGTGTCTCCTAAGGCGGCACACTCGACGGCACGTCACCTAGGAAGCGTTCCTCCCAAAAGTGTCCACCCCACTCAAGATATGAGGAAACAGGCTGTGAATAAAACCAAATGAGGGTCACTCTCCGAAACTGGGGGCCTGGACTCAAGAGAGGGAGCCTCTTTCTGTCGGTTTATATCACTGTTCTACTTCACAAGGAGACCGGGCGCTGTGACTTGGGTGTGTTCTAACAGGTCAAGGAAGACTCGCTCCCCCTTCCTACCAAAGAATAGATTTGGAGGGGAGTAGTGAGGCCAAAAAAAGCCATTTTCATTTGTGTTGTGCCGTGTAAAAACTGTCAACCCTTTTAAGTTAAGAAATGCCAATGCCATGAAAGAGGAAAAGGCTGAGGAACGAAGACCACAGATGTGCGCCATCCTTGAGTGGCCCTGGGTCCCCCCACTGAAAGGCTGGCACAGACCTTAAGACAACTGGGGAGAGATACACGTACTAGACAGTAGATGGCGGCATTGTATTGATGGTCAATTTATTAGGTGTGATGGTCGTTTTTTAGCTCTGCAGGAGAAAATGTCCTTGTTTTTAGGAGGTAACTAACGTTGACGAATTAAATAAGAATCATAGTGTCTATAAGTAATTCTTAATAGTTCTGCAAAATGAATGTGTATGTGTGAATGAGAGAAAAAAGTACATATGGCACACTCAAAATCAGGTGAAATACAAATTTGTGTAAAGATTAGTACATTTTTCTCATTACCTCATTTGAGCAACTTTGGAAAGGGGGGCTCAGTCACCTCCTGAACATGAGAAGGGGCGGGAAGGTCCGAGACTTGAGGAGCGTGGGGAAAGAGGGCTGGGAGCCTCGGAGGGGTCGGCGGGGACAAGCCGCACAGCGCTGGACGCCCGACTGAAGCTGGAAGGCAGCTGGTGCGCCGTGTTCCAGCCTCTCGGTCCCACGGGCTCAGAACCCCACAGCACACAGCTGTGGACTGACTACCTCACCTGGAAGTTTATTAAAATGCATGAAAGGTTCAGTCTTGCTACTGATATCTTCAGGGACTGCTTATACTTCTTACTCAAACAAGTTTTCCCTAGAATCCTTGTTTCAATGAAAAATTTATGTTCTATCATCACTCTAAAACATGCATTTTATTTGGCTTAATATCTTAATTTTGCAAAAGAGGCAGCCTGTATTCAAACAAGCTGAATGCTACTTGTGAAGTAAACTCACAAGAGAACTAGCTAAGGGAGACCAGATGCTTTTAATACTCGATAGGAAGGCAGGAAGTTTTGACACAGGGTGCCCCTCATTAACTAGAGAAAAAAATCACCAGGAAGTGACAAAACCACCTCAGAAGCTTTGATCTTATTTTGTCCTCTGTACACTGAAGCAGAGGAACAGGAATCGAGTCCTTCACTCTCCGAGAGAAGCCAGAGAACAGTCCTAAGTTATGTATAACCACAGGCCCAATGTGGAAGATGTTCCCCAAATCAGAAGGGACCCCCGAATGGAATTTCCTTACCAACCCCTTTTGGGGGGGAAGTACACAGTACAAATAGTGAAGGTTAATGGTTTTTAGAAGGCTAAGCTCTACCAGTACTAAGTAAGAAAGCTGAGTGTAACTTTAGAGAAAAGCTTCATCTCCTCCACATTATTGTGGAAAGAAGGCATGCGAACCCCAGATGTTCTGTGGATCTAGTGTCGAGGCCAAACCACATTTTCTGAAATCTACTTACACTGAGTAGCAGTGAGGCCGGCATTTCTACTTCCGTCACCTCCGATCTGAGACTTACAACAATGTGAATCTGCTGACAAAATTCTTGCTTGCCTTTCCCCTTATCTATATTTATATGTACCTTATACTTTTAATTTTCTTCTGTAGGAAGATCAATTCTTTCTCAAACTACTAAAGCAGATCAAATTCTAAAAGCAGGGAAATGTGATCTCTTACCTTTCCATAAAGAAGGAAACTTTGTCTCAGCTTCTTTGTGGATCGTAATCAGAAGACAAGAGAACCAGGTTCCAATTTCTTTTCAACTAAAAAGCGTTTAGACTTGCTTCTATTCCTCTCTGTTCTGAGCCTTCTGAGCAAACTGCATAGTAAGCTCCTCGCTTCTAACCTCTACAGCGTCTACTCCACTCTCAGGCCTTTGCGGCCCAGTCGGGAGGGCGGGAGCAGATCCACCGACCGCTAAAGCAAATCGACAAGGAGAAGCCGCAATTAAAGGAGGCATCATGTTGATGTCTGCAGATTAAATACCAGAAGACAATGGAGTGATGTTTGTACAGCAGAGAGAACTTAGGTTTTCATGTGCGAAAGAAACAGAACACTCAGATTTGCAGGGACTTGGAAAATGCACCATGCGTGTAACCATGTGGAAACATCTCCTCAAGAGACATGCTTCTTCCAAACAAGAAATGAAGTGAATTGCCCTGGCTGGCATAGCTCAGTGGATTGAGCTTGGGCTTCGAACCAAAGCATCGCAGGTTCGATTCCCAGCCAGGGCACATGCCTGGGCTGCAGGCCATGGCCCCCAGCAACCGCACATTGATGTCTCTCTCTCCCTCCCTTCCCTCTCTAAAAATAAATAAATAAATCTTAAAAAAAAAAAGAAATTAAGTGAATTGAAGAAACCGGCCTTAAGAGACCTAAGAAAAAATTCAGGACAGATTCAAATTTCAAGGATCAGGAAAATCCATAGCAAGTTTATCCAGTGATTAATAGCAATTTAATATAATGAGAAAAACAGCCAATTATATTTGAGTTTATATTTTTTACAAAATACCTATGAAAATTGTGTAGAGCTTAAATGTTATATTTATACTAATATTTACATTGTATTACCTTAATAGAATTTTTATGGGAAAAAAGCATAATAAAATGACATAGACGCCATAATCTTTTGTTAGTCAAATTATAAAAATTTAGTCAACCTTAGATGACACCTTGACCAAACTACAGAAATCATATCTGAGAAAAAAGCCCTCCTTTTAAAATATTCCTTTACTTTGCAGGTACAACTTTCTAAATCTTTTCCCCATATGTTATTGTCTGCACTAAAATACCATCAGAAAGGGGTTTAAGGAGGCAGCACAGAGGGAAGGACAGAGGTGACTCAGGGACAGTAACCCCAGGCTAAGATGTAAGTGGTTCACAAATATGCCCTCCTCTTTCATATCCCTTAAGATGACTTTTGTTACTTTATCCTTCAAGGCTCTCCTTGATGTTGGAAGAGAGAAAGGGCTGGGGAAGAACACAGAAACGATCAAGAGAAGTCTTTCCAAATCCTCCCCGTTAGCCCTTGCAGGTACTGTGGAGACTGGGGTACATACAGCAGGGGCTAACTGGGGGAAGACTCTTCGGTGAAATGCCCTTCTGTGGCGCAGCCTGCTGTAGGGCACTGCTCTGCAGAGCCATAACCGCATGCTGGCCACACCCTCAGATTCTGGAATCAACATTTTAAGTTAATTAATTTATACAGGGATGTATATAAGGACGTTTATAATGGGGTTATTTGTACCGATACACTTATGGTAAACTTCACAAATGTCCAACAGTGCCTCTGTTTTTGTAAAACACATTTCTAAAGTGTTTATGCGTTGAAAAGAGCTGGGAAGACAGACATGTTACTAACGGCTGCCTCAGGGTAGCAGAATCACGGGGCAGTTCTTGGTAGCTATCCGACTGTTCTACACTGCGAATGAATTACTCCTGTAATGAAAATGGGGGGGGGGGCGGGGGGAGTCCCCACACTAAAAAGAAACAAGGCAGCTAACTTTTTCTTTGCTTTTTTCTTTATTTTTAAGACATCTGAGCTATCCTCATTCATCCTCCTAAACCTCTTCTAAATTCTCAAAACATAAGCAAAATTATTTACTACGGCTAAGAGATTCATTTTAAATGGATCGATTTAGTACACGTATTACCCAGAATACACAGAAAATTCTCCCTGTCTATATACACTTCACACCACACGGGGCGCTACAGATGCTGTATGAAGAACATGCCTGCTTTTCAAGGCTTCTTAGGGATTCTATGATAAAGCAAAAAGTGCTCTTCATTCTCTTGTGGCACCCTGTGTTCATCACTATCACAGTACTGGTCACACTCCACTATGATTTTAAGTTTACTGGTCTTTCTCTTCTGAGAACCGTGACTCCAGCAGTTACGTTAACACAGTGCCTGGAACACAGCTGACAGTGTATTACTGGATTCATTGATGGAGGGCCAGAGGGAGGGGTGGATGAAGACTTATGCACACGTGCACGGACAGACAGACACGTGGACAGAGGAATGAGTGTTCCAATGCAGACTTTCAGTCCTGAAAGCCTGGCTCCAGTCCCAACACTCTAATAATTAGGTAACAGGTCGCTCTACCTTTCTAAAGAGTTTTTTATTCATATGTAAAATAAAAGTGATTAGACTAACTGACATTGAAAGGTTCCTTCTAGCTGCTAAGTTAGATGATAAGACTTAGCCATGATTTTTTTCATTTTAAGCAATTAGAGAGGATTGCTGGTGGGTGTCTCTGCCCTTTATAACCCTATGGTCATATTTAAAACTGAGCTGATGCCAAATCTTTGACCAGAGACACATCCTCAGATATAACAAGGCTCGCGTTAAGTGAGGGCCAACATGCTTTTTCAGAACTGCAGTGCTGGGCGGTTTCAACTCGGAGCCTCAAACACCAACTACAGAGGGCAAACTCTCTTTTCTTCAATGCGTGCGTGACAAAACAGATTCCCACCTACTGATGACATCACATCTTTAAACAGGAAGAACTCAGCTAAAGGCTTTTTGCAAAGCAGTGAACATAGTCCTTTATGATATAAACGTAGCCACTTACCTTTTACTTTTTTATCAAACTTCTTCTGTTTCATTTTTTCTCGGTTTTTCTGTCGAACTTCCTTCGCTTCTTCTAATGCCTCCTGACTACCCCAAACTTCTAGGGCCCTCTTCACAATCTATAACACAGAATCCATGTTTGAATGAGCTGGGATTCAGAGTCGTAAATTATAAAGTTACAATTATTAAATCCGAGGCACCAAAGAATGACCTAACTCAAGTACAATTTTACAAATACTCAATTGAAATTTAAAATCCATATTTTAAATATGGATAAAAACCATTCTATGAATATCTCTACCTAACCCTACGAGACCCTCAGTAAATGAGCGCCGGCTCCAATTACACTCGTAACAGGCAAGCTGTCCTCCGACCATAACTGTTTCTCTGACTCGCTCGGCGTTGTCACGGGAGCCAGCACACCCGTGAGCTCAGTAAGTCAGCGGGTCTGCTGGGTGCTGGCAAGCTCACGTCCAAGAATCTACTAGTCACAGCAGATCTAAGCATGAGGTAATCTCCAAAAACCTCCCACCACAGGAAATCAATCTCTTCTACCCTTCTCCTCCTGAACCAATAATAGTGTCCATCTACTTGACTAACTTCTGATCTTTAGAACATGTACTTTTAAAACTCTGGTAGCTGAATGACCTAAAAAGTCTTTGTTCTAGTTTTAAAACTTTGGATTATATATATCTTTACTCTTTATAAAATTTATATTTAGGAGAATAATATACACAGTAAGAATTATACTCAGGATATCTCTCACACTATGTTAAGGGAACTAAAATATCGATCAGTATAGCCAAACTTGAATTTCTTCTTAGCATAATAAAATGATATACTCTTATTTCAATAGTTCTAGAACATCACATTTTCTACAATATAACCCTCTGAAAATGTATATCACCAATGTGCTTAACAGTGCTTTAATTCTGGGTCAAAAGTGGTTCAGAAGAATTGGACTCTTAATGTAATCAGAATACCTTAATAAATCTGTTATACTTGCATTTTCCTACCTATATACACCCAAGTGTGATACATAGCAAAAGAGTACAGTAAGTCTAATGGCACTATCTCAGTGAGTAGAAACAACACACCACGTGGTAAGGAAGCACTGGATCAGTCTGGTTGAATGAGCATTTTTCATTTTTAATGGTGCATAAATTAATAGTCAGTCTTATTGATATAGTGTCTTATATGTTTAATGAAATTCAGTGTATGTCTGCTTTTACATGTGGCTTCTTAATTTTATTTAAAGATGCTAGAATTCTGTAGTAAATTCCAAATCAAACTGCTCTAAAGCAATGCCTCCCAATATTTTTTATATAATGGCACACAAAAAAATCACAGTACTTGCACCATTCTGGAGTAGCTACAGGAGGCTGCCTGTGTGAGGACACCCAGCCTGGGCACTAGCAGCCCCAGGGGTCGGACTGTTAGGTATCTCGGCACACCGGCGATACGACAGCGGCGAGAGGAGGTGGGAAGGTCTGCCCGGGACTTACTGGCGCTGCATGGACACCTGGTAGGGAGGGTTTCAGATGAGTATTCTCCCCAGGCGGAGTTAGATTTTAGGTGTTTGTGAAATTCCTAAATCTTGTTTTAAAGGTGGAGGGGAGGGCAGGAAAACAGGGTCTGACTCTTATTCCGAGCTTTTTCAGTCTCCCAACTGTACTCCTAATCACTCAACAGTAAGACATTTGCTCCACAGTGCTGCACCAAAAATCAAAGTAAGAGAACCCGTTACCGTCACTATGAATGACTGCGACTCACACGCAAATCAACAAAACGCCGAGGATCTTTTCAACTCTCTCTGAGCAAAAACTAAGCTAATCACGACTAGTTTCTTGTTCAAGTGTTGCCTGCCCAAAGGTAAAAAATGACTGAATATAACTTATTAGAGACCTGTAATTTTAAGTAGAGTTTCATATCACCCCATTGTGAATGATGAGGATTCTTCTTCACAATAAATTTAAGAGGTGGTTCTCTTTTTTCTAAATCACAGTCTTTCAGAAGGTATTCTTGTTTTGCTTCTGTTTTAGTTATAAGTTTGTGTTTATCATCAGCATCTCTGAAAACAAGTTCATTATATAAGTTAGTTATTTAAAATAAACTAAGTTTTCAAATAGCCCAACAATCTCGGGGTATACATGCCAAAAGGAACATATAAAATACTTTTTCCTGCAGCTCTCGTGGTCAAATTAGCAGCATAAAAATCCTAACAGAAAAATGCATTATCTTCTACATACTCTGAGAAGCTATATTAGCAGCAAATCCATATCATTTAACATGTTAATAATTTTTTTCTACTTATTTAAAGTCTCTCTTTTCCACAAAGATTTGAAATGCCTCATAAGAGTACAAGAAATACAAATGAGAACTAAGACCCAATAAGTGAGAAAATATAAGCTAAAGCATGAAGTGGGGGTGGGCAGGGTATAAGGAACATAAACATGCGAGGTCCAACGGTCCCAGCACAGCTAAGTTTCCAGCTGGCTCTGGGCTTCCCAAAGTCAAGGTAAAAACGGAGTCATAGTCAACTACGTACTTCTCATTCACTTGTCCTCTATCTACATGTCGAGTATTGTTTGAGGTTTAAGGACTACAGCAAAGAATGAAAAAAGCCTTGTTTTCATGGAAGTTACATTCTGGTAAAGGCGAAGACAGCCACCATGCAAACATAATGGCAGATAAAGTGCTATGAAGGAATGTAAAGAGGGTGAAGGGATAGAAATTTTCAGATTGACTGGGCAACCAGAGAAAGTCACCGGTAAGGGGACATTGGAGCAGAGCCCTTAAGAAGTCAGAGAACATTCTGAATGGCCAGAGAAGGGATGTTCCTCACACACAGAAGAGCAAATGCAGAGACTCTGGGACAGGGAAGTGCTTTGCAACGGGACAGCAGGGGCCATTGTGCTGGAGGGTGGCTTAAAGTAAGTGCCAAGGAGTGAGGAGAGAGAAAGGCAGAGATAAGCAGTGGCCTTGTACTCAGTGATGAAGGCCATTTTATTCTAAATGGGTGAGAAACCATTACAGAGTTCTGAGTAAATGCTAAATGGAGAAGATACTAACAGTGCAGAAGTTGGTGTGGGGGCGGGGAGACCAGTTAGAAGATCACTACTGCAGTGGTCCAGGCAAGAGCTGATGGTGGCCTAGTCTAAGGCAGTCAGTCGTGGGAGAGAGGATGCGAGTATGGTGTGAGCACAGAGGCAGATGGTTTCAGAGTTAAACGTGGGACAGTAGGGGAAGAGCCAGTGAATGAAGCTGGCCTTAACTGAAGTGACCCAACACTGAGGAGGAGGCACACGCAGCTCAGGGAGGGGAGACTAAAACTGAAAACACCTGTAGGCTAAATGATCTGGAAGTACCAACTAACGGAGGGACAGGTAAACTGCACTGTACTAAAACTATAATCCCAGAAGATGCTGAAAGGAAACGGAATGGAGGACTGGGTTCCTAATTATGTTTCAATTTTAAAAGTACATATATTTTTTAGACTACCTTACAACTTTTTTTTAAATGGGTATATCCACTGCTTTCACTTTCTCATGGAAATAAGATTATATATGCCAATTCAGTTTCCAAAAGCTAGCTACACTTTAAGGAGAGTGGCAATACTGTGGACCTTACCCCCTCACTGTGCGCATCCCTGACACCACGCGTCAGTGGGGACAGAGCTCATCATCTACAATTCCAGTGGGTGCCAGGACTTTCCCAGTCACCCGTGCGATCATGAAACCGGAAACATCTCCATCCTCTCTCTCTTCCAAAGAGTCTACTCAACAAAGGTCGTCAGTGATGCTGAAAAGGCAGGCCCTCTAGCAGATGGAGAGCTGATCCAGCGCTGTACGTACCAGAAGAGGGACTAGGAAACAGAGGAGAGGGCCAAGTGAGGTTCCAAGACAGGATCTGCAGGTGTGGAAGACACCGATGGGGTAAGCAGCAGGGAGCAGGACAACCACGTGAAGAAGGATTATTCTGGGTTAATATAAAAAGAGGACGAAGGCCGGGAGAAGAAGAATGGGAATGACAGAGGAATGTGATTTTCCTCATCTATCCTCGTCCCTGACTGTCCAGAGGAGAAACACGAAGAATGGAAAGAGTGTTCTGGGGGAACCAGAAGAGTGGCTGGAGGGGTCTCACTGTCCTCTCATTCACAGCCCCGACCTCTGACCAAGGCGTCAGCAGACACGGAGACAAGAAGCCACCGGGGATCCTTCAGGAAGGGCTAGGAACCTGCTACTGCAAGGGGGGTAAAGCCCCCCAGGCCAGCAGAAAGCAGGACACGGCCCCTGTGGCAGGACCCGGGGTGTTCCTGTCTATGGGACGTGTCATAACTTGGATAACACGGGCTTCCTGTATTTCTCTGACAGAATGGAAACCGCAGAAATGTTAGGAAATTCCCCAAACAATCACAGCAAAAGAGTATTAAATTCAAATGGATTGAACTGTTTTACCCTAAGCCTATATGTAAACATTAAACTTCAGCGATGGAGAACATTGTCTGAAATAAAATAAGTACCTGCAGTTATCACAAGTTGGGAAATCAAAGTTGCTCATAAGATAAGAGTCCATAAATTCTCTGTTACATTCTTCACAGATTGCATAGTCAAATTCCATAACAGGTCCTGAGAAGAAGATTAATTCTTTAAGTTTCCGGCATTGTGACTGGAACAATACATTCTCCTCCACCAACAGAGAGAACCGCTTCCTCTTCGTCCGTCTCAACCACTAGACTGCAGACTTCTTGAAGGCAGAGACTGCATTTAGCAACACACCCTCCACAGCGGGCACAAAACTCCTCCAGGCAGAGTAAAGCCAGATGCTGCCAAGGACCTCGAATACCTAGCCAAGGGTCTTCACCCTGGTTCAAGTCTTGGCTTCGGAGAACAACTGCGCGGACACACAGAGCAGCACAGGACTGCCGCCGACCCTGACAACCCACAGTGCTTCCGCTGCTGCAGCTGAAGCTGGGCTAGGTTCTATCGTACCACTGGCTATTGCCGTATGATCAAATAAAACTTCAACTTGTTCAAAGGATGGGAAAATATCCGCACCCAGAGGATATATATGGCTATATATAACTGACTTGAACCTCAGATAATTCAGTTATATTCTTTTTTCAAGTCAGGTCTCCCCATCTCATACTTTATAAACTGACTTTTTCCTCCAGACATAAAGAATGCCCTAGATTTCATCTCTCGGGTTTTGGCCTCTCATCTCAGCCTACCAAGGGAATTCTGAGCGCTTACTCTATCAGTACACTGGCTGTCTCTGCCCACTACGAACCAGCAGACACCGCATCTCGTTCAGTGTCGTTTCATCATGACACGGACGAAACGCCACAGGAACCCAACTGTTGTTTGTATCGGTCAGCTTACGGCAAAGCTGGTTTTGTTCACATCATTTTGCTTAAGTCACAGAAACTGTCAGTGGCATTAAGTGAGGACTTACTGTCCACAAAACACAAGTTACACTGGTCACTGCCAAATCTGTTTAATTTTTAACCTACTAGCAAAACTTTACTACCCTTATAAAGCTAACCCGCTCACTGCCTCACTATTTAACATCAATGTGCAAAGTCATGCATGATACCCAAATCGGCCAACCTATTTTCTGATAATACACGTTACCTGGTTGATGAACAACTTTTCCAACTGTATGTTCTTTTTCTCCTTCCTCTTCCAGAATGAAGCCTCCTCCTGTGTCAATTATCTTTGGGGCTGCTTTTACATTGGCCACACCTACAAAAAGTAAGCAAAAGTGGTCAACAACTGAACCAGGTAAGCCCATATGTTCCCTTGTGCACAAACAGAAACTTCCTGTAAATTTAATATGTGTCAGACAAGACAAGGAATGTCCACTATTGCCACTTCTATTCAACGTGATACTAAATAAAGGTCCCAGCTAGTACAATACGACAAGAAAACTAAACTGGCATAAAAGTTAAAAAGAAGTAAAACTGCCTTTATCAACAGATAATTTGAGTATGTATGCAGAATATCCACGGGAATCTGTAATCAGAATTTAAAAATAACACCTAGGAAGAGATGTGCAAAAACTATACTGAAACACCACTTAGAGAACTCAAAGACCTAAATAAGCAGAGAACTACACCATGGAATGGATTGGAAGCCTCGATATTGTAAAGATCTCAATTCTCCCCTAGTTCATCTATTCAAGGTGACCCCAGTCAAAACCCCAGCAGCTGTGTGTGTGTGGGGTGGGGGCTGAGGTGGGAGCTGACAAGCTGACTTTAAGAGTGGAGGACTTAGCTACCAGATTTAAAGATTTACTATAAAGCTTCAGGAATTAAGACAGTTTGATAGTGGCATGAAGACAAAGAGATCAATAAAATAGAAAAGAAGGTCCTGAAATAGACATACACATATTTGGTCATTTAATTTATGGCAAAGGCTCTGAGGCAATTCAGTGGGGAACAATTTGTTCAATAAATGACACTGGGACTTATGACAAAGGTGCCACTACAAAACAGTGAGGGGGAAAAATGGTCTTTCCTATACATGAACTTTAGCCCTACCGCATACAAATATAAACAAAAATTGTTTAAATGGATTATAATCTTGAATGTGAAAGGTAAAACAGTGTTCTCTTCTTCTATAAGAAGAAAACATAACTTCATAAACTTGAAGTACCAAAAATTTCTTAAACATGACACAAAAGTACTAACCATATGGTCTTGATTAAAATTAAGAGCTTCTACTCATCCAAAGACCTTTACAAGAGCGAAAACACAGGATGCAAACTGGGAGAAGCTATTGCAATAAGTATACCTGACGAAGGACTCGCATCCGGAATATGCAGTGAAGTCCTGTGAATCAGTAAAAGACAAATAACCAACTTAAAAAAAAAAAGGCAGAGACCTGAATAGGGACTTCACAAATAAGGATATCCAAATAGCCAGTAAGCACATGAAAAAGCCATCATCATCATCATCATCATCATCAACACCACTCATTGGGGAAAAAACTACTTAAAACCCTAATAAAATGTCACTACATTCCCACCAGAATATCCAACAAGGAAATAGTGGCCTTAAATGACACCTTAGTAATCTAAGTGATCACTATGATACATTCTTTTCAAGTGCACCCAGCACACAGTCTGGAACAGACTACTTCAGACCACAATACAAGTCTCAATAAATTTAAAAGACTGGAATAATACCACACATCTGTGATCACAATGGTATGAAACTGGAAATAAATTACAAGAAGAAAACTAAAAAACACACAAACGTTGAGGCTAAATATCATGGTACTAAACAATGAATGGGTAAACAATGAGATCAAGGAAGAAATCAAAAGACAACTTGAAACAAATAAAAATGAAAACACAACAACCCCCAAATCTATGGGACACAACCAAAGCAGTTCTAAAAGAGATATTAACAGCAATACAGACGAGAGCTTAGGAAACTCTGGGACAACTTTAAACATTCCAACATCCAAATCATAGGGGTCCCAGGAGAAGAAGAGGAAGAGCAAGAAGTTGAAAATTTATTTGAAAAAATAATGAAGGAAAACTTCTCCATCTGGCAAAGGAAATAGACATGCAAGTCTAGGAAGCCCAGAGAGTCCCAAAGAAGCTGGACCCAAGGAGGAACACATCAAGGCACATCATAATTAAGATTAAAGATAAGGAATCTTAAAAGCAGCAAGAGAAAAGGAGAGAATTACCTACAAAGGAGTGCCCATAAGACTACCAGCTGATTTATCAAAAGAAACCTTGCAAGAAGGGGCTGGAAAGAAGTATTCCAAGTCATGAGAGGCAAGGACCTACATCCAAGATTACTTTATCCAGCAAAGCTTTCATTCAGAATGGAAGGGCAGATAAAGTGCTTCCCAGATAAGGTCAAGTTCAATGAATTCATTATCACCAAACCCTTATTATATGAAATGTTAAAGAGATTTATGTAAGAAAAAGATCAAAACTATGAATAGTAAAATGACAACAAACTCACAACTATTAACAACTGAACCTAGAAAAACAAAAACAAACTAAGCAAACAACTAGAACAGGAACAGATCACATGGAGGGTTATTAGCAGGGGCGGAGGAGTAAAATCGGGGGGGAAAGTACAGGGAATAAGAAGCATAAATGGTAGGTACAAAATAGACAGGGGGAGGTTAAGAATAGCATGGGAAATGGAGAAGTCAAAGAACTTACTTGTACAACCCATGGACATGAACTAAGAGGGGGTATGCTGGAGAAAAGAGGGTGCAGGGCAGAGGGAGCAAAGGGGGGAAAAAAGGGACAACTGTAATAGCATAATCAATAAAGTATACTTAAAAATTTTTTAAATATAAAAAATAGCAATACAGGCCTGCATCAAGAAACAAATAAAAACATCTAATAAACAATCGAACCTTATACTTAAAGGAAACAGAGAACAAAGCCCAAAGTGAGCAGAAAAGAGGAAATAATAAAGATTAGTGAAAATAAGTCTAAAAAGACAATAGAAAAGATCAATGAAAGCAAGAGCTAGTTCTTTGAAAAGATAAGCAAAATTGATAAACCTTTAGCCAGACTCAGAAGAAGAGGGCCCAAATAAGTAAAATCAGAAATAAAAGAGAAGTGACAACTGATACCACAGAAATACAAAGGATTATAAAGAAGTACTACACACAATTATGCACTAACCAACTGGACAACCTGGAAGAAATGGATGAACTCCTAGAAACATACAATCTTCCAAGGCTGAATCAGAACGAAACAAGTAAACATGAATACACCGGTAACTGCTACCAAAATCAAACCAATAATCAAAAAACTCAAGAAATAAAAGTGCTGGACCAGATGACTTCACAGGTGAAGTTTACCAACACTCAAAGAAAAACTGATACTTATCCTTCTTGAACTATTCAAAAACACTGAAGAGGAGGGAAGGCTCCCAAACTTGTAAGGCCAGCATTATCCTACTACAAAACCAGACAGAGACACTATAAACAAAGCAAACTGTAGGCCAATGTCCCTGTGAACATAAATGCAGAAATCCTCAACCAAATATTGGCAAACAAAATTCAGCAATACATTTCAAACAGCATACACCATGACCAAGTGGGATGTATCAGTGGGATGAAAAGCTAAATATCTGTAAATGATACACTTCATAAACAGAGTAAGGGATAAAAATCATATGATCACATTAGTAGATGCAGAAAAAGCATTTCACAAAATCCAGCACCCATTTATGAAAAAAATTCTCAGCAAAGTGGGGATAATGGGAACATACTTCAACAAAATAAAGGCTTTGTATAAGCCCACAGCTAACATCATACTCAAAAGGTTTTCCTCATAATAGCCCCAAATTGCAAACAACCCCCCCCAAAAATATAAAAACTCTGGTGTAATAATACAATCCTATATGACATATAAATGAACGAACTACCAACCCATCCATTAACGTGGATGAATCTCACACATTATGTTGAAAAGAAGCCAAGCACTGAGATTCCATGTAAATGAAGCTCAAAAAAAAAAAAAAAAAACCAAACCAGAGAGAAATACTACTACTAATCAAAATGGTCGGAACAGTCTGAGGATGGGTGGTTGACTAAGTGGTAATGGGGAACCTTGGATGGTTCTGGAAGTATCCATACATCAATCACTTTGGTGTTTACATGAGCATTTATATAGGTAAAATTCAGGTGAGTGCATTTTACATATCAATGTATGTATGTTGTAAATCATGCATTAAAAAGACAAATTTAATGGTATTATCTTAAGTCACTCCCTTTCTGGCCTCAATTTCTTTCTATAGTAAATAAAGAGATTAGACCATCATAAGCCTGTTTCTACTGTTAACAATTCTTACACTATACTGCCTGTTCATCTCCCGATATCTCCCATGAGACTGTTTTTACCGCTCTAATCTGACAAATTGTTAAACATTTCATGAATATCTACTGGATGGATAGAAACGGGAAAACAGACCAGAACATACTGATTTCATGACTAGGGCAGCCAATACTTGGAATGACCATGAGTGCAGTGAGAATTAAGAAGAGGGGAAGCTGGCCTTGACTGGGTAGCTCAGTTGTTTGAAGCACAGCCTGTACACCACAAGGTTGCAGGTTCAATCCCCAGTCAGGGCACATACATAGGTTGCAGATTTGATCCCTGGTCGGGGCACATATGGGAGGCAATCAATCTGTTTCTTTTTCACGTAGCAGCTGCTAAGCCTTGCTGTTTCCCCAGGCCTTTAGTGCCACCTCTTGGCACCACATTCTAAGGAAGTTCTTCTCAGCTGTTCTCAAGCCACATGTCATAGCACACACTGAAAATGGAAATTGTACAGTACACTGAAACAGAGTACTACAAATATAAAAATCGCAGCACCTAACCTAACTCCTGAAGCACAGCAGGTTGTATGCAATGCTACCACATTCTTGGGTAACTGCCTAAGAATTCTTACAGAATATTCATTCTACCTTGATTTGTGTGATTAGAAGTTTAACTTCATACCAGCTTATGCTCTACTTTGCACCCCTGTGGCACATCCACTCAGTGCAGATGCTCCCGGACTTATGATGGGGTCACTCGCAGACAAACCCATCATAGATGGTAGATCAATTACTACACTGTAGAGCACGGGCTGTTCATCCTCGTGAGCTCATGGCTAACGGGCTGTGGCTCACTGCCACTGCCCAGCAACAGAGGCGAGCAGAGTATACTACATATCACCAGCCCAGGAAAAGGTCAAAATTCACAGCACGTACTCTACAAAATGTGTATAACGTTCACACCATCAATCAAACCACTCACTATAAGTCAGGAATTGTCTGTATAGATCTAGAAGCCTTTGTAGAACCATGAACATGAATTAATCAATACAAATTAACAACCTTTCATCCAGATTCTAGGATGCCTCAAGCTGAAAAAGGAACAAAAGAAAGCCAGGAGAAAGCAAAAAGGATGAGACCAGAACCATTAAACAGCGGCTGGAAATTGCTGCTTCAATGTCAGTATATCAAGACATGAAGCCAGGCCCTGACTGGTGTGGCTCAGTGGGTTGAGCGTCATCCCACAAAGCCAAGGGTCACCGTTTGGACTTCTAGGCAGGGCACTTGCCTGGGTTCCAGGCCTGATCCCTGGTTGGGCACTAGCAAGAGGCAACCAGTGTTTCTCTCACACATCAATGTTTCTCCCTTTCTTCCTGACTTCCACATTCTAAAATAAATACATAAAATGTTTAAAAAAGAAAGAAAAGACAGGAAGCCAGTCTGACTCTTTGCACTCTTCCTTACTTCTGGCTGATGAAAAAGGGTAATAGACAACATAGCTTTAAACTGTGCTCACCCACTCACACAGCATGGGGTATGGCTTCAGAAATACATGCACTCACGTTGCAGCGGTAGTCCTGAAGCCGGCATGTCAACCAAACTATATTTCAGGTACCCTGGGGAAGATTATTACTTGACCACAATGGAGGATTGCATAGAAGACAGATAGACACATACATACACATGACAGACACTGCCCTAAGGAAGGAGGAAGATGAAATCCAGACAAGAATAGCAGCCTTTCTTCCTCAGGGTGAGCGATGACTAGCATAGCAGAGGCCCCTGGTGGCAAGGAAGGGACCTGAACCCACCGTCAGATGACCTGAGTTCTAGTCCTGATCAGTCTGTGCACTTGCTGGGATGAACTTGAGCAAACCCCTTTCCTTTTCTGGTCCTCAATTACCACCTCATAAACACAGATTCCAAAGCCTGCCCTAATTATTTCCCAGGTTAGCTCAGAGAATTCAATTAGCTAGTTTGAAACATGTGAGGGCGGTAGCTAATGTCTGTTTGCTCTTTTTAGCGCTCTGCAGTAGCAAGTCCTACGCTGGATACGGCAAATTCTCTCAGTCTTCCTTTGAGGATGTGGATGAAGGAGAGAGCAGGTGCACATTACCGAAATGGGTTACAGGTCTAAAAGCTTTGTGCAAGGTACCACCTCTGGTACCGGCGGAAGCTGCAGGAAAACAGAAACGGACAGCTGGGGCGCTGACAGGCACCCGCTGGCACCTCCCGATCCGGTACCTCCCGACGGCTACGGTAGGCAGCTGCATCCAAGCTAAAGACCGCAGCTAGACAGCCCGGGCGCGACGAGGACAGCCCGGGGCTGGGAGTCATCAGAAGACCTGGGTTCTACCGCGGAGTGGTCCTGCGGTCTGAGACAGCTCGCTTCGACAAGACCCTCAGCGGATTCCCTCCCGGGACAGCACGCCTGCGCGCCGCAGACGCGAGGGGTCCGCACGCCACACGCGGGACCCGGCACCCGGTCCGCCAGGAGAGGGAAGGGGCAGGCGCCGCCAGGACCCAAACCTCCGGTAGCTGCAACAGCCGAGGCCGGGTAGGGCCGGGCCGCCAGCCGGGCCTGGCGCAGCATCAGCGCCCGCTGCCGCTTCCGCTCGATGCTCGCCCGCACAGAGGCAGGCAGCTCGGCCGGCTGTTCTGAAGTCGCCGGCTCTGGCGACGTTTCCTCCACCGCCGCCATCTCCAAGTTCAGAGAACCTTATCTCTAGCCCTGCGCACGCGCAGGTGACACCAAGACGCCACAGAGTGGGAGCGCGCCTGCGCGATTTCGGGAGGACTGGGCGGAAGGGAGAGGCGATGGGCAGAGGCTGTGCACTTCCAGGGGCCGGAAATACCTGCTAGCTTGTAAATCGACAGGGAAAACGGTACCGAGACAGTTTTTCAGGGCTTGATCTTCTTTAAAATAATAGTTGCCGTTGGTGGTTTAGAATAGGGGCTTTGGAGTCAGACCTAGGTTAAGTCGTAGCTCTCACACCACCTGCGTGATCTTGAACAAGTTATTTATCCTGAGTTCTGTTTCTTCAGTAGTATAACGAGAATAATTACACAACCACTTCCTGAGTTGTTGGAAAAATTAAATGTAAAGGCTTTCAACACAATTCTTGGCGCAAAGAAAATGGCCAAAAATGATGGCAGCTGGTAGTAGTACTATCAACAGGAGAGACTGAGATCATCAATCTGACTTGATCTTGGACAGAGCCTTAGATTGGAAATGAGAACACCTGGGTTCAAACGCTCACTTGCTGTGTGATCGCTGGCGAATGCGGCACCTGGTACCAAGGCTGCTATGCATGAACTCCACTGTCTTTTCCACGGACTATTCCTTCAGTGTGGATGGGCTGCCACCAGGGAGACATTGAGTTTGAACTGCGGCTGAATCGTGATTCCCCAAAAGTATGGTAAATGAAGTGAAAGAAACATTGCATACTTTTCCAGAAATACATGCTTTTTTAAATTACAAATAAAATTGAATTGAAACCAAAAAACATTAAATTCTAATTACATATACTGTTTAGGACTAGATTTTAAAACAGTCTAACACATGTGAAGTTTCCCACTAATATTCAATGGTTAAATTTTGAGAAGCACAACCTAGTAGTCCTACTCTATTGATTATACGTATATTGTACTTAAGCCGGAGAACCTGATATAAAGTGGATAAATGTTCAGATCTACTGATTGAATTGAACATACAGACCTCAAGCCATTCCTGTTGTCCTTCCCCTCACATCCCTCGTTCTTCCTGTCTATTGATCTTGTCCAGGTGGTAAAAGCTCAAATTCCATGTAACACCAAAAACACAAGCAACAGAATAAAAATTAAATAAACTGGATAAATTGAAAACTTGTGCATTAGATAACACTATCAAAAAAGTGAAAAGACAGAAAATATTTGCAAATCATATATCTAAAAAGGGTTTAGTATCCAGAATATATAAAGAGCTCTTACAACCCAATAAAAAGGCAAAAACCCAGTTTTCAAATGAGCAAAGGGCTTAAGTAGACATTTTCCTTTCTTTCTTTTAGATTGCATTTATTCATTTTTAGAGAGAGGGGAAGGGAACGAGAAGGAGAGGGAAAAACACCAATGTGTGGAAGAAACATCTGTCAGTTGCCTCTCACACGCCCCCAGCTGAGGACCTGGCCAGCAACCTAGGCGTGTGCCCTGACAGGGAATCAAACCAGCAATCTTTCAATCTGCCGGATGACGCCCAACCCACTGAGCCACACCAGTCAGGGCTTCAGTAGGCATTTTTCTCAAGAAGATACACAAATGGTCAACAAGCACATGAACAGATGTTCATCATTAGTAGGGAAGGGCAACTCAAAAGCACAATGACATACCACTTCACACCCAATGAGACGACCAGAACTAAGAACAAACCAGGATATAGTAAGTTGACAAAGTTGAAGAGATTAGAACCCTCGTGGCTTGCTGGTAGGAATGTAAAATGATGCTGCTATAGAAAACAGTTTGGCTGTTCTTCAAAAAGTTAATCATAGAAATACCATCTGTGTCGGCAATTTCACTCCTAGGCATATATACCCAGAAGAATTGAAAACAGGAGTTGGAACAAAAAGTTACACACAAATGTTCACAGGAGCACTGTTCACAATAAACAAAAGCTTGAAACTACTCAAATAACCATCAAATGGTGAATGGATAAACAAAATGTGCTATATCCACACGAGAAAATATTATTCAGCCATAACAGAAGGAAGTACTGATCCATACTAAAACATGGATAAACCTTGAGAACATTATGCATTCCTTTTCTATGAAATACGTGAATAAGCAAACTCACAGTGACAGAAAGAGGATTAGTGGTTGCCAGGGGCTATGGGAAGAGGAGACTGGGGCACCATCGCTAAATAAGTGTGGGACTTCCTTTCGAGGTAATCAAGATGTTCTGGAACTGGACAGTGGTGATAATTGCACAACACTGGGAATGTACTGCATGTGACTAATAGTACATTTTATTTTATAATAAATTTTTAAAGCCACTCCAATTGTCAATGGGCTCAGGCATTTAATGGAAGTTAATGAACCTGGGCAGGTGTAGGACTTGGGCAAACCGTAGTGCAAAGGTACCTCTCAGAGGGGCCAGCCATGACACAGCTCCCAGGGGGAGCTGTCGCGCGGCAGACTTGGGCCCATTGCTGCCAGATTGCCAATGCTTCAAGAAAAGTAACTACTTCTCAAACTTTTGTGTACATATGAGTCACCTGGTGATCTTGTTAAAATGCAGATTCTGATTCAGTAGGTCTATGGGGAAACCTTAAGAATGTGCATTGTTAACAAGCTCCCTGGTGAGACCACTAACCACACTTTGAATAGTGAGGGTCCCATTCACAGGTTCTCAAACTTGGCAGCACGTTGCAAGCCTCTGGGGAGTTGAAATAACACATGCTTAGGCCCTACCCACACAGACTCTGGCATCGTTGGTCAGGGATGGCATCTGGGCATTGGGATTTTGTAAAGCACCCTCCCTACCCCCCACCCCCACCCCACACCTAGATAAATCTAATGGGCAGCAAACTTAGAGAACCAGAACCCTAAATGACCCTTCTAGACTCGACACGGCTCTAAGTGTCTCTGAGGCTATGCAATATTTCTAAGGAACAAGCTAACAATTCTCCACCAAGGAAACCTGTGGAGAATCACTAGCCCCTAGAGCCTCCTCCCCAACAAAGCACTCCAAGCTTGAATAGGGAAGGGCTCAGCCCAGATGCTGCACATGCCCTGGGATTTTGTAACCCTTGCCAACCGCTTTGGTCTCCTCTTACAGGTCACTCCCTCTCCTTTGTTTCCCTGATCTTTGTTAGCAAGTTTCGTGTAACTGGGCCTGAATTGTTAGCTGATGCCTCAACCAAGCTCAAAGGAGACTCCTCTTTTAGAGAAGGAAGAGGAGTGCATGCCCTGATCCGTGCGTCTCCCACGGTGATGGGGGCTACAGGGCCTGCCCAGAGCACAGCAGCGTGAGTCATCTCCGTGGGGGCACAAAAGGAAAGCAGGCGAGGAGAATAGACCAGTGGATGTATTCTTGCCTCTCCCCATTCAGTCTCAGGGAAAACCTGTGACTACATCTTCCTGCTTTGTCCCTCTCTCCTCTCCCAGACGGACTGTGATCCTGGCTGAAAGAGGGGTAATTAACGAAGCACAGAAAGAATGGGAAGCCCTAACCCAAGCCTGAAAAAGAGCAGGTAGGTAAGAACGGAAGCCAGGAAGCGGGTGAGAAACTTGGCAGTGTTACCTGACTTGGCCTCCTCTCTGAGAGCATCACTGGGGCTGCTCATGCCGAGACGACAGGATGTCAACGTATCTGTCTTTATTGTCTAGTCAATAGTGCATGTGTGTAGCTTTCTGTTTTATTTCTATTTTCCCTGAGTCCCTGGGGCTTGGTGCCTTAATGTGGTCACTTTGAACATCATTGGCATCGCTTCCCGATAGGAACATCTGGTGGGAAGGAGCAAGCCACGGGGAAAACTGTCTGGGATGAGGCTGCAGGAACTCGGAAATCGGGCTGACCCTGCTGAATTCCGCGGCACTGATTTAGTGATCCAGGAAACACCGTCTCTTTTTGCTGCGACAGACTAGGCCAGCACTCCTGGAGAAACTTCGATTTCAACCTCCCTAAACCAAAAGACAGAGAGGTTGAGGCAAAAATGTCATATTGGAAATCTGATCAATGAAATGTCTGTGTGCCTGCAAAAGGGTTTAAGAAACATCTTAAAGATCTATATGAATTTTCTTTCCAAAAACAGTAAGTGGGAAGGTGCAAATGGTTCAACTAAGATGGGGCCGAGGGGAAAAAAATTACTTTCGGCACTGGAAGCCAAAATCCTTTGTCACTCATGCACCCTCCCTACTCTGCACTCCCCAGAGCCTGAACACAGCCCAGTGGACCTTGCTTCTTACTGCCTCTTCCAGGAAGCCTGTCCTGACTCCCTCCTCTGGCTGCCTGTGAACTTCATACATGCTGCTGCGGTGGCACTTACCACACCAGAGGTGATCCCTACCTTCAGTCCTCACTAACTAATCAGGTCCTTGAGAGCTGGGACCGTCTGATGCATCCCAGTATCTCCAGGGCCCAGCACAGTGCCTGGCTCAGAGTCACTGCTGAGTGAATGTTTGAGGAATTAAATAGAACGATAATACCAAATAAGCCTAGCTGTATGTCTCACCAGCGCTGAAAACTCGAGGTCCAAAGCTGAACCCTACTGCCACCTCCCATTCACTAGGAGAGCTATCCACCCGCAAGGGGAAAGAATACTCTACTTCGGAACAGCCTGTTGCATTATTGTCTAGCTTTGGCCATTGCTTTCTGCAAGAACAATGGTAACAATAATAATAGCAAACACTTACATTGTGCTTGTAGTTTCTGAAGCATTTTAAATGTATTCACTAATCTAATGTTTATACCACTCAATGAGTATTTTCACTCATCCCAGTTTAGCACTGCTTTTTAAAAAAAAGATTTTATTTATTTATTTTTAGACAGAAGAAAAGGGAAGGAGAAAGAGAGGGAGGGAAACGTCAGTATGGGGTTGCCTACCGTGAGCCCCACAATGGGGATCTGGCCTGCAACCCAGGCATGTGCCCTGATTGGGAATTGAACCAGTCAACCTCTGGTTTGCAGGCCGGTGCTCAATGCACTGAGCCACACCAGCCAGGGCCTAGCATTGCTTTTTTTAATTTTATGTTTTTAATTTATTGTATTTTTCCATTACTACTTATTAC